TTTTTTTTTAGAAAAATTTTTTTTTTTTTTTTTTTTTTTTTTTTTTTTTTTTTTTGTATAGATCCATCAACTATGGAGCCATGGGAGCTATCATGGGTCATGAACTAACTCACGGCTTTGATGATCAAGGTGCAGATTTACTCATTCTTTTTACACGAATTATCTATATCACATGCCATTTGTTGGACTGTCCTCGTAACGGTTATACCTGTAATTATCCTGTTGATTGCTTCAGGACGAAGGTACGACGAGAATGGAAATCTGAGGCAATGGTGGAGTGATAAGACACTTGAACATTACCACGAGAAGGTCGAGTGTATCATTAAACAGTATAGCAACTACCATCTGCCCGAGCTAGGAATCAATTTTACAGTAAGTCAAATGTCAACAGCGCATTTTTATCATTTCAACAAGACGGCAAACGTTTTTCTTCTCTTACGATTCAGGTAAATGGAATAAATACTCAAGGTGAAAATATTGCTGATAACGGTGGAATTCGTGAGGCCTACAGGGCTTATCAACGACTGAAGGCACGCATACCTAATCAGCAAGCACTACCAGGTTTGGCAGAATATTCCCGTGACCAATTATTCTTCCTGGGATTCGCACAGGTATCTAATTAATCCAACTAGACAGTTGCTGGTCGATATAGCCGTAAATAACTAATTCAATGTATTGTTTTGATTGTCTCAGGTATGGTGCGGTAACTATACGAATGGAGCGCTAAAGTCAAAATTAATCGAAGGAGTGCATGCGCCTAATCACTTTCGAGTAATTGGAACTTTGTCGAATAATCGAGATTTTGCTCGAGCCTGGAAGTGTCGGACAGGCAGTCCCATGAACCCACCCCATAAATGTATCCTATGGTGAATATGGGAGGGAAAGAAAAATTGAGCAATTTATAACATTGAACATGTTGGTACCGTCAGATCGTATATACATATGTTTTGAGCATGAGATTTCTAGACAGTATAATCAGCGTCGATGGCGTTAATAGGCCTGAATATAACGTGGAAGAATCAATTGTAAATAGGCTGAGTGGTAGGGACTGTAAATAATTTATTACGCGCGTAGTCACTAAGTCTTAGCCTTGTGTTTATCCTCTTTGTAAATACTATACCAATGGAAGAAAAAAAAGATATTAATCTTCAAAAGTTTCCTTTTTTAATAATTTATATCCTTGTTTGTTATGTGATTAATTTCTTTTTATGTCTTTTCAGAGGAACTTCATTACACTCTTCAACGTTGAATTCGTTCTTTGTTTTCTTTTTTAACGTTGCTGTATTGTTATCAGTTATTACAAATTTATTTGCCTTCTTCTTCTGTTTCTGTTTCTGTTTGATAGTTTCAACGCTGATGTCCATTGTAGATTCTGCCTTGTTCTTATTCTTTTTCTTTTTCTTTGATACAATATTGTTTGACTCATTTGGCACTTCTGAAGTTTCGTCTATAGACATTTTTCTTTTCACTTTTTTCTTCATTTTTGGAATTTGAACGACCTTGATATTTTCTGGTGTTTCTCCCTCGTCTTCGATTATTACTTCCTGTCTCATGCGGAATTTGTTGACTTTTTTCTTTTCGACTTCAACATCAATCGTTGATTCTTCCTTTTTCACACTGAGATCCTCGCAAGGTAGTGCCAGGGCGAAACATGTTATTCTTGCACCGCAGTTCGCCTTTTGCAGAAACACTAGCTTCTTTTTTGTAAATTTCCAAAATTTTATCTCACCAGAACTCGAGCCAGTCACGAGAAAATGACCTTCGCGAGCGATACACTTGACTCTGGCATCGTGCGCATCTTTCACGAGGATTTCTGCTGATTCATCGATATCGTAGAATCGAATTTTTCCATCCTCGTGTCCAATGGCGATTATACCGTCCTCCAGAAACTCCACACAAACGACCTTCGAGTCGAACTTCAGTTCATTCACGATTCCAGCAGTAGTTACGGAATAGACATCGATCCTGAAGTTTCCACCAAGTAAATATTTGTCTCCATCAGGACTCCATTTAAGTATGCTGATGTGCTTTGCATCCTCTTTCAATCTAGGGACTAGATTGGTAGCATAGGCTTGTCTCCCCTTAACTAAATTCCACGTTCTGAGCACTCCATCGCCTCCTGCAGAAAGAGCTATCTTGCCTGTCGGATGAATTGCTAACACATTAACAGGAGATCCCTTGTGTGCAGTGCGCCAATGTTTCTCCAGTTGCCAATTACCACAATGTACAGCAGCTATACTTCCATCGTTACTGCATGTGAAAAGATGAGAAGCTTCTGGTGTGAATTCTATGCAATTCACTGTGTCTGTAAAAGTTTATAAATTAGGAAAACATATATTTAAATAAAAATATATTACTTGTATTTATGTATTACCATTGTGATGTGTTAGACGTCCAGATTCTAGCCTATATCGCATATCATATAAATAAACAGAATCATCAGCCCCAGTTGATGCCAAATAGTGCTTTTTACTGGCAACATCTCGTATACTGGCCTGATGACTGTGCGTTGCAAAACTGCGTTCCAATGTGTACTCCTAATACAATACAAGGAATTAGAATAAACTTTAAATCAATCAATTAAACGACAGTACCAGAACAGTGAGCTAAACAACAATACAGGCACTGCTATACAATAAACCACATTCTACCTAACTAGTGTGACATGATTTAACGTGGATAACCTAAATTTCAAATTCATTATTGAAATAACACTAACTTACATTATTCACACGTTGAACTTTATAACCAAGCAAGAACTGCTCATAGGTTCCCACGATGATTTCAAAGTTCGCCGACATTAATACACCGTTACTTAAATAAATCTAAAAAGAGTAGCGACACTTATTGACTATTTTAAAAAGCTAGCCATGCGATTCAAAAAGCACGCTGCTCAAGGGAATGGAGTAGACAGGAAATAAACATGGCTACACCACAAAACAAGTGTAACTCGTTTTTACCACTAGGTGACGTTATATGCTCGTTAATTGTAGAGTCCCTCTAGTAAGAGTCCGGCCAACACCCGAAAGGGACGCCATATTAAGGGCTTGTTTTGCGCCACCATGACATTGCGCGAGACTCGGTCGAATCTCGCGCCAAGTACAGGCAACCCGCCGTACAGGGCTTAACCCTACCCACTCTACACAATGCGAATCTCTCCCATATACGTATTCACACACCTCATTCTATTCCGGAAAGAGCCCATAATATGGCGGAGCCAATCAATAACAAGCCCCACCGTTGTCCGGACTCTTACTAGAGGGACTCTAGTTAATTGCTACTAAGCACTACTAAGGTTGCTAAGAATGCGTCGTCACCGCTTGACACATGTCCTATGCCAAACTGCAGAATTAACAATACCTGTTTCTATAAAACTTTATAACGCAACAGAGAGAAATTATTCATAATTAAGATATAACACGAATTCACTGACACTTTTTTTTCTACGATAAGTTTTTCAATTTCACAAAAAGCGTATTTCCTGATTTTCAGCAGTACTTCGACAATATCTTTTGAGCAGTTTAATATATTTTAAAGAACCTAAATTACTATATCATCTTGTAGGATCCATTCAGCAAGATATTATTTTATCAAAAATCATTATACAATGTTATCCGAATCCGGCAACATCAACTATAACATCCATGCCGTTATGTATTAATTATTTATTTTGTGTTTTAATTACAATAATTATTACATTTAGGATAATTTGACCAGAAACAGACGTCGCGTTGCCGAGAAACACTTCGAAACGACGTTGGTCTCTGCTACTATATATCACTATAATTATACTTAAAATCTACAAATTTCATGTCTGCTTGAAATGATCTATGTACGCGCAAATGAAGGGGTTCGAATTCGCATAAGACAAATTAAGCGACTAATGCAAATAATATACTGAACCATTTGCATCATCCATTCGTTCCTGCGCTTACATAAATTCTGAACAATAATAAACGTGAGGAAGCTGCGAAGATCCAAAGAAAAATAAAAGAAAACAAAAGAACGCAATCACACATATTCTCTCGACGTTGCTCCGCGACGCTAATAGATTCGCAATACGATTAAAATTCAATCAATTATTTATTATGCACAAGTGTAAAAATACTTTGACTACTAACAGCGACCGAGCGTCCCGCCACTTCTGTACAATATGTTTCATGCGCATTTCGGCGACTTAAAATAAACACTCCGCCATACTATTTTTCATTATTCCCAGGCATTAACATTCAATTACCTACATGATATATCCTTCACTCGTATCAGAACTGAACGATATAAAATATTCAAATGACAAAGAGCAGTCATCATCATCGAATGAGAAATACTAAAGACATAAAGAAACTGCATAATCTGCAAATTTTCATTTTTATCGCATTCATTCCTATGACCAGACATTTCTTAATTCCCAGTCAGTCAATCAAATCAATCAAGCATTCAAACTGAGCCAGCAGCAAGTATTAATATCAAATTCAAAGAACACACAAACACTTTCATCTCAATCATACTTTTGGTTCACAAGATAATCAAGATGAGAAAATTAAATGCAAAGAAATGCGACCGATTGGATTTACATTTCCAGAAGAGACCATAGCCCTAGTGATTGTTTGCACAATCAGTAGGCACTTGTGACTTCCAGTGTCATTCCTAATCATTGGCTGCATGACTGGATAAATAAATTTTTCCTAGGCTACCAACTATTACGGATGGATCTTTAGAATGTACTTTTAGAATTATTACACTTAGTCATCGCAAGGACTTCCATTCATTTCTCTAACAATTTCATATTAATTTTGTTTCACATAGTCTCAGTATTACTCTATGTAATTGGTTATTCAATTTTGTCGCAGAAAGAATTACAAGGACAAAGTTAAACAAGAGACAATAATTACAAGTGATTCTGATTCTTCCACGACTTGAGACAATAATAATCCACGCTGAAATCTTCACTCGAAACATATACGAGTGAGTCAGCTTTCATTTTAATAAAATTACATTACGCATACAGTCAAATGTTGTAAATTAATTGATCGAATATCTATCGTCTGCGACAAAAAAAAGAAATGAAGAATAATCACGAGAAAGATAAAGCTTGTCTTCCATAACCCAGGACAGTATCGAAACGCTTTGACCCTGCAAACAACAATATTGCAGTCGCGGTCTATAAATCATTTAGAGTATTAGCTAGTGTTTTTGATTTTTTGAAAAATTCTATCCTACCACATTCCCAATTCGAGTAACCGAATAAAAGTTCATTAAAGTATCTTTCCATGAGCTTTGCAGTGCTGAGCGTGCGCGAATTAATCTATTTTATATTTTCTAACTCATTCTTCGAAAGCTAATAAGATTGTACAAGACAAATCGCGTCGCCATTCAATTAAATTAAATTTTGATAGTAAAGAAAAAATTCCATTCGCTTTTTTCTTTCCTATCGCGACGACTCGACAAAATCATTATCATCATAATTAACGGTTGCAAGTCTTTTGTCATTATTATCATCATTATTACTACTATTATTATTATTACAACTATTACTGCGATTCGCGCGAAAAAACCGTGACGCACGCAAGGACATATTGGACGTGTATGTACAATTAATAATGAAGCTGTCAGCAGGAACAAGGCACGACTGACTTAACGTATTAAGTTTCATTCAAAAGTTTGTATTTTTTATCAAAGGTATTTTTTCTTTTTTTTTTAACAATCTAGTCCACCACCGTGCACAATGCACAAGCCCCGTCGCTCTAGAAACTTTAATGGCGAAACTTTCCCACAGCAATTACCCTGCTGTCACATGAATCCTCCTTGCTTAAGACTTTTCTAATGTTTCATAAAAGTTTGCACTTCTTACTATCTCTACTTTCTGTCTTAGTCGTCTTTACAATCAATTCAATTTTCCCAATTACAAAAACCTGCAGTACCCTATGATTGAATCGTTATTGTTAACAGTATGTATAGACACAGTATTGACTTCGGCTTAAAAAATATTATCTGCCAGCGAATACGAGACGCGTGGACAGCAGACGCATTAAGTGTAAGAGAGATGAAACAAAAGCGTTACTATGTAAAAACTTGATAAAAAGGAAAAAGTTAGAAAGAAGAAGGAAGAAAGAAGAAGAACGCGTCACGTCTATCCGTCTGGCATTTGCATTGTCAAGTATATCGTTACGTAATTCCATAAAAACGGCGTACTTTTGTGTTTTCGACAAAATTTCCTTCCAACGCGAAGCACGTGCATACGTCGTACAAAAACGATAGCTAATCACAAGACTCTCCTTATGCTATCATTCGCTTGATTAAAAATCTAGGCTATCGTTATAATATTTGCGCAATATATTTCTTTTAACTCGTCCTAAACCTTTGCGCAAAGTTCATTCCATTTCAAGAGACAGTGTAATTCCTTTTATAAACACGTGATATGATGATGCAGTGACAAAGCTTAATATTCTTCAAATCTCTTAGTATCAAGAGATAGATGTGTCAAAGATAGTGTTTCGTGTCTACGTACTCTAATATCTCTAGAGACCATCGATTCACGAGAGAAATGATTAGCAGAGTCAATTGGATAGATGGTTAATCGCCAGGTACATTGAGTCTTCGAATACATACTTGTTTCTTTTCTTTTAATTTTACCTATGTATACAATAGTTAATAGTGATCGTGAACCCGTTCTGGATTAATACACAAAATTCTACGTATCTGTTAACCTTTGTCATAGTCCCAGCCAATAATTCAGATAAGTGTACATACATACATCAAGTTTCACACGCCCGACTGTCTTTAAACCACCATCGCAATTTTCCTCTGTTCCGATTCTCATGACGATTACGAAGTGAATCTATTAACGATTGTAATAGTTTTAAGAGCTAACGACAAGCAAAAGAAGAAGACAATTTCTAATTACAGACATTCATTTTAAGTATCACAAGATATGCAGAGTTTTTGCTTTTTAATTTTGTGATAGCCCAATTCCCGTGCTCGAACGATTAGTATCTAGACATTCAATCAGCTCGTGTTCTTGGATATCCGCAAGGAAAAAGAAAAATATATATAAAAAAAGAAATATAATCGTGACTTGGGTGAACCAAATTATAATTTTCAATTGATACGAGGATGATCAATGACGGTTGTGGTAAAAATTAAAAATTGTGCTTGGTTCGTAACGCACAAAGTTCTGAGTTTTTCGAGCGTCGCATCAGCAAACGAATTAAGATAGTGATATCAACATTTTACTTTTATCCTTCATTTACATTATAATTTCATAAAATCATGAGCCACGTTACACCTTCTCTTTAATAGTTAATGACGATCAATTTGTGAGGTTAATTCCTTTCTATGGGCTCGTCGGCCACAAATTGGTATAAAAAATCGATTCCGCGTTTGCCCCGAAATACGAAACACGTAATCATTAGAATTATCATTGTCAACGACGTAAAATCGGATGATACTCCAAGAACGTCGTGATTTAATACTATCTGACTGATCCGATTTGGCATCTTGGCCTCTCGTACGACTCAATTTTGAGATAATCATTTAAGGCAGGAATATGTTTCTCGTTTTCTTTAAATGTATTCTGGGCCCGTCCACTTGGATGCCAGTGACACTCTTGCCATGCATTTTTTGAGGACTCACATTTCTCAACGTAGAATAACGTCCAAATTACCATATACATGACAAGACATACGCAATCATGTTATAATGTATGTAACTAGAAGTTATGAAGAATAAATGAAGGACTAGGAATCGTAAGGGATCCTGCTGAATTTTCGAACCCTCAGCAGCTTGACCTTGAGTGCCCAGAAAGTTTCCATGTTTGTAAAAATTTTCCAAAAGCGCCTCCTTCTCCGCCCATCTGTCATACAACCATCTGGTCAGCGCTTCCGGCTCTCTGGGTACCTACAAATAATTCATTAGTTCCAATTACCAATCCATAGTTTCTGATAATTTATTAACATCATATGTTCTCCGAACGAGCTTTCTTACCACGGAACTAGGGAAGAGTCGATAAAAAAGCACAGTATCACAAGGTGGCCTCACGCCAGTTATAATTGTAGGTAAGTCTATCGGCTTGCCTTGAGGATATGCTATCGTTATATCGAGAACCCAACTAATTTCAGGCTTAGCTACTGTCATGCCTGTAATGTTAAAGAAAAGGAACATGACATTGTGGACACGTAGAATGCACGCGAGTTAAGTCACCCCTATGCATTCTATTAATAACATACATAACAGTAAGACAATGTAGCATATGTCACTGGTTGTGAATAAAGCAGAACTGTATACTGCATAATAAGATAAAGAAGAACGAGGAACAGAAATCAAGTCTGGCCAAAACGAGTGACTGGGTGAATGAATATTATTAAGCAATTGGGATGATTGTTTACTTGGTCTGTTGTTTAATTGTTGGTCCGTCGTGTTATTGTTCTGTGCTGGACCGACGACATCGAATATCGTCTGCATGGCTCCAACCCTTGGTAACGTAACGTTCTCCAGTGTAGGCAAGTTATTCTTCTTGGCGAACTTCTGCGAGGTCTCACGCCGCTTGCAGAGGAAACCACCTTCTGGGAACAGCACCATCCACTTGCGATTTAGAGGTATATACGAGTCCCTTAAATGTTTCTCCAGCTGCTTCAGACTCTCCTCTCGTCTCTTGCGACCCTAATACATTCATCAAGAGACATTTATATAGGGAAACACTGACCGATCCAAGTATACTTGATTGTTCAATGGTGAGTTACACTAGATATAGAGATAGGTTGCTGAAGGAAAGTTTTTGACAACTCACCGAGACGATGAAGAAGTCTTCATGGAGTATGGAAACTATACCAAAATTCGTGAACTTGAACACTCGGTCCATAATCCACATGAGATTTGGTAGCACGTTTGGCTTGGCATTAAAGGTCGTCATTAAAATAGGAACATCGCCAGTGCTCTGGTGATTTGCTATTACAAGAGTTCTTTCGCTCACGATCTTCTGTATGTCATCGCCTTGTTCAATAACTGTTAATAAGACATATATATTACAATGAATGTTCATTATCGTTTTAAGAACCATAAGTAAAATGAACTCTTACTATCATAACCGGCTGTCCACGTCCACATGGACACCATAGCTAAAAGCCAGTGAAAGAAGAGGCCTTCTATCCGCCAATAGATTTGCGGTTGATACATTTTTACAGGAAAGAGCAATGTCATCCATACCACGTATGTGGGTATGCAATAAACATTGTTTAGAATTACAAGTACAATGCGTACAATACATTTTATAAAAGACACTACGCTGCTAATGATTCTGAAAGAAGAAACAGCAGATATGTAAACATTGTTATTGGTGTGTCCAGCTGAGATAAATTAAAACGTTTGTATTAGATAAGAGAATTGCAAGGATAAATGTAATATTTTTTTATTATTTATAATAAATTTTACAAATTAATAATAAACAAAGTTCATTCTAAAATTCAATATTAATGAATTGTAAATTCACTGGTAGATAAATGACTTGCATGTTCAGGAAACGGGTGTAAAGGTCTCTTTCAAATCGAAATACTGGTTTACCAGATAACTGTACTTTAATTTGTGTAAATGTATTGACTATCCCATTCTCGAAAAAAACAAGATATGTATCAATAATATAGCAATAAATAATAAGTCAATATTTAATGTCAGTCTTCGAGTATGGTATAATTTATTTCCAAGATTATGAATATTTGTTCTGCTGATGTATAAGCGCGCGTATTATTGCACTGACTATCCAGAAGCCTATGCACCATCCACTTAGGCAATTATATTGTTAAGTATTAAAGTAGATTCTGCAAGCTGATTCAAGATAAATCTACCCTATATTATATATGTGCACCATCATATAAAATGAATAAGAAAATAATTAGTCTTATCAGAAGTTCAGCTTACGTGTATTGGCATATTATTAAATAAATTCTTAGAAATATTAGAAAAAAAATTCCACTCTGTATAAAACATAGTACACTTAACTTTTTATTAACTACATAAGAGGCAACGTAAAGCAAACTGCTGTGTACATGACTAATTAATTAATTTGAAGGCAATTGATTTTCATTTTCATTTAAATGACCTATATCGAAACTCATACATTACTAAAATAAGGGTATAGGTAACAGTATCATCAATGAAATAAACTATGCCAATGCAACAGTGACATAATTATACTGTTTCCGGTTAGTAATTGCCCTTACAATCATATATGATTTCATTAGTAAGCTATAATGAAGCGACACAACGTGTACATATTCTATGACCAACCAACGTGTTCCAAACGTACATAGTTACGTTTGAATTTATCATGACTTGACTAAATATGTAATTAAGTACAGTATAGCAGAAAAAGGCAAGATAACAGAGGAGCAAGAGGTTAAATCTAAATATATATATTTCTAAACGCAAGTATTGCACCATAGTGTGACATGCCGGTGTTCCTAGTGCTAAAAACAAATAAATATATTCAACACAGCCAAGAAAAACGTGGAACCGCAAGACATTACAAAATGATACGTAAGCAAGTATACAGTATTGATAATCTTCGTGGATTTTTTCCATGAGAATAATGACTCACCTGACGAGTGCAGAAGCGGATGATGTTGAAGATTCGGTCATTTTCGAAAGTCGCCACCCGTTCGACAAATTCGCGTAGCTCTCACCTGAACTTTTCTTATCCACCATGGCATTTCCTCATTTTTGGCCGAAATTACGTAATAAGACGGATCATTATCTCGAATGATAAACGAGAACTCACGATCTGTTTACACGAAAATCGTCTCCACGTAAGGTGTAAAAAAAAAGACACACGTACGTACAAAAGGTACGCGTGCCAGCGACGCCTATTCCTTTCACAATGTCCGAAATTCTTACTTATTCCTCTTCTTTTATCCTTGACGCCGTTCTTCCAATTAAAATCTGCAAACTGACAACGCAACGGTCACTCGCGCCGAACATTCGCGTTTAATTATTATATCATTAGCTCTGACAGCCCGCAAGAGCAAATCCTAAGTTTAGCGGTTCATCGTGTTCACTAGCATTTCTGTGCCGCCGCACGAGACGAAAACACCATTTTCCAGCGCTTCTGCTGCGCGCAACATCACCTCCACTCAAGAGACCAACTTAAACGCGCACCCAACGCGCACTTCAGCAGTGCACTTATCTATGGACTACTAGAATGGTGGCCAAGGTTGACAGTGACGCGCCACCGACGTCACTGTACGCAGCAAAATGGCCACCGGCTTGACCGACAGATCGACTTATCTTGAGGGCGAAACTATTCAATTTTTCGTCAATGGAACGAGGTCCTGAGTTCCTGTTAAAATATCTTGTGATTTCTTTAATAGCCGTTCAAAGCTACTGGTTTTTAAAGCAAGTTTTGATATACTAATGAGAGCTCACTGCGAGTAAAGTTCCAATTAATGTTTACCATTTAGGATTGCCTAATTAAATTTGAATATAATTATCCGCTGCGCAATTTTTGAATAACTGTTTTGGTTTTTGACTTTTCGATTGCATACAGATTTCTGTAATAGTTATGCACACTATTCTTCCATATCGACTGAGTTTTACCCGTTTTACCTATACGGTTACGTTTCTCTGCTAAGATTAATCTGTGTCTGTGCTAAGGTGTCTGCAAGAGCAGACACAATTTGGTTCCAATAAAGGCGGCCTCTTTCTTACGATAAAGGGGATCGTGAAGCAATCTTTTTGAATAATTTTTAAATCTCAATAGATAGTGAAAATATGGCTTTGAATATTTTGAGATGCCGAATTGTCGGTGGTTCAATTCGCCATCTGAAAGAGGCCGGTGGTCTTCTAACCGTTAAAATTAACAATTTCGATACGCCAGTATGCAGTGCGTCCAAGGTAAAGATTTTTTTCCTCGTCTTTGAGCAATATAGACGGAAACTTTTTGACTGGTACAAGGTAAACCAGTCGATATTCCGTAACTCTCTTTTGCCCAATGTCCAGTTGTTGTGCGGGTGTGTTTATTGCATCCTGCACTCTCCTGTTTTTCTAGATATCCACTGATCCCACTTTACATAATCAACTAACGATATGCCCAGAATAGAATTTGCCGGTGTAAAAGAAAAAAAGAGTGACACTTCTCGAAATGTTGAATTTCCATGGAAACATAGCAGCACATATGTATAATAACCGCAATATTCATAATACAGTCAGTGAGTCTCTAGAATAATATCAGAATGTTATTCTTCAGTTATCAAATAAAAAAAAAACAATCAAAAAGTCTTCAATTATAAAAACATTTGGTGCTATTAGCGTACACGTAAGTTTTAAAAAATATGGACAAACATCTTCATGTCATATATTATCAAAACTAATTCGTCGTCTCTGAAAACAATTTTGGTTTACAATAATTTTCAAAATGTCACGTGCCAACTGTATACACCGTTGATAATATTTTCAAGGTTATTACTTTTAATTTCTGAACGAAAACATTTTTCAAATCACTGAAAGTGCTCGAAATCTATTTACATTCGCGAAAAAGGTAGAAATTCGCAAAACCATCCAAGCATCACAGTCATTATTCTACGTAATATTAATACCGGATGATATTGTAACTTGTAACGTAGTAGCTAGCCCTTCTCCAAAAACATACTGATGTAGAATCGAGCAGGATGACGTAATTATGACCCCCAGCACTTTCACATCGTGTGCAATGTAGTATAGCAAAACAGTATTTGTATGTATTTGGCTGCACACACGTAACAGAAAAAAAGATATTCGCGCTGCTCGAGTTTTATATCGAGGAGGTCGTACGTTTCTCTAGTCCCCAGTCTTCCATAGTCGCAGAAGCATTAAGCATATTATTTGACATCACAGTAGTTATATTTTATTCTCGTACACGATGGTTCGTACCGCCTGGCACCAACTGATTCATCAAAAAGAATAATATATCATAAATAAGGAAAAAAAAATCTAACCAATAACGTATCTTCCAGGACAGTGAAAAGGGCTACAGATTGGAGAGAGATACTTTTGGAGAGCTAAAAGTACCGGCTGACAAGTATTATGGAGCTCAAACGCTCAGATCTGTTATCAACTTTCCAATTGGCGGTCCTTCTGAACGGATGCCAGTAAGTAATTACATTTAGTCGAACAAAAACTTAATCAATTAGAATTTAATTTAACTCATGTGTTCCGTATGAAATTAAGAAGTATAAAAATAATAATTTTTAGTATGGAGTAATTGTCGCCATGGGTATCCTGAAGAAAGCAGCTGCCGAGGTGAATAAGGAATACGGATTGGATCCGAAAATTGCCGATGCTATTAGTAAAGCTGCGGATGACGTTATCAGTGGAAAACTTTATGAAGATCATTTCCCTTTAGTTATCTGGCAAACTGGTTCTGGTACGCAGACCAATATGAACACAAACGAGGTTTGTCACATGTGTATTACCCAGTATCGATTCTATGATTAATTTAAAAGTTTTATTAAATTTCAATGAAACTGTATGACAATTAGGTGATATCTAATCGAGCTATCGAAATACTTGGCGGTAAACTTGGCTCGAAGACACCTGTTCATCCCAATGACCACGTTAATAAGTCCCAAAGTTCGAACGACACTTTCCCAACGGCAATGCACATAGCCGTTGCCATTGAGATTAACAAAGTATTGTTGCCTGGTTTGGAACAATTGCACGCTGCGCTCAAGAAAAAATCCGAAGACTGGAAGGATATCATAAAGATCGGTAGGACACATACACAGGATGCTGTTCCACTCACGCTCGGCCAGGAATTCTCAGGTACGCCTGGTTCTGGTTGCCTTATAAATTTTTTTCTTATTCATAGAAATTATATTCAGAATCTTTTACTATTCTTAGGATATGCCACTCAAATTGAATATGGAATTCAGAGAGTTAAGGATACTTTGCCAAGACTGTACATGCTTGCCCTTGGTGGCACTGCCGTTGGAACTGGCTTGAATACGCGAAAAGGATTCGCTGAAAAAACTGCAGCAAAAATTGCCAGTCTAACCGGATATCCGTTCGTTACAGCACCTAATAAATTCGAAGCATTAGCTGCGCACGATGCGATCGTTGAAGTTCACGGTGCATTGAATACCGTGGCTGTGTCTATCATGAAGGTCACTGATGAATGAACCTAGTTAACCTTCCAGTGGTGGCGGATTATCGAACAGACCTGATAGGTGTATATTTCTTATGGGAAGAATAAAAACGCCATCACTGTAGGGTTAAAGATAATTGTCACAAGGATCAGGACTGTTTTAATGAGCATCATTAATTGTAGATCGCCAATGATATTCGATTCTTGGGCAGCGGACCTCGTTGCGGCCTTGGAGAGCTTTCTTTGCCGGAAAATGAGCCAGGAAGTTCGATCATGCCTGGAAAAGTTAACCCTACTCAATGCGAGGCCATCACTATGGTTTGCGCTCAAGTTATGGGGAATAATGTAACAACCACTATTGGTGGTAGCAATGGACACTTTGAACTTAATGTTTTTAAACCTGTCATGGTTGCGAATACTTTGAGATCTGCTCGGCTTCTTGGTGATGCTTCCGCATCATTCACAAAGAACTGCGTCGTAGGCATTGTCGCTAATGTTGATAACATTCAGAAAATTATGAATGAAAGTTTGATGCTGGTTACTGCCCTGAACCCTCACATTGGTTATGATAAGGTAAGATTAACAAGTGATAATTTAAACTTTTAACTAAGAAAAACTATTCTTATTTTATACTTCACAGGCTGCTGCAATCGCTAAGCAAGCTCATAAGGAGAAAATAACCCTGAAGGAAGCTGCTCTGAAAAATGGTCTGACTTCTGAACAATTCGACCAATGGGTGAGGCCTGAAGAGATGTTGGGACCTAAGTAATAAAGAGAGAAAAAGAAAGTTGTCGAAACAAAAGTAAATCGTCAAACAAAAATCATGCAGAAAATGTTCTGTATTAATTTGGATCGTGTATATAATCGTTGAGGGATCTATAAAACATGATCCAAAGCAATACGCACTTTGATAATAGTATTAATGAAAGCTTTGTGAGACAGAAGTATATCGTTATAAATATTAAAATACAGTTGAGTTTTATTTAAAAAATGAGTTTTCATTTATCTTAGCTGAAGTTCGGAGTAGTCGAATAATGAAAAATGAAAAGAAGATACGATCGGTGAAATCGATATGTTTCCCCACTCACATGAATAAGTAAGCATAAACGTCAAAGTTTGGTGATGAATCTAATTTTACGTCCGTGTAAGGTAGCACGTACCAAAAATTGCTTGTCAATTAGATTAAAACTATCTTGATCTTTTGCAAGAATGAAAAATGTCATTTCTGGTATGTAATTAAATATTTACAATGAGCTAAGTGCAGAGTCAACGCTTCACAAGTGTATATAATTCTTTCCAAACGTACACTTGTGATTATTCGAGTTCTCAACATGATTAAAAAATCGGTCATGAAACTATCGTGAAGCTATGAATATACAAGTCACTCTCATCGTTTCAGCAGAATAATATTAGAATATCATGAGTATCCAGAATATCACCATCGCTACTTAGTTATCAATGACAGTTGTGTAAGAAACATTTTTTTAAGACAAATATGGTAAATGAATGGCTCTGCGCAAAATCGTATAAGCGCGATATCGCTAGAACCGTAGGGTATAGGTCATGCACAGTGTTTTTACATTTAAGATGTGATGTCGTCTTGAGAATCCGCAAGAGCAGTAGAAAAATGTTATCCAGACTACGACATATTTTTAAGAAAGCTGGAGATAGACATTATGGAAAAGTCGGTGTGATAGGAGTACCTTTTGAAAAAGGACAGGTATGTAAGTCTTCTTCAGTTTTCTTTTTCATTATTTTACTACAACTTATGTTAACTTAAAATAAACATCAAGTATTTCTTAATAATGGTATTGCTTTCCTATCTCTTCGGCTATTTTTGAGTAAATTATGCATCATTAGTGATAATAGTTTCAAATATATTTTTAGAAATTTGTATTTAATTTTGATATATTCTGAAAGTCAGGATGCTGTACTGTACTATGTGAAAACAAAACGATAAGCTAATCAGACTATTGTGAAATTTTATAAGACGTATGATGAACTTAAATTCTTCATAATATATTCTTGATTGATGTATAACAATATTTTTTTTTTGTATAGACTAAAGAAGGTGTAGCACGTGGCCCAGAGGTAATACGAGCAGCTGGATTAATAAATGAGTTACAGAATTTAGGTATGTAGTTAGGAAATATAACTTTTTTCTTTACTGTTTATATTTTAACTGTTTCACTTTGCTTTCTGTGTTTAAACGCGGAATAAGATGAATTTATAAATTGTGCAATTTCAGTGCAATTTTGATACTTATACATTGAGACTATTGCTTAACTGAAAAAAAGAATAATATAATTAATGTGTTATTATTATTTTAAAAGGTATCGATGTAGTGGACTATGGGGATGTTTCTTATGAAATAGAAAAAATTGCCGGTGTTGTAAATATGCCACATTTGGATCACATAGCTGCTTGTACAAAAAAAGTGTCCGAAGTTGTTCAAGATATTATGAAGGATAATCGAAGAATCCTTACTTTAGGTGGTGATCATAGTTTGGGAGTTGGAACTATAGATGGTCATGTTAAGGTAATTTTGAAAATCATTAAATAAAAATGATGAGTAGTTAAGGAAGTTATATCTTCGAAGGCTAAAAAAGATGTGGCTGTTTTATGGATTGATGCACATGCTGATTTGAATACCAATAAAACCAGTAAAAGCGGTAATGTTCATGGTATGCCAGTTGCTCTATTGACTTCAGAATTATCAGATTATTGGCCCCATCTTCCTGGCATGGATTGGCAGATGCCAATGTATGTATTTTTTTTTCCAAATTACTTTGATAGTAAAAATTATTTCTTAAGCACAAACTGTTTTTTCAGGCTGTCAATAAGAAATGTAGCATATGTGGGTCTGAGATCAGTAGATCGATATGAAAGACTGGTCATTGAAAAATTTGGAATTACAGCATTTGGAATGGAGGATGTTGAAAGATATGGTAACGTTATTGAATTATTCCTCTGCAAACACCATAGGTAGTATACTATGCAGTATATCCACCAGAGGAATAAACAAGAAAATATAATAGAAATTTCTATAAATCCCTTTTTAGGTATCCATGATGTAATTGCTATGGCTTTAAAAAAAATTGATCCAGATAATATAAAATCATTGCATGTTAGTTTCGATATAGATTCACTTGATCCTTTAGAAGCACCAAGTACAGGAACTGCAGGTAAACTGCAAAAATCATTATATTAAAATTATGTTGAATGATTTTTTCATATTCACCCATAACAATAATGAAATGAAAATTTACAGTGCGTGGTGGACTTTCTTTAAGGGAAGGTATTCATCTCATGGAAGAATTGTATCGAACAAACAGACTGAATGCTGTAGACTTAGTCGAGGTGAATCCTAAGATAGGTGATGAACGCAGTATAAGTTTAACAGTAGGAGCTGCTTTGCATATAATACAAGCTGGCTTTGGTTATACTAGACGTGGACTTAAAGTACCCAAAGGAGTTACAGATATGCCTTTACAGACATTCCGATAATCGTATATTGAACTAATCATTTTTTTAAAATTATCAATATATATTTTTGAATAAAGAATATACCTTTACGGTCCGAAACGTAGTCAATTTTATACTTTTCATTTAAATTCGATACAATGTTAACGTATAATCTTAAATCAATAAAGTAAAACCATAATCTCTTTCTTTCTGTCCCAATATTTATTTTTGCCACTTTTCACAGCACTGATGTTGAAGACAAATACATAAGTACTTAAAACTTCATCCGCCCTACCCGCCAATTGCAATGAACCATTTTGAATTAGGCATACATAGGTGGCATCACTAGTGCTTAGTATTAAATGGGAAGATGTTATTGGTCACAAAAAAATACATAGCTGAGAGACAGCCAATAGCGTGCTTTCTTTCTCCGACTGTTGATTTGCGCACATAACCTAACCTAATACTATACAATACTCTGGCTTTTTTGGGATCTTTCGGAAACTGTATACAGGGCACCATTTTGTTCCCTAAATCGACAAGATTACAGGCATTACCGGTACTTATAGCGATCTACAAACCGCCAAAACGTCGCGTTAAAGTGCGTTAATGAAGTAACTAACGAAATTTACACATCTGTTGGACATTGAGTATAGAAATGACGGAGGAGAGTGAGCATAATGTGCTCAAAAATCTTTTAACTCTTGAAGAATTTACTCAGATACCGGAGGAAATAGCCAAAAAACTAAAATCGTATTTCAACGAAAAGTTTGAAGAATTCATCACCGCTAAAGCCGTTTTCGAGACCGGTCGGCAAAACCAAGGTATATAACTTTTTACAGTTTGTGAATTATTATTTGGTATTGATGTTTGCATCAGTTCAAAGTGGATGGTCAATTTTCTTTGCACGCTATTTAAAATTTCTTTACCTTAACGTATTGTTCCATGAACTTAGAAGTGTATACAATTTTTTTAAATCTATAAATACTGGGTTCAAGTCAGCATCTAACGTTGTTCTTACGTGAAAGTTTGTTAGACGTTTAATTGATATGATTGTAGAAAAAACCTTAAATGATTTACAAAAGGATCATGCGGAACAGAAACTCGACTTGGACGAATGTAAGGGAAAGCTAGATTTGGCTGAAAAATATATAAAAGAATTAGAAGGCAAAGTTGACGATGCTAAAAGAGATATATTTAAACTACAAGAATCTGTAAAGAGGTGAGTTGTTTTATATAAGGAAAAGTATATTCTTATGTTTAGAATTATATTTTAGGGTATATTATTTTTTAGACTCGAGAAGGAAAATGCAGAATTACGCAGACAAAGGGACGCGGTGTCCGACGAAAGAGATGCCTTACAATTACAGATTGAACGACGTGACGCAGAGGTGGAAAGAATGCGCACTGAGCTTACATCTCTTGGTAATCAATTGCAAGCAGCAGTCACTGCAAAGTGTCAGGCTTTTGCAGAAATGGAGGAAGTCAGAAGTCGTGACATGACATTAGATTTCAAAGAGAAACGGCTTGATCAAGAGAGAACTCTTTTCGCCCAGCAAATGGCTGGTTTGGAGGAGGAACTGGCAAAACGAACTGCGGAGTTACAGGCAGCCAGAGCAGAAGCTTCATCCCGTGCACTTCTAACGGATACACGGCTGACCCAACGCGACGAGGAGCTTCGTATTGCAAATGAGAGTGCAGCTCAGATGCGTGAAGCCCATACAACATTACAAAGACGATGTGACGAACTTGCACAGAAGCTCGAGGAACAGAGGACGCACGAACTCTCAATGCATGCCTCCTACAGGGAGGAAGTAGGAGCCCAAACGAGACTTGCAGATCTTTACAAGGAAATGGCTAACGAAGCAACTGGAAAGGCTGACGAATTTAGTAATGCAGTGAAAGAGCTTCAGGAACTTTTGGAACAAGCTACCGAACAGTATGGCCTGCTTGAGACAAAACATAATGAACTTCAAGCTCAGCACGAAGAGGACCTTGCTGAGAAGCAACAGAAGATTGAGGCCTTGGCCAAGGAACTTGAACATGCAAATGAATTACTAAAGAATATCAAACAAGAACGACTCGATCAAGCTGTAGAACAATTGGCACCAACCGCCGCCATTGCCAGCAGAGTACTGAAAAAAGGTCTGACTCTAACTCAGATTTACACTCAACTTGTTGAAGCCACTAATGAATTAGCACTGGAGCGCGAAGAAAATGAACGACTCAAATCACAAATGGAAATTATTTTACGTGAATTGGAAGAGAAGGCTCCAGTACTTCAACAACAGAATAAGGACTATGAAACGGCGGTTGCCAACGTAGCAACTCTGTCCCAAAGACTGGATGATCTCCTCGCTGAGAATCATCGGCTACGAGAAGATACCGACAAGACGAAGACTATGGCTAACCATCAGCTCAGAGAAAATCAGAGACTCAAGACTGAATTGGCTGACTTGGCCCGACAGGTCTGTTTCCTCTTGAAGGAGGTGCAAGAAAGCCGAGGTGGTGCCCCGATTCCTACGAATGACCTATCTTCTTCCATGATGGATATCGATGATCTTGCATCCTCTCAAATAATCAGTAAGAAACTAGTGACCTTCCGAGATATTGAAGAACTCCAGGAAAACAATCAAAAGTTGCTGTCGATCGTCAGGACTCTGTCATCCAGACAGGAAGAGATAGAACGAGCCACCGATGAAATTAATTCTGGCGAGATGAAAGAGAAGCTAGATAGATACCTGGAACAGCTGGCAGAAATGCAAGCAGCACAAGACAGACAAGCAAAAATGTTGGACGGTCTTCTCCGTCAGCGTGACATGTACAAGAGTATGTATCAGCAGTGCCTGAACCAGGCATCCAACAAAACAGACCGAAATTCCTCCTCCAGAATAGATGGAGAAAGTTCTGAATCGCAAACGGATGACAAGAAAACGGAGGCCGAAAAACGGAAGGAAGAACAGAGCACTGAGCAGGACAAGGAAGCTCAGAGGAAACTTGCTGAAGTGGAGATTAAACTGAAGCAAGTATCAGATGAGTATGAAACTTACAAAAAGGAGAGAGGCGCGCACGAGTCTATGCTTACAGAAGAAGCAGAGCGTCTAAGGAAGGAAGCAGAAGCAAATTCCGCTCGTTGCTGCCGACTAAAAGCACAACTGGATTCGGCGAACGAGCGGTTCCATCTTCTGCAGGCAAATGTTACTTCATACAAGTCGCAGATAAAGATCCTCGAAGAAAAATGTAACAACTATAGTACAACTATAGGAAAACACGAGCAGAGCATTATGATGTTGAAGGACGAGACTCTGACTGCTCAGACGAAACTGTCTCGTGCCGAGGTACAGTTGGAAAATTTACGACAGGAACGGCAACTTCTGCGGGACTCGGAAGGACGTCTTCTTAAGGAACGTGAAGTCCTTCAACGGGAAAGACAGACTCAGGCGCTACTAAGAGCCGACGTGGAAGCCATTAAAGCTAGCTTGGAACGTGCTCAGGCTGAAGGTCAGTTACGGGCTGAACAAAGATTGGACGATGCTACCAGAGAATGCGCTGCTCTTCGTCGTCGTCTACAGGAGGAACAGGATCGTTTCAGGGAACTCGCATCGCATTTAGAAAGACAACTTACAGCTGCACAGCAACGTCTAACCGAAGAACGTACCTTGGCTGAGCGTACTCGTGCAGAATTGGAGGAGGCGCGTGCTCTAGAGGTCGAGAATTCACGACGTATCGAGGAACTCGGTGCAAAATTAAGACAGGCTGCTGCACATTCCATTGCCAAACCCATCACCGGTGACGAGAGTCTCACCAAGAGACTGAAGGAACTCGAGATGCAGTTGGCTAGCAGTCAGGCTGAAGTAAAGTCACTGTCGGAACAGTTGAGAGCTGCTCGTCAACAGAGTCAACAATACTGCGACATTGCCGAGAGCGCTGAGACCCAATTGCGAGAATTGACAGCTGAGCACAACAGAGCTCGCGAGGAACTTGAAACAGCTTTGAAGAACGCACAAAACAATGTGATTAATTTCGAGAAGAGAGTGAAGGAACTTGAAGAGGAACTTGCCAAAGTGTCCAGTGGACGTCAGGAGACGGATTCGGAACTTCGTGAAAAATTGGCAGCTGCTGAAATGAAGTTGGAAGAATTGGATGAGGTTAAGGGTGAGTTGGAGCTGATGAAGAGTGATCTTCAGAGTGCATCAGCGGCCGCCAAGGAGGCCGAAGAGAAATACGGCAGGGAGATGGTGCTTCATTCGGCCGATCTGCAAACCCTGGCAAAACTTAAAGAAGACTGGAGCACCGTTGCTGAGAAAATCGCGGTTCTTACGCGTGAAAGAGATGCTGCCACTGAAGCTCTTCAACTGGAGAAAACAGCATGGCAGGAAAGGGAACAACGGTTACGAGATGAGATCCTGGAGATGCAAAAGAGGGTTCAAGATCTGGATGCCCAGAATGCACTGCTTCATGATCAAATTCAAGAACTGAGTGATAGAGCAGCAATAATGCAGAGTCAGCAGTCGAAATCCAGCCAGGAGAGTCCAGATACCAGCCTAGAAGCGATGAATCGCAGCTTCAGCGGTCTCGAAGAGGATTCCAATTCAGCGGAGCAGCTCCTACGCGTGATGAAGTATTTGAGACGTGAGAAGGATTTGGCAGTGGCGAAATTCGATGTTCTTAGGGCTGAGAACCTGAGACTCAAATCCCAGGCGGAGGTATATGAGAAACGACTGAAGGAGACTGAGGCACTCCTTAATTCCGAAAGAGAAAAATCCGAGATTGATGTGGTGACGACGTCCAAGCATGCAGAACTCTTGCGCAAGGTAGAAACTCTAAATGCTATTGCTGATTCCAATAGGATTCTTCGTGAAGAGAGGGATACTCTGAGTGCAAAGGTCACCGAGCTTTCAGCGAAAGTAACAGCCCTCTCCGAAGAAGTTGTACCACTTCGTGAGAAGGCTAGAGATCTATCTGCCAAAACAGAGGGTCTTATGCAAGAAAATTCTGGACTCAAAGGTGAAGCAACGAGATGGCGTCAGAGAGCTAACACCCTTATTGAAAGAGCCAATAAAGCCAGTCCTGAGGATTGGCGAAGACTACAGACAGAACGTGAAAATCTCAGTAAATTATTGACGTCCGAACGAGAAACACATGCCAGAAGAACAGACGAACTAAATGCTATAAAAGCTGAGAAGGCTAGATTGGAGGAACAAGTTGTTCAGTGGCAGAAACAGGTGCAAGCTCAGAGTGAACAGATTTCCAGGATGTCAGAGGAGACTCGCAAACTAGGACAAGATTTGAACGAAGCCATTGCCGATTCAACTACTAAGGACAAGGATCTTGGCAGCTTGCGTAAAGAATTAAGTGACAAAGAGGCTACTCTGAATGACATCAAGAACAAAGAAATTCAGATCCGAAAGATCGCTAAGAAATATAAGACTCAGTTCGAGGAACTCGCTAGATCTGTCGAGGAGGAGAAGACGAAATTAGAAGAATCCAAGGCATCCGGTACAAATGCCGGAAACGAGGATACATCCCAAGCAGCCCAAGAACGCGAAGATCAGCTAAGGGAAGAAGGTAGACAGGAACTTCGTCAAGCAAACGTTGAACTGACGACCAAGATCGATGAGCTAACTCGCCAATTGAATGCAGTACAAAGTGAAGCAGAGGCGCTCAAGAGAGAAATAGAAAACATAAACAAAATCAGCGTAGAAAAAGAAGAGAGGGCCAAGCAAGTACTCAAGGGTGCCAGGACCAAGATAATGCAATTGACTGAGTCCAATAAAGTCTGCGAGAAGGAATTGAACGATTTGAAATCCAAAATTGATTCCAGTGCTAACGAGTCAGATAGCTCGGAGCACGATGCTAGATTGGCGGCAATAAAATCACAAATGGAAGGCAGAATATCGAGATTAGAACATGAAAAGTCCGAGGTCCATGCCGAGAAGGAAGCTCTTCTTCAGAGAGTGACCCAGCTCCAGAGACAATTGGCTGCTGGAGTTGGGGGAGTCAGTGCTACCACTGAGCCACCAACTGCTAATATAAAACCAATGTCTGCTCGCGCAGAAACTCCTTTGGCTAGTATTCGACCGATGAGTGTTGTTGTACAATCTAGAACAGCAGCAGTTTTACCTACAACAGCAACAGCACCTGTTCTAGTGGCACCGCAACAGCAGCAGCAGCAACAGCAGCAGGCTGTTCATACGACAGAGACGAGTTCGCCCACCAGCAGTCATACAGATTATCAACCAGCTAGCACCAGTAGCTCCTCTCAAACGGCAGCTGGTAATTTGAGACAACTGGCTGTGCAGCCACAGTTGAGCGAATCGGCCGAATCTACTCAGAGAGAAGATCCTGAGAGTGCGGAGGGATTGATTCGACAGGAGCAGCAGTGTCAACAGCAGCAACAGCAGCAACAACAGCAGCAGACAGTGGCTCTGGTAAGTCCGAGAGTTGAGCAGCAACAACAACAACAACAACAACAAGCTGCAGCTAGCGATCAACAGCAAACAGTGGCAAGTAGTTCTACACAGTCGGTGAGTACTTCTCAAGCATCGACAGGGCACAAAAGACCTAGGAGTCTTGAATCCCCGGCTTCAGGTTCTGGAGTTGTAAATACGGGGGATCATAGTAGGTCAGAGCAGCTTCCAAGCCCTAAGGCGAAAAGAAGTAGGCAACAGGAAGTGATGCCTACAGCTGCTGCAAGTGCATCGGAAGTGGAGTACCAAGTTCCTACTTCGAGTCAGAGAGATCAGGATGAGGAAGTTGAGGAAGGCTGTGTTGTGGTGGTTGATTGTGATGAAGGTGAAGGTGGTGGAGCACATCAGGCGCAGGAGGAAGAAGAATTTGATAACGATCCTTACGAGGAAATGGAAGAAGAGGAAGAATTACCATATGGCGTTGAAGTTGAGGTCGAGGGTGATAATAATGAGGTTGAAATTATTATGGAGGAAGATTCGACGAGTGTCGAAGTACCTAGGCAAGCACAGCCAACGATACTTACTAATCAACAGCAACAGCAATCTGAAGCTATCAGCAGTGCTGGTCCTACCGGAGAACCAGCGTCTTCCTTTGCAGCAAGATCATCCAGAGGAATTGCTCCAATGCCTAGACAGCAGCAGCAACAACAGCAGCATCTCCTTCTACCTCAGCAAGGATATGAGGATGCTGGAGACGATAGTATAGTTCCTAGTACACCCACGTTATTTGTCCCCCGCCGAGGAGATAGTTTCGGTGAGGCTGTGAGTTCTCCCCAAGTGCCACAAGGTAGCTTTACATTTGGTGATCCTGCGCCACCTTCTACTGCATCTTCGACACCTGCCCTAGCTACACCTACCGGAGCTGCTACGAGAACAATGTTCGGTTCCTCTGGGTCTGGCGTGGCTCAGGTAGTTCAGGAAGGAATGGACGACACCAGGATGGACCTTACGCAATTAGAAGATGGTGGAACAGGGCGCAGCGTTCCCACGACCCCCCTTCAAGTCTCGCCAGCCGCTGATCTACCTCCTTCCACTAGTAGTAGTGGTCCATCCGAGGAACAGGAAACTCCCGTTTCGGGCACAGCGGTTACAGCTACCAGAACAACCAGTAGCGATATTACCGAGGATACTGCGATACCGAGTATTCGCATCGTCACCGCAGATGAGCAGGAACATTCGCAGCTGGAAGTGGTCGTGGAAACTGATAGTGCTACTCCTGCAGATGGCGTAACTTCTGATAGTGAAAAACGACCTGAAGCAGCTGGAGCTACAGCTTCAGGGACAGTCGACGATGACGTCGCCGACACTGGTGCCGAAGCTACAGAAGATCCTGGTAGCGAAGTCACGGAAGAGGATCCGGAGGAGGAGAGTAGAGAAGCCGAGGCATCACCTTCGAGTAACACCAGACAGAGAGCTCTGGCTGCTGCGGCCGCCGCAGCTGCAGCCGCAGGCAATAACGCAACTCCGAACAGAGATTCAAACACAAGAAGATCTACGCGAACTCCGTTCAGAGCAGCTCGTGGACAGCGACCTACTCCCATCGTCTGGGACAATCAACCGGGACGAGGTACGTTATAGAATTACGAAATTCCTTATTAAAATATATGGTCTTTACTATGTATATAATCTTATTTTTAAGGACAAGGCGTAATGCGTGGACATGCTACAAGGGGAAGTGGGCCAGTCGGTGATGGCGGAAGAGGACGTGGCACTAGAGGAAGACGTATGCGCTCCAAGTATCCTTACTCACGTTTCTAGAATCCCACAATTATGTGTATATATAGAGAGGATATTGTGGTTTGGTAATATCGAAAGTGAGCATCGAGATTGTTCGTTTGAGCTTCGATTTACAATGTCATTCGAGTAACTCTTATCATTGCATTTTCGGACTTTATCTAATTCTCGTTCGTTTATTTGTGGAAATCATTAGTAGCCACGCTCTTCACATGAGTATGTAAGTCTACGAGAAAGACAAAAATGTTGTTTAAGTAGTATTGCCCTCATTTTAATACGTTGTTTAAGCCATTTTTTTGTCTACTATTAAACTATTTTCCATAAGAGAGTCGGCTACATTCCTATGAGGAAAAGTCCTGAACTTTTTGAACACGCTACAATTTATTATGCGTAGAATTCAATGTTAATCCAACGATGACCCCCTGATTAGTGATTATTAACTTTAGTGAAATGACATTTTACGGCATGAAAAGAGAAACAGCAAAAAATATTCGAAGAAGAACGACGGAAATTGACTTCTTTTCCTTCTTGATAAATACAGTCAAAGTATTTCATTCATGATCTATAAGGTGTAATATATTATATTGTAGACAGGATAATTTAATGTACGATTAACACGAAAAGAAATATTCTCCATTGAAGTCGCTTCGACTTGCATTTACCCAAGAGGAGAGTGACCAGTATAGAGTTGCTGGTCGTAAACTTTAAAAATAAAGTATGTTTGTACAATAAGTGGTTGAGGATTGCATAAAAAATTCAATTTATTTCCAGTCAAGTTAATAAATAAAGCAAAATTGATTGTTTCGCAATCAATAGCCGTTTTATAGAATAAATATTAAATATAATAAATAGAGTAGATTTTAAAGCGTTCTAATAAATAAATTTGCATAATATTTAATTATACGCTGAATATCTATAAATAAGTTGTGGCAGATCTAAGAAGTCTTAGGATTACGGAATAGCGCATATCACGTTATATGTTTCAGTCTCATTTTTTTTTGGTCGACCAGTGCTCGGTACGTCTCTTAATGTCATTTTCAAGGTTCAGTTCAAGGTCATGGATATGAGCCATCCGTACGAACAGAGTCTCATTCGATCAAGCAGACGATCGATTGTCCTTCAACAAAATTACTATAACGCGTGATCCTTCTTGATCGAGTTTTTCTTTTTCTTAGAGAAACGCAATTAAAGCATCTGATCGACCTAGCGATCTGAATATTATATACTAGATAAATTAGATGACACATTACACAGAATAGAAGAAATAAAAAAGATAACTAATACCCGTTTACTTGGAACGTCCCTGATTTTCATAATTGAATCGACGAATCGCGATCAACGCGATTCTAATTTTCTACAGAGATTAAAACGATTGAATCGGTAAATACTGTCCAGTAATTATACATAGCATCTCTCTTAGTTCCTCAAGGAATTACAACATAGCTGAATCTTGGAGTCTTCGGACTAGAGGACATCTTCGGTCTCAAACACGTCACTCGGGATGCTGTGGAGGATGTGAATATCTGATAGTCAGTCAGACAGCAAGTTATCGAGGAACAGGTGGGTCTCAGTGTTCCGTGAAAATAGTCGGATCAATTAACATTCTGGCGCCGGTATCTAAAGCCAACAATTCCCTTGGCCTTTAGCCAATTCACAACAAGGTTATAAAGATACAGTTAAATACGATATTCACTGTGCGGCGTTTACCCTGCTTTCTGACTAAGCATCACTGCTGTCTCAAGACTCAGTTCTCCTACTGAGATTAGCCGGTTTTGACTTTTGAACCCTTAAGGTACCGTAGATGTCCCATTTATGAACATCACTCGGCGCTTTCTCGTCTCCACGTCGTTTTTCCTTTCCATGCATTCACAACTACCGTGTTGCTCGACTCGGATCCATCTGTAGTCCGTCCGCCTTGTCACGAAATTCTTGATTTTCACCTGCATGTCTTCATAGTAAATGGCTTCGGGAACTGGTCCGCAAGTCATGAAATCAGTGCTGCAGCATCCGGCATGCTTGTCGCACGTACGGAGTACTACACAAACAGGATGATCCACGCTTTCCGATGTATTTTGATACATGTCTTCCATAAGTTCCGCCAGGTAATAAGATCGTTCTTGAGGATTGGTACACTTGAATATTATAGACATGTTCATAACTTGCTTAAAATGTATCTTTTTTATTTTCTTATCACCTGCGGACGGTGCGCATATCACTAATCGCTCAAAAGTCAGAAGAATGAGCACGTTCAGGGACCAAGAGATATTCATTGTGAAAAATATTTAATAAATATCGTAGACACTGGTGCTGAATTTCTCACTGGGATTTAACTTTCCTTATTTCTATTTTTGATCCTAATCTATTTTCATCACAGGGTTCACTTCGTATTATTTTACTTTTACTCGTATCACCTGCCCGTTGCACGAGACTGATCTTTAATCTACTTCTTATTAGGATCTTCAATGATTCCACTAAGTAGTCGTCGGGCGGCGAATCAAGAGTGAATTGACTTTCGTACTGTACGACTTATTTATACATCAACGAGGACTGCTTTACTAGACTGGCATACACGTGCTACCGGCCGACCACAATTTTCAAGTGGTAGAAAGAGAGGGGGGACTATGCAGAAGCATGGTGTTGAGATTTACCTACGCACGCGATAAAGAATTTCCATACGTGATGCAACGTCTTGGGAATTGCCGGCTATGCGACAACCCTTTTCCTTCTTGGTATACCTATATTGCATTCTTGTGTAGCACTGTCTCTGTGGAAACGAGAAAGCTCGTTAGAAAAGTTACCTAGCTTAGAGTATTTCACTAATATGCAAAATCCAATGAAAACTTCACAATAAATAATATCATTAATTTGCTTTTAAATTATTTAAGAAATATCAGCTTACTTTGTCGTTTGTTACCGATTATTCAGTACTACTGATGGTCGACGGTTTGTCTCTCAATTTTTTGTATACCTTCCTTTGACTTATTTCGCAATACTTTTGACAGTCAAACACAACTGTATCCAGGTCCATATGGTCTGGACGACTCCATTGGCATGTGTGAACAAAGTATTTCCTCGGCTGCTGAAACGAATGTATGTACACAGCACACCTCGGATAAGATAATGTATCAGACAACTGACTGTGCATCGATTATTGTTGAAAACATTGCAGAGTCTCTCGCTCCTGATTATACAGAATGTTATATAAAATAAAATTACATGGAAGAGTATAGACAATCAAATAATAAATTACAGTAGTTTATGGAAGAACGCCAGCTCTTCCCAATTATTTTATTATCAATATTATTAATATTCATAAGGAATAGTAATGAAAAAGTTTCTAGGAAATACATACACTTCTTCGTTCTCTCTGATGCATCTTATTGTTATAATTGTCCTAATTATAATTTTCTTTTGCTTTTTTTTCCGTCCTCTGATTTATTGCGCCAAGACATTCGTTAGGAACTTATTCTGCAGAATTTATCCTGATATGCTGTGTCTCGTTTCCTTGTTATATCCTGTTTTAACGATGTTCGGTTTTATTCTTAATTTAGAATAATTTATGCATAAAAGAGGAACCGGATGAAGGGGACATCCCACGCTCGAAGACCGGTCTGTCTGATAGTTCCTTTTGCTTTTAATAACGGTCAAGAACGCGTCAATCCGTATTTGACTCATGCCTGTGATTCATCTTACGAGAAACATTTCATTATTTCGTGTCGGTTTCCACATGTCGAATACTTTCCTGCATGCCAATAGGTCAGTCACTCGTAAAGTAATAAAGACTATGTATGTAAAAAAAAAGTAATAATAGGCAGTCTGAGCAATGACTAAGATTCGGACATAAACATATAAGCCTTTTTAGGCGTTTTGTTACGAATATAAATAGTCTCGATCGACGTAGGTCGATTACAGTTTGAATTATGAAACATTGCACAACGTCTGGCTAAATTGAAAAAAAAACTGAAGAATCTATCCTTCGAGTGAGATATTTTTATGTTTCCTTGTAAAATGGAATAGTGTAATTAGCGATGCGGTAGGTGATGTTTAATACAAGAGTTAATGGATTCATGGCGACAACCAAGTCTTCGGATTCTCAATAGTGATTACGTCTATCTCATCTTGAGTAAATCCCTTGATGATCATTTTTGGTAAAACGTTATTGTATATATGCGAATATCCATGCCCTCCAAAATCGATCTAGAATTCGAAAAATTATTGTATAACCTTAATTTGTGAACTCTTCTTAATTAATATTACCAACCAGACGATGTTTCGTGTGAATGTCATGACTCAAGAGAATCCTATCCAGTTTTCCTTCGTCCCGTAGAAGCTTCACCCTGTCGATTCTCTGAGCATCGGACAGCATGTCGGTTGATGGATTCAGTTGATAATACGAGCACTCCGTACCGAAAAGATCATACTGACAGAAGCAACCAGACGTAGAAAATTCCAGCAAACTCTCCTCGGTAATGAAAGTGCCTAAAAATCCATACTGATTCAAATTGATAATTCATAATCATCTAATTAAAGACTTACGATCTAAGTGAGACATAATAGCTTTAGTGACAGCACCACCAGCTTCCATATAAAGTCGAATTATTTCAAACGGTGCCCTAGGATCTCGTCCAGGATGAAAACTCACAGGGCAACCGAGCTGGGCCTGAGCTTCACCAGCTGCTTGAATTGCTTTTCTCTCAAAGTCTGAATAGCAAAAAATCATTAATCAATATTTCAATAAATAGTTCAACAGTTACGGTGTTTGAACTACGTTTACCATCGATAGGCCAAGCGCTACCAACTTCTCCAATAAATCCAGCTTTAACTTCTGGATTCCCATTACATCCAATTGTCATTTCTTGCATAATAAGATCGTACATTTCTTCCTTACTCGCCGACAGCGCACTCTTGCTTTGCGTCAGAGAAACGTAATGACCTAATAAAGAAAATCACCGAAACGCATGACTCCCAGAGCTCGTTAAATCAAGCATACGAGGAATAACTACCAGTTCCGGTGATAACGTGTACGCCAGTTTCCAAGGAAATATTTTTCATCAAAGAAATGTCCCTTTTTATCCCGTGATTAGTATTCTCAACAATTGTTCCACCACCAAACTTTTTGAACAGCTTCACGTCTTTCAACACAGCCGCATGGGTATCGGGATCATTGAAAGTAATATTGTAATGGCTACCATACCTAATAGCAACAGTAACAACAATAATCAAAATAATAACTAAAAATTCAAAAACTCTACCAACGTACTTTTACTTTAATGTAAAACTTACGGATATTGCCTAACGTATCCTACATTACACAGCTCAATTTTCTTGTCTAAATCAGACTTAAGACTGTCCGGCGGTGGTGTATAAAATTTTTCAAAATCAAGTGCAAAATGTTCATGGGTCAAGGTTCTGCCAAGTTCAGATGGTCTCACTGGCCCCAATACTAGAAAAAAACACACAAACAAATAATCAAGTTAACATGCTTCAATTTTCTTCTTATGTTACGTATCGACTCACCAGTCTGTACGCTCGCTATATTCATCTTAGTTCCTCGTACCACGAAAACCTGATGATTCAACTAAATCAATTTGTCACCAAATTCCAGCTCGCTAATGAACGACAATGAAGCTGCGACGTCTTATGTAACGCAGGGCTTGTTCGTTGGATGATAACGCATACCATGCATTAATATCAGACCACATGAATTCTAAGGCAGAGATAAAAATAGCAAGTGACGATAATGGAATTGAAATATCGTAAAATCAGTAGCTGGTGTTACGTCCCACACCCTTGTTGTTATATTTCTATGGCCATCAAGAATCACAATGAAAAAGTATTATAATTATATCTAATTGTAATTAATATCCTAATGTCATACCAAATTATGTCAACAGTGAAAGTTTCAAATAAAAGATTCGATAGTAATACTCATGAAGATTCAAATTGCAGGGTACGATTTGGCGTATCGATTATCGAAAATACGTTACTTGTCAATCGATACAGTTGGAGCTTTGAAGATGCTAAGAAACCCTAGTCAAAAGTACCATAATTATGGTACTTAAGCTTAGCGATTGAGAGTAGAGTAGTTGGCTAGTTGACGCTGAAAGTAGTATAGTTGAAGTTACAATTGAAGGTGCAGTTCAGAGTTCAGTGGGCGAGTCATTGGAGGCCGATTTCGCTCACCAAAGTTAATCGAGATTCAACTGTAGACAGTAGCCAATCAGATGTCTGTATTTACGGAAATTCCAAATCTGATTAGCTAATTCCGACGATTAATCCTTGGTTAACTTAAGATGAAAACATATACCCGTAACCCACTTGTATTCTTCATTGGGAGTTCCCCATTTGAGAAACTTGGCTGTCTGATATTTCCTCATCCAACGCTTACCTGTCTGATACATTTTCCCCTCCATCGAAGTGCTTCGAGTGTATATAACACCTTGCATCCATTGCAATGGACAAAGCAAATGTCGACATTAAACCCCAACATGCATAACAGACTATTGTATTTACGATGCATGGGCATTTCAGGAGAATCACCATTCACGCAGTTGCGGGTTTCTGGCTATTAGGTGAAATCATGAATACCCTAAATATGAACGCACCTTCCCACACTACACTGGGTGGTTAGGAATACATTATACAGACATCGTGAATCGCCATTACTCACGTGTAATGGATATTCCTGAGTCCACACAGGATATATTGCTAACGTCATTCAGGTCTACGTTAGTCCCACTTACAGACGTCCTTTTTTTTCGTCTTTTCCACATTTTCCCTATTATTCATGCAATGTATTTTTAGTATGTTTCTGACAGTTTATTGACTTGAATAGGAGCTTCTTATTCATTCGTCAATCCTTGCTTGATCTTCCGGATTAGCGTTTGTAAAACTGGTAAGTATTTAATTTTATAATTATGGAGCAGTTGGATTTCTCCTTCCATTTTTTTTTCTTTTTGATACCACTCAATTTATTTTACACTTACAGGTATGATACCTCTATACAGGAGTACAACGTAGCACTACAATGCGTCTGGTAGCATCCAAATGGAATGACTGGATCTTGAAATACATTAGAGATTATATAACATACCTATATTTGAACAAGAGAAAGGGAATATACAATCCAATTATCTGTCACCGGTATCAATGAACAAGTATCAGCAAGGGTTACTAAATTTTCACATAATACACGTTGGCAAACACGTAAGAAAAGAACAACAAATTTTTCTTTTTTGATATACAAGTTATTGAGGAATTTGATCCAACTGGATCCAATTGGAAGGCTACCACGCGCAGGTACAATCCATCTGGATGGATCGTGGTAGTTGTGAAAGGCGAGTAAACTGAAACTCGTGTCTCTCGAACTATCGTGAAAGTACGAGGACGGGAAGCAACGAGAACGATTAAGACGAATGCGAATTAGAAGAGAATTCATATACGCCGTGGATAAAGAAAATGAGCTTGTTTGGAAAGAGGATAAATTTTCTATCGTCAATCGCAGTTTAAACATCGTAAGGTAAACGAGAAGCCAACGAGCGTAGCAAGAGCGCGAATACATGAGATTCCACAATTAGTAATGATCTCCATAATTAATTGTTTGATTTGTTCCGACAGTTTTTTTTTCGAGTTGTTAACCATACGTAATATAAAATACCATGCCCGCATGCAATGGGCGCATAGTACATATATGTATATATATTTATAAATATATATAGATATATTAAATTCGAATCCGCATAACACAGCAAGAGTAAAGGTAATTTCCTATCGTTGTTACGCTACTTAGATCCTAAATTTCTAGATCTCTATTTACGATTCTTTGACACCGAGTCTCTGTGTTCTTGGTGTCAACTAAATTCTAGATCTCTTTTTTTCCCTCTGTGAATAACACGACGTTCGGTCGAGCTTCAACGCAACTTCTGAATTGTCAACTTTAAAATCTTGTGTCCGTTCCTGATTTGATTCGTGAAACTTTCCTCGACCGTTCTTGCTTGTCAATTGATAACTGACGATACGATTTGGATAGATCTTTCAATAAAATAATCACGAGAGGACTCATTTCTAAAATTGAGGATCTAGAGAATCAAGACTAGTGCTTGACGTAATTGCACGATCGTCTTGTGGCCGTTTGTATTCAAAATTGCAATTGCGTCATGGACTAGTTTACGGCAGTAAACGAAAGCATTATTTTTTTCAACCACTTTGCTGGATATACTCGGTCATATTCTTAAGTAATTAATTAATCAATTAATCTGCTCGTTACTCGTCACGTTTACACTCACGCTCGATACTCCATGTATGTTTTTATGTATGTAAGTATGCATGTGTACAACTAAAGCCTCTGTATGTAGTATCATTTTTTTCATACAACTTCTATTCCTAATTTTTTGCTCTAAATCAATGAAAGATCAAAGAATTGGAAAGTTGCATGAAAATAATGATCGTGTAATTAGAGCTCAATAGGAAGGAACAAACGAATACAAAAGACGTGAAATGAATTTGTAAAAAATATACAGAAAGACACCCAGTAATGTACAGATGAAGAAAATGTAGCTCCACGAATATAATATTGTATATATATATATACGTGTCTGCGTGTGTATTTTTGCGTGTCAGTGCCACCTCATTTAGAGTTCAAGAGTCAGGAAACGGGTCCACGACAGATTAATATCCTTCCTTCGTTAAGACCAGGCCTTCATGCGTCGATAGGATGAACGTGCACGTCCTTTTCAATCTCCAATTCACTTCTACTTCTTCGTGCAGACTTCCGCCCCGCCGTATATCATCCTGCGAATTACATTCACAATGACGTAGCATGACTTTTGCTACGTTTCAACGAAAGACTTCATAAGCTGTCATCGCTGTCATCCGCATGTGCCTCTACTGTCACGTTGCCAGCTTGACCACTAGCTTCGCCACTAGTCTCGGCCTCCTGTTCCGTTGAACTGTTATGTGCTTGTTGTTCATCTGCAAGATTTTGTTATGAAGAAAAGTTTAAGGTCAGAGAGTAATATCTCTTAAAGGAAAGACTTGAATTTAATTTTACCGGTCGGTGTTCCCGGTGATTCATCGTCACCCTGGCCAGGACTGAGTATAGCTTCTTTTATTTGACTGTTCACACCTTTTGGATCGAGATCCGTGGCCCAGCTGAAGTACATCAATGCCAAGTGCGTATTGCCTAATTTTTTATGTACCTGTTCAAAAATATTCGTATAAAGAAAACATTCGGGTACTTGTCCTACTTATTTAAGAACCAATAATCAAACGACTGTCACCTTTCCTATCGAATAATAGACTAGAGACTCTTTGGGTACAATGTTCTTCAACTCCTGGAATTCTCGAAGTGCTTCAGCGTGGCGTCCGATGGAGAAATTAATGCTAGCACGGTGAAACTTGCACAGTGTGTTGTTTGGGTCATTGGCTAGTGCTGCGTTTAGCGTTCTCAGGGCTTGATCAGTCTTCTTCAGGGCGTGCTGTACCACGCCTATGTGGCACATGATAGCTGAGTTCTGGGGATTTATTTGAAGAGCGCGTTTGAAGTGTAACTCGGCTAGGTTGTATTGTTCCTGCTTGGAAAATATCGTGCCTAATCCAAACCTGTTGAACATAATTAGAGAAACCAATATTAAATGATATTCGACGTCTGTCAATATTCTATGAATTAGTTATAAAAATGCGTACCAAGCATTGTAATGCCTGGAATCAAGCCTGATTGCATTTCTGAAAGCAGTTATTGCCTTGTCGAGTTCCTCCGTCATAACGTACTCGTGTCCAAGGAGTGTATAAGCATATGGGAAATTTGGATCTACCTGAAAGTACAAGAATTATGGTGTAAATATACGAATTCATTTGAACATGTTAAATTGGTGAATCGTTAAAATACTTGTATAGCTCGCTGAAAGAATTTAATGGCAGTCTCGTGCTCTGTTTGGGCTGAGAAGAGATTTCCAGTGGCGCACCAGGCTGCTGGAGAATTACGATCCTCAGATACCAATTCTTGGGCGAGCGTTGACAATTGTACTTCTGCGTGAAGATGCCACAGGACTGTACTGTATATTTCCATTAGTTCGGTTCTCTGTGGTTCTAGCTGCCTCACTTCGGCAAAGTAACTAAATCATACAATTTGGTTTATGACCAAGATACAAAAATGATGAAAGAAAGCGAGGCTTGAAAAAAGAATATAATACCTAGCAGCCTTTTTGTAATCTATCATCTCAAAATGCGCTTTGGCTAGCATCGATAATACCCATCCTGTATGATAATGATGAGCTGGCAAAATGCTTAATATCTCGACAGCTTGAGTACAATTAAATTGACTTAGATGTTGATAGGCTGTGCCTAATTCTCGCAATAATGACATTAACCCCTCTGAAATTAAATCCCAATCTTAGTGTTACCATCCAATTAACAATGTCCTCAGAACATACAATTGCCTACTCACCTGCACATTGTTTCTGTAGCATTAGGGCACACTGTGAAGCATTACTCTGATTTAGCGCGTTTGTACTGGTTATCACTTTATCAGAAGTGATTGTTTCGCTCTTCTCCTTCTCGTTTCTATTCCTCTCATTTAACTCATTAAAATTTGTCTTATTCAAATTAGTCTTTGACAGTCTTGCTTTGGTCTTTCGCGACGGAGACTTGGGCGTAGCGAATTTATTTCTATTTGGCGACTTATTATTTTCCTAGAATCAATTGATCAAATTATGTAACCAATCGTTGATAACTCCTAATATAATTATTTTTGGATAATAAAATTATCATACTTACTTTGACCGAATAGCTATTACTAAAAAGTCTGGACGATCGCCTGACATTCGGCCCTTGAAGCGTCGGTGGGGTTGGCGTCGGTGTGGTTGGTGTCACAGTCACAATATTAGCCGTGTTACTTGTATTCCCAGACTGCGAGAAGACAGGTTTACCCTGCTGCAACGGTGTTTCCTTTCTTGACATAAATTGCTAAAAAATACAGTTTTAACGTCTCGCATTCAGGAATGGCTGGCATAAAAAATCCAGCCGTCTTTCTACAATCTTACTAACCCCAACATGGGCTCTTAAACTGCTCACTCGCTTGGCCAAACTCTTCTGATCATTCGCCTCGGTGAGTGTTGCGTGAGAAGGTAGCACAGTTGGCTCAGGAGTATTGCTGTCTAATGGTAGAATGCCAAAACTAGGAGTGAGAGGGCTCATAGAGTTGCTGAACATACTCCGATAACGTGGTGGTTTTCCTCGTGGCGATACTGATGAACAATTGTAGTGTGTCGGCTGTGCTAGAGGACTTTCATCTATTGATGGATGTAATCGGCTACCAGGAGGTATTCCACCATTTTGTATTGTTGGCTGGCCAGGTGTATTGCTAAGAGGAATGAGTAATATAAATAATGTATCAAGAAGAATAGAGATAGAAATCATTCAAAGTACCTACACGTTATTGCCATTTGGGGTGGCAGTGTTATTGTTAGTTGGTCCAATAATATCTGGCTCGGCAACATAATTTAAAATTGGTGTTGTACCATGACACATGGCAAAGCTATCCAATTTCTCGAGATGAAAGGTCTTCACGGGATCTACCTTTTCTCCGACATTACACAGTTCCTCGAAGGAATGCCAAAGAAATGGATTCATTTTTAGGGCCAACTTGTGTGCCTCGCTACCTTTCGCCGTTCTCATCATTTTATAATATATCTTTGCTATTATTTGGAGCGAGAAACAGGCCTGATCACCAAATTGTGTCACTATTTCATCTAGACTTTTTAACTGCTTATAATATCCACCTATTATAGCAGCTTCCGCTTCTGCGTATCTGAGTGAAACAAATAATTCACTAATGTTATCTGATTTTAAGCGATCCAGTTTCGGTATAAGAAGTTAACTTTCGTCTGTCCTTACTTTTCAAGATCGTAGCAACACTTGGCCAAGAGAAATCTACATTGAGAGGAGCTAGGTGCCTTTTTGGAAAGTAATGCATGAGCTTGCCTGATACGTCCAGAACGATAGTAACACGTTGCAAGAAGAAATAAGGTATCCTCTGTATCCACTGCGAATAATAAAAAAAGCATAATATTATATCTCTTTTTAAAATTCAATAGATAAAACTTACCTTCGGCAAATAATCTTTCAGCTAAGAAAATTGCATCTGGATAAGCATAGTGATTTAAACAATGCCATATGGCTGCCTGTGAAATAAATATAACACCTTGAAACTGTAAGAAATATCATATACTATATACTTCATGCATATATATTTCAGAATCCATTGATCTATTAATACCCAATAAAAACCAGATGACTGAAATCTTAGTAAATGGGAATCCTAATCATAAAATCAGCCCTAGTAAGTGTAAGAATAGGGGAAAAATTCCATACTCCGCAACATCAAACCTATCACTTCTAGTTTTATAAACTTATTGTACTTGTACCATAGAATCACAAGACTAATTGAATGTAATAACCGATCTGGATTTAAATATTATTAAGAGTTTATGGCAGAGTAATAATTCAGGAAAAGCCATTCCTTTAAGCTTAAGATTATTTATAGCCATATCATAGTCATGTAAAGCACCATGGAAGCATCTTCTCAAAAAAAAGTAGCTCCTCTATACTATATGGATTCCAGAGTTGCTGGAAATTTCTATCACGATAAAAAAAAACTGTTCCCAATGTATCGATCAAAGTCACATATCACTGATTTCGATATTACATAAATTTAATAGTAAATGGACGAGATAGCTGAGATGTCAATATTGGCGATTCTAGATGCGCCCCGATTGATAGCGGTATGTCACTCGCGTATCTGACAGAAGTTTGGTCGTTTTACCTGGACTGGCTCCTGCACGATCATCGTTCACACCGCGGGTTCGCGCATAAAAATTCCTTGGTAATTATTTCCGATTAATTTAACGGTGAAAACCCAGATTTTAACGACTGCTTCATATAAAAATTTCTCAAGAGTCCATCTTTACTCCGTCTCTTTTGAAGTGAACAACTGACTTCACAGGGAGGCTAGCCAACTGCTGGATGAGGAACACCCTAGGAAATGGGAAATTACACTAGACAGGGGAAAATTATCCTTAAAATATTTCATTCGACTGCATTCGACGAACAGAGGTTTAAATAGTTTATTTTTTATAGTTTAAATAGTTTTCATTTTTATTTTATCCAGTAAAATTGCAGAGGGGAATAAAAAACATTTGGATCATACACGAGATTAGTGCGCCCTTTGGAGTGTCTTCCATTAAAAGGTTTATCTATAAAAGACAAGTAGTTAAGGAACTGATACAGATAGGACATTTGTTAGAAACGGATAATACAATAATCATTCAGTATCATAAGATTCTGATCTGATAATTATTTTTTCACCACATACTGTATTGCATATTCTTTATTCTTCCCATTCTTATGTATCCCTATAGATTTCAGAACTTTAAGTTGTGATGTTATCTTTTTCTCTGTCTACTTTAGTATCATGTTAAACCCAGAGAAGGATATTCAACATAATTATGAAAATCATGTTTCAATAAGGTTATTTGCGTTCAGCACCATTTGAACAAAACCAGAATTCCAAGTTTTTCGCTTTCGTGGGTATGGCTACGTTAAGAATATAGGCAGTATACGGCAAAGGAATATGAAGAGGGAAAATAAGATAATCAGAGGAGCAACTTTAACGGGACCTCTGGATCACTCCTCTAAGTCCAGGTCCCCTAGTTCTTCCTCAAGACCCTCCAGGTCGTCTTCCGTGAAGAGGTTCTCGTTGATTGCTAAAGCAGTTGCACCTTCGCCTACTACGGTTACTGTTTTTGAAAAAAAATATCATATTAAATACTTCAGTCATATCTAATATTAATTTATGTACATTAAGAATTCTTACCAGAGGTTTCGCCATTAGTTTGAGGAGTTGCTTGACTCTTTAGTCGATCGTCCTTGGCGACAGTTATTCCTGACGTATCTGCTTCTTCAGCCTCCAGTGCAAGTCTATCCATATCCAATTCGCGATATTCAAAACCTTCACTATCCTCATCTTCTTCTCGGACGTACGAAATAATAGCTTCATCACCATCGTCATCAACTCCTAGGGTTAGAGTAAAAAACATGTTGTATAGCTAGCCTGTGGATAGTGTATAATTTTGAGACTACTATATTAGTATATACCATCTCCTGTTGCAAGTTCTGGATTAAAGAAGAACATTTCTCGGCCAGAAATTCCGACCTGGCGACCAGCTTTGTAATCACTTCGTTTCTTCTCTTCATCCTTAATGGCTTGTTCTTTCTTCTCCTTCAATTTCCTCTTCTTCCACGCCAGGAAACTCTCGAGCGTTATCTTGGTCTGAACAAAAGTAGTTTTAATATTAGTCTGCATACGTTTTATGAGGGTTTTAAGATAATCATACTTGATTAGGACCAAGATTGGCTCTCTCTCGTTCAATTAGATCCTCAAGAGATATTTCGTCCTTCTTATCTTCCTTTTTCTTGTCTTTTTTCAGCTCAAATCCTGGTGGCAATGCATGTCTGTAAATACATTTTTGTCCTGATGGACATTCCCAAAACCAACCATACTTTGACTTTTCTACAGCTTCTAAAAAGTGTTTACAGATCTGCAAAGAAGGGATAGAATCATTGGAGTCATTTATATTGATTAATATTGCAGAACAGTTGAAGGTCTTACGATATCCGTAGTTGGCCTGTTGCCACCAGCAGCATGTTTCTTTTCGACAACCTCCTTGAGCTTATCTTCATCCCACTTATCCATAGTATCAGCTTCTTTATCGTCATCACGCATATCACAGTAGAGAGATCGTTTCTCAGCCTTTCTCTCTATACTCAAGTCATGAGAAAATTTGCACTTGTCTCCTTTGGTGCATTGACCCTGCTTGAAAAATGCACATACCACAGACTTAGGATCAGTACCTGAAGGAAATCATTGAAGTTAAATTTGACTTTCTGATTTATATAAAAAAAATATAATTTTAAATACCCCAGACCTTTTTCAATTTTTTGTGTTTGAACAGGCTTAAATATAAGAGCCAATTCTTTCTGCTCCTTCAGCTTCTTTTCTTTTTCAAGTTTCTTTGCATTAGGATCATCAATTTTACGAGGATTGAGACCACCTGATTTCACCTGCTTTTCTACCTGCTGTATAAACTTCTGTTGCTTGGCTCCCTTTTTGTTCTTAATTCCAAATGTTTTATCCTGTACAACAATAAATATGATAAGTATAAGCATTACATGGACAGACAGCGGGGAAACTTAGTAAAAATTCTGAATAGAGTATAGTGCATTAAACACTTTTGAAAAAGAGGAACTTTGGAATTATTCAATCGGAGTAGTGACGAACATGTGGAGATGAAAAAAGCGAGTGGCTAGTGAAACATATTTGATAAAATATGAAACGTACCTCTATAACCTTCTCCTTCTTCTTCTGTTCGGTTTTCTTACTAGGAGCAGGTGCTTTTTTCGGCGGCATCTTGCCGTTTTTAATTCTTTGAAGAACCTATCAAATTATGAGGAATCTTAAAAAGAAAATTCTGGCATGAAAGCAGCCGAACGGCAATGTACAGCGACCATCGCTCGTGAGATCAGAAAAGTTTCTGAAAATATCACTGGCACCCAGTGTATACACAGTCAACTCTAACTATCTTCATACCGCTAAAAAATCCCTAATATTTCAGGGATTTTGCACCAGACACACTGGGCTGGCATGGTGTTGCTCAGCATTTTCACACCATTAAGGAGACTACGGTCTTTTTCATCCTTGACAATTGTGTGGTTAACATTAAGGTCTACAAAGATCAGTTTGCCGGGTAATTATGGCGAAATTCGATTTAACTTCACGTATAGGACAGTATCTTGATCGGCATTTGGTCTTCCCTCTTCTTGAATTTCTTTCAGCCAAAGAGGTATGATAATACTTTTAATCTGTCAATGGTATTCCATGTGGTATTTGGTTATGATGCCATACTCCATTCCAGATTTATGATGAGACTGAACTTCTGCAAGCTAAACTTGACATCCTCAGCAAGACTAACATGATTGATTATGCTATCGACATCAGGAAATTGTTATATCCTGATTTGGAAGTCACTGAGGTAAGTAATCTGGTAGTTACATTGTGATTCGTTGACTAACATGTTGCTCCCTTCTAGGAATTGAAGACTCGTCGTGCTCGCGTAGTGCAGGAGCTTCAGGAGTTGCAAGAAAATGTTTCAGCTATTGTGTCTGTTATGAACAATGAGGAACACATGAAAGCTATGGAGAAAGCTAGAGATTTCAAAGCCCTGAATAACTATCTGACTCAGGAGTCCGAAGTAAGTGTAATTTCATAAAACAGTCATTTTATTACTTTACGCTGTGTTAATCTTAAAATTTCTTTAGTTCAGGGTAGAAATGATGGACAACTTTGTCAAGCTTGCTAAATATCGTTATGAGTGTGGTAACTACTCTGTCTCCACATCGTACCTGTATTTCTACATGCTTGTTATGCCACCCACTGACAAGGTATGTAGTACACATATATTAACTTTATTTGACAATTGTTATGCAGTTATTAATGTCTCTTCTAGAATTATTTAAATGTCCTCTGGGGAAAATTGGCATCTGAGATTCTTGCACAAAATTGGGAGACTGCTCTAGATGACGTTAACAAACTCAGAGAATATATTGACAGCAATATCATTGGAAACTCTCTCCAAGTATTGCAACAGCGTACCTGGCTGATTCACTGGAGTTTATTCGTATTCTTCAATCATGTTAAAGGACGAGATCTTATTATCGAGATGTTCCTCTACCGACCGCAGTAAGTTTTTTTGCTTAATCACCAGAAATCCTTAAACTTCACTTTGTAATCTTCGAATGAATAATTCTGTCACAGTTACCTCAATGCCATTCAAACAATGTGCCCCCACATTCTTCGTTATCTGGCAGCAGCAGTTATCGTCAACCGTTCCAGACGTGCCACTCTCAAGGATCTTGTTAAAGTTATTCAACAAGTAAGCAAATCACACGAAAGTGTTTTAATAATTTTAATATTAAATATATGACCTCTTTAGGAATCCTACACGTACCGTGACCCAATCACTGAATTTTTGGAACATTTATACGTGAACTTTGACTTCGATGGTGCACGACAAAAGTTACAAGAGTGTCAGACCGTAGTGTTTAATGACTTCTTCCTGATCGCGTTACTCAATGAGTTCGTAGAGAATGCAAGATTGATGATCTTTGAAACCTTCTGCAGAATTCACCAATGTATTAGTATTGGGTGAGTCAAATATTCCTGCCTGTAAGTACCAAAAAGAATCAAAATATATTTATTCCTATAACTTTACAGAATGCTCGCGGAAAAACTGAACATGAAAGCTGACGTAGCAGAGTGCTGGATTGTGAACTTGATTCGTAACGCCAGGTTGGATGCGAAGATCGACAGCAAATTGGGTCACGTCGTCATGGGTGGACAACCAGCATCGCCGTACCAGCAGCTTGTAGAGAAAATTGAGACACTGAGTGTACGAAGCGAAGCACTAGAAACCCTGATCGAAAGAAAAGTTAAAACTAAGAATCAGGACCCAGTAAGTATAGTGTGGAACTAACAGAGGTCAGTATCACTCACAATGTCTCCTTTTTATACACATAATGTTACAACGTTAACGCTTGACTGGAAAATGTTTCACCGTAAAATTTTCATTAAACGAACGTAATCAAATATTTCTGGAGATTCGCTCCTACGTTAAGATAATATAGCGTGAGTAGGCGTCTTTTATCTTTCCAGTTAAGCTTCTTAGAATATCGGTTCGCAATGTCTGTTATAATCAAGCTCAACGAATATCATCTTTGATATTCGTAATGCTCCTGTAACATACATATATTAGTTAGTATTGTCTGTGCATTGTGCTCTTTCGTTTGCAGGTATAATCTTTGGATTTAGATTAACAACGATTTGATCTTTTTATTTGCATCGTGTATCTAAACGCAGTGATTTTATTGGACATTTGTTACGTTAGGTAATAATCTGTTCTTTTCAGAATCAACCATCCTGGAGCTTGGACTTATAGAACCAAGTGCGTGGCGTTCTTGAAAATGAGATAATACTAATTAAGAGCAAGGAAAATATTTCACAATGTTATGATGAAAATTCTACGACTTACCACTCCCGGTAGAATGATGTTGTCTGCTCGAGAGAACAGAAGTAATATGGAAACTGTAACGTCATGTAACGTGGAAAGGAAGATCAATGAAAACACTGTGGTCTTAATAAACCGTTGTATTTTTCACGTGGATTTCAAATTGTACTGTACTTTTATTTGTATTTTATTCTCTAAACATTCAATAAGGTAAAAATATTTTATAGATAAGATCAAGTGCTGTTCAGTTTCATTTTTTTTTTCAATTCAAATAAGGAATCTCCTGTTTACTCGCAAAGGTCGTCGTCACTTTCGTTAAGAGCATTTGTCCAGGCTGAAGATAAAAATTCGCAGCCCGTGTAGCCGCCGTGTTCTATGCAGTAAATTAAAACGCTACGCCAATAAGGATCCTTAGATAGGAGGTCAGGATTTCCAAGAATAATCAGAAGAGCTCGAGCACGCGTTATAGCGACGTTCAGTCGTCTTGGCGATGCTATAAATCCAATTGCATGTTTTATATCCTCAGGGACAAGATTACTTGTGGATCTCACTGTGGACAGGATTATAACGTTGCGTTCTTGACCTTGGAATTCTTCAACACTCCCTACTTTTGGTAATACCAGATCCAATTCAAACAATAGTTCTCGAATTTGACGCACCTGTGACAAATTTGTTGAGTTAACAAAATTAAAATTAATTTATAATTTGGAATTCATTACCTGTTTTTGATACGGCGTTATTATTCCAATGTCACTAGCTCCAAGACCGTGATTATACAATCTCAAAAGGTAAAGATAAACCTGGGTAGCTTCTTCAGGATTGTACCAACTGGGACTGTCAGTGTCCTGATAATTTTCTCCTCTGACACCATGAAACACTATAGCCGGTGGTACTCCAGTTCTCTCTGGTAATTCATTAGCTAATGATTTTAAGAGATCCACTTCTTTGCTTCTCTTCGAAGATATCTGGATTAAAGTTTTTATAATGAATCTAAATGATACAAAGAACAATAATCCGTGAAATTGTCACTCTTACCTGTGCCCTGAGTTCAGAATCATAGAATAAAGAATTTGGTAATTCCAGTATCTCTGACAAACTGCGATAATTCATCACGAGCTTTGTAACGAGTCTAGGATCGTATCCTGTATCGAAACTCTCAGGATCCTTCTGATAAGGGAATCTGTGAAGTAATCTCGAAAGAAAAGATTCACCATAGCCGTAATATTCGGCCAATTTATTTTGAATAACTGGACCCAATTGCATTGGATCACCAGCAAGAACCACTTGACCATGACTGGAGTGTATGAAATTCAAAGGAACCATAATTTCTGGTTCAGTAGCCTGTCCAGCTTCATCAACCAGAACGTGAGAGAAATGTCCACGTGGGAATCCCATGTTATAAAGTATCCCTAGGCTTATACACGTACCCACAGTAATTCGATGTCTCCCAAGAACACTGCTGGTGCAATTGAGTCTAGGACCCTCGCCACAGTATTCGACTGTTGCACGAGATCTTTCAGCAGCCAGTTCAGCTGTTGCGCAGTATGGCAACAACTTCTCAGGAATAGATTCATCATACAGACAGTGATGAGCAACCAGCCGCACCAAGTCACCTGGTTTCAGGACTCCGCTGTCTAATAATCTCTCAGCTATAAGATTAGCAGAACTATTCGATGGGGTAGCAATGAGGAATCTACTCTCAGGAAGAATTGCATAAATCTGCAGCGCAGTTTCACAGAGTGTTATAGTTTTTCCAGTACCGGGTGGTCCAAAAATTACATATGGCAAAGGACGTGCTACTCCTTTTATTATATTTCTCACGGCCTCTTTTTGATAATAATTTAATTTCTTATTAAACCATATCAATTTACGCTTCTTAAACTGTGACACATAGGAATTTATTTCCTTGCTATGAGAATCCTTAATGTCAACTGGATCCGATCCATTATCAGACGTCATAATTATACTCTTCGAAGAATCATCATTCGGTGACACTGATTTATCCAGGTATTTCTTTTCTACAAAAGATATTGATGTTTGTAATGAATTAGTAGCTCGCTCTATTGGTTTGGCATTAAAGAGCCTTTCGGCTACTGATATTCTTGGTGGTGATCTAACAGCATTATCTGAGGAATCACTAATTGATGTTATACTCGTACTGGAACAAATTGATGAAGTTGATTGACTTCTTTCATGTCTGCATCGAATTCTCTTTGGTTTGTCCTCTATCTCGTTCTCTTCCAAATCTACCTGTGGTGCCTTCTGAGCGATTCTGTTTGGAAATAAGAATTCTGGCCCGAGATGCGTCACTGCCAAATTGACAGCCATATGACAACGTGTCAATGACGTCATAGAACAACTAAATGTCACATAACAGTCAGCTCCGTTATATTCGTCATGAAATTTTGGATTAAACTTTAAGAGGATTTCAGAACTATTTACTTTATGAATGCATCCCTCGTACTTTAGCTCTCCTGTTTTATCGTAACAATAAAATATATAGCGTATTCAAATTAACGCAATTTAATCAAATAAAATAATTGTCGTTACCTCCTGATGAATCCCATTTAAAAGATATTATCGCTTTATCGCCGATTAGAAGCGAGGGCCTTTTTTCAGCCAGACCAGGAACTTTCAACGCCAGAAATTCACCACAGTGTCTCATTACGACAGAATTCATGTCGTATTTTTGTAAATCAATCCTCTGGCCAACTTCTTCTAGGTATAACAAAGCATGGAAGCGCTCTCTATAATTCTCAAAAGTCAGACCGTTCAATAGACATGGTACAGCATCACCTACAGCAATTTGCCGATCCATTTGTGATTGTCTTTCATTGAGTGGACCCAACACAGCATTCCAGATTTTTTGTGGTATTTTAAAAATCCCATTCCTCACGGTTATGAACGCTGCAGGTTTTATTGGTCTGATACCACAAATGTACATGTTTTGATCTATTTCATTCTGCCTCGCCAATCTATTAAAGCTCTCAAACTTTTGTCCAGTGTTTCTGTTTCCACAATTTTTAGCACGAACGCTTATGCGAAATACTCTACCAATTTTGAAACCCCTGAAGCTGAAGATGAAGAGCTCCTCCGATAGGCCCATGAATCTCGCCTTACATCTAAACTTATATGATATTTTTTCTAGAGGATTTAATGTACTGACTGTGCTCACTGTTGGCGATATTAGAGACAGTTGAGATTGTGCTTTCTTCGACATAAAACAACCTCTATATAAAATGTGAGGAATTCTTCCTGTGTTCTCTATTAACACTTCCAGATCTTGCTCTTCGTTTACTTGCAAGTCAAATGTCAAATTGCTTGTAATTATTATACCACGTTTATCTTTGAGAATAGCATCTAAGTCCTGGACATTATGACTACAGAGCAAAGGCTCATTTTGTTGTGTCGTTACAGGTTCTCTTTGAGCCACCTACAACAAAGGATTAAATGATTTTATGAGATTACATAACTACAATTCAATACTTGCATAGGAGGAATTTATTAACTTTTACCTGGACCAAAGGAACGACAGTCAATGATCTCCAGGTACAGATTCCTTGATCACTTTCAATACTGTCACTGACAACTTTGTCACCAATACAGGGAACATAGCCAGGCTCACAAGATATTTTGTTGAATATAATACTGTTGTCAATTTTACCAATTCCTATGGTTGTACTATAGGCTGTCACATGGCCGACAACTAATTTTGTTCTCAGCGGATTAATCCTGTCCACTTCTAAAACTTCACCACCGAGGTCCGTAGAACGTTCGTCCACTTCAACCAGTGATTCTAACATTAACCAGTCTCCAACAATTGGAACGAATTCCGAAGCCACTTTATCCAGATGTACAGTGATATTTATTGGTTCGATGAACATTGTTCTGCCTTCACGTTTTGTTACTTTACCGACCACACTTCGCTTTAATGTCTCTACTTTTACTACCTTGTGATCAAGTGCATCTTTTACTTGGATTTCTCTATCACTCGGTTGATCATCCCATGTTTCATTTGTTAAAGAAATAATCTTTCGAATTTTTTGTTCTTCATTTTGATGTCTTTGGAAAGCCAAGTAGTGCACTGTATCCCCCACTTCAAGATTAGAGACAGTGATGTTAACGGTCTCGCATATGTAATGATCATCTATAATAACATATTCCCCTGTAATGGTAGTGACCCTCCCATTTTTATAAAAAAATCCTTCTTGATTTTCATTTTCCAATCTTTGGTTTTCTAAAGATTTTGTATCGTCCGCACTTTCAATGCGCGATATGATCTCATTTATATCTGGTTCTGTAGACTTTCCATAGCCCAGAACATATTGTGCAGCACTTGCTATAAAAGACAGCATCTTTGTTAATTCCTATGACTTTGGTCCAAATACCTGTACCAAAACATGAAATATATGTTTCTGTATTTGCTTTTTCTCCTTGTAGAGCTAGTGACTGCAGGATGATCTATACCGATCAATTGGCTGATATCTCCACTCAGTTGTCTTTAGAAACTCCAATTCCTTTCGTAAAAACTGTACACGTTTTAGATGTAATTCTCGTACCAATCTTTTCTGCTGTTTTTGTACCTGCAATTCTGATTTCATATGACTCAGTATTTTTGATGTTTGTGTGCCACTGGAACTTAACTCTGAGTCTTGAGACTCGCTCTGCCCTGGTGAAGCTAAAGTATTGGGTGACAGCGTAGACGAATTCATAGCTTTACAATCGCTCTAAGAAAATGCATAAATATTATCAGCAAAACTGTTTCAGACTATTTATTCAATGTGCTTTCGATTCACTAACAGGATTCTTCATAATAAATATCAATCTTACCAATAATCAATAATAAGATAAAGCATTGCCAAGTACTATTGCTGCCAAAAATTGTGACAACGAGCAATACTTCTTTTCTTTTTCATAACAGTATACTACTTAACGTTATATATCCATATAAAATTCTACTGTCCGTTAACCATGCCACGATAACCACCATTTGCAAACAGAACGGTTTCGAACCTGAGAGCGACTGTTGGCGACTGTCGCCGACCGTTGCGCAAAACACGCAAAATTGAATATGCGCCTTGAAGAACACCGAATCCCATGTGCTTGTTAAAAGTTCCCACGTTCTTTTCAAATGATTCGAAATTCCAATCGGAACCAGTGTCACATTTTTAGATATTAAAATATAACAAACATTAATGAATTCTTTTGACATAATACAAAATTGAGAAATGAAGAAGTCTCCCTTGAAGCGGTCTGGATCTGGTGCTACCAAAGTTGAAGACTTAAAAAAACCATTTGGATTTTGTTGTGACATTAAAAATCAGGATCATGGAACTATTTATAACGCCAGACATCCGCCTTTCAAATCCTCCTTAGCTGATATTGTTCTAAATGGTGGAGGACCAGATCTCAAGTTCAGAATTCAGGATATTGGTAAACCACTTTATCCTATTCAATGGGGTGGTATTTATAAGATAAAAAGCCCAGCTACTCTGGGTGATTGTAAAAGATGCCGTGGTCCACTGAAATGGTATCTTGAAGAAGAGATTTCATTAGCAAAGGAGACTGTGGTCAATGAAAGAACGATGAAATATAATACAGAGGCAGATAAGAATCTTAAAATCGCTATGAAGAAAGGTTTTGTATTTATCAATTTCACAAAGTAATATCAATTGAATATTAATTTTGTATTTTCTTATTTACAGTAAAGAAACGTAAGGAACGTAAGAGACTTGGTAAACATAAAAGAAAGACAAGAAGCAAAGAACATAAAGAAACAGTTCAGGAAGAGGAAATATCTATTAAGAATAAATGAAGCAAAATCACAATATCTTCACAAAACAAAATTTAAAAATGTTTAACTGACACTGATTAGTAAACATATTTTTAGCAAGCATTGTTTAAAAAAATTACCAATAAACTCATAAAAATAGGAAAGGTTTTCTTAAATGTTACCATACAAATTTCTACTCTTTATTAGAAAAAATTATATTTGAGCAGCATACAAAGTTTGGCATGTTATTATAATCTGAAATAATGTAATATCGACATTAACAATTGATAATATAACATAAAGGAACTGTGGAAGTCAAAGAAAGGTTAAACTTATATAAACAGCCAGAGATAGAGATTTCGTTATACATATATATATCTTACACAATATAGATTACTCTCAAAGATCGCCATTAATTCTTCACATCAGAATTATAATTACAGGCATTGAGTCTACTGCTTCACCGATATATCAGTACATTAGAAAAACTCTCCATCGTTAATTTTACAGCTTCATTTCATTAAATCTTATATCACTCTTCATGGCACCGTTTCCATGCATACCCTGACTGAGGAATAAGAGATGGAGATAAAGGTCAGACCTTCTTGCCTCATCTAACAAGAACAAATCCCTGGATAAAATAATTTAGACTCCTCAGCATAGCCCATACAACCAGATATTTTCTAACAGTACTTCTAAATCGATGTTTCACAGAATTAAGCAAAATTATAATAAACAAAAGAAAACGATTTCATGTAAATTTTTTCATAAAGGTCAACAAAACGATATACATTCTTATGGTTTACAGAGCTAAGGATACAATAGTGGATGCTAATGTTCAGCACAACATAAAAAATACTTCATAAAGATATATTATTTGAAAATAATAGAAGATATTCTTAACATAGTGATATTTATATTAATTAATTTAGGCATCAAGTACGTTAATTAAACTGTTCGCCCATTAAAACTGTCCGATAATTCGCACACGTATTTCTTTCCCCAAGACGTTAAGATTTCACGAATAGAGAATTGAATTTGGCGACTATTTCTTGTTTAATTTTATGATCCTTCATTATTAAATAAGTTAACGTATAAAAATGCACCAGGCATTTTCTCTTTTTTTTATCATCTCGTGAAAAATGTTCGTCAAGCCGTATCGTTAATTCTTACACTGTCATTGCTTAAGAATCAAAGGAAAAATAAAATATGAATTTTTCAATGACAGTCGTTTGCGTTACTTCTAAAGTTTCTCCTGAAGTTTCAAATCGTTAAAGAAAATAAGAAATTTAATAACGTTTCATCAATGCTGGTAATTACTTCGAAAGGCACAACCAGTATTATCTTTTTAATGAATATATTTTGTTCATTTGTTCCTTCTTAAGGAAACTCTACGTTGGTGAAGCTTAGAAAGAAATACAAAAAATGCGAAGCGAACGAACGTAACGAAAGTTATACGGGGATACTGCTGCACTGTCATGAAAGATCAGTCTTAAGATGAAAATTTGCGGACCGCTGATATTATAAATCAGGCGTGTTTTCCAGCAGCTTAAGTGGGATTAGCCATTTTGTATTCTTTGGTGGCGCATGTTATGTAATGTATAATTAGAGAATTATGTATGAATAAAGTCAGATAACGTAAGAAGTTTGAGGAAATAAGAAAAGGCCTCAGCACAGAAATTAAAATTGACTTAACTATAAGATATTCCTTTGCAGTAGTATATGATTAAGTATGAATATTAAATACCGATTAACGTTAATCAAAGGAAAATGAAAATATTGTCGATCCCGCTAAGAATTAGAATTATAATGAATTATGGCTGCTATCAGGGTCCATGGCTTTTCCTATTCCTTATCTAATATTTTTTCTAAATTCGCACCGTTCGCTATCCTTTGACTCGTGTCCAATTAAAAAGCTATGTCAAAATTTTAGGAATGTTATCCTCTACGGTAATTGTAAGTGTTTCATCTTCATCTTCCTCCTCGAGTTGCTCAATCTTCCCCGCTTGATTTACAACACCAGCAACGAGCTTCTCCGAATGCGGTGTCTTTGGCGTGGATGGTCGTTCCGATTCAATGCTTGGTGATTGGCCTCTAGATACACTTCCGGGTACAATTTTATCATCGTACTCAATCTTTGGAGTAGTTGGACAGGCGTATTCGATCGGGATGTCGTCCTTAGTGGAAATAGAGGATTTCTCAGAGTTTCCATTCCCTAGAGATTCGCTATAATTGTCTTGAGATATTTCAGCGCCTCTATTGATGCTGCCTGGGACTATTTTATCATCTTGTGGTATAGAGCTACGCCTCTCCATGAGATTTAGAGCGATTTCCTGTTCGGAAATTCCTCGTGAGATACTTCCAGGTACGATCTTCTTATCTTTTGGCGTTTTAAGTATTGCACCATCCTCGGAGATATGTGCTAAAGCATCGACTTTATCTTCTTCGGATTCTACAATCTCTTGTACTTCAGGTTCCTTGCTGCTCTCGACTCCTAATTTATTTCCACGATCGTCCATAGCTAATTTTACCATATTTCCTACAATCTCATCTACGGTTAACTCTTTTACAGATAGACTTGTAGCCATTTCCGCATCCTTGGATATATCACTCATTACAGGCACCGGGATTTCCATCTTAAAGAGTACGTCGGTCATCGCCAATGTTTCTGCACTTGAAACTGGGATGATGGATTCTACGTTTTTTACAGCATCTATTACTTCGACGACTGATGTTTCTTCCTTAGGTGTTACTACATCATCCAATGGTATATCATCTACTTTCTCCATCACTATTGGGACCTCTGCTGGGAGCAATTCCACTGCCTCTGGAACTTCAACATCCGTTGCATCTGATCCTTTCGTAGATGTTTCAGTCGTTTCGACTTGTCCTAGGTCTGAGGGTTTACTTTCATCCTCCATCACTGCTGGAATCTCTACTCCTGGAACCAATTCCACTACTTTTGGAACCTGTAAATCTGTTGCATCTGATCCTTTCATAGATGGTTCAGTCGTCTCGACTTGTCCTAGGTCTGAGGGTTTACTTTCATCCTCCACCACTGCTAGAATCTCTACTTCTGAAACCAATTCCTCTACTTCTGGAACCAATTTCACTACTTTTAGAACTTCTACATATGTTGCATCTGATTCTTTCGTAGATGAGTCAGTTGGCTCAGCTTGTCCTAGGTCTGAAGGTCGACTTTCGTTCTTCGTCATTACTGGAACCTCTAATTCTGGAGGCAATTCCACCGCAGGTATAACTTCTGCATGTGTTGTCTCGATAGACTGGGCACCTTCTACAAGCGTAAGAAAAGTGTCCTTTTCTTCAGGTATTGATATAACATCGCTTGCAGCGACATCTATGACAAGTTTCATCGCAGATGGTTCAGTCATATCCATTTGTACTACTTCCGGTATTATTGAGTCCTCATTGGGATCTGTATTCTTCGATATTTCCGCCAGTGAAACTGAAGATTCTTCATCATCCTTAGTTACCATAACATCTACCTCTTTTACGGCTTCAACAATACCAGAATCTTCCGAAGTATCAGCTGCAGCTACTACAATATCGTTAACAGTCTCATCGTCAGGTTGAACAACAGTAATATCTTCTTTGTTCTCGGTAATCGTATCTCCTCCAGTTTCGAGATCAGTATCTTTGGCTTCTTTGGCATAATTACTTTCTTCAGCAGGTACACTCTTCTTCTCGCACAAAGAAGATAGAATGTCAACAACATCCTTGCCCTTGAGACTCAAAGTAATGTGTGTTGGCTCCTCATCGTCGAGGATCTCGAACTGGAACATCGTAGCACCGTCGGCAACGAGTTCGACGAACTTGTCACATGCCTCCTTGGACCAGCACTTTATATCTTCTGGTATACGAAGGGCGCAGCACTTCGACAAGCTGGGTATATTAACGATGTCTTCAGGTAGAATTTTTAGCTCCTTCGTCACTGCTGAATTTCCATAATCCATGTAGAGAACCTCAGTGCCGTTCTCACTGTGAGACAATATCTTGGCTCTGTACCACTGTCCATCCTCAGGATACGTCCCAGCGCAAATAGTACCTTCTTCGAATGTAGTTAATGGCAGGAAACTCTGCGCATCGATTAAACGATCTGCCATCACTTCCAATTCGGCGATGCAGCTCTCTGCCTGGGTCCAAAATTCAGATGGTGAATTAACGTGGCTCACAACGACGTTCGGTGAATTTTCTTCGCCCAATGGTGGCAAACGTTCCTCTATCACGGGTAATTGTCGTTCGCAGAGTAGAACCAACTTGTCGACGATGTTTTCATTCTCCAAGGTGAGTTTCACTTCAGACGTTTCGCCCTCTTTGATAACCTCCAGTAAGAAGATCGTGGCGCCGTTGGCCGCTATTTCATCAAACTTGGCGCAAGACTCCGGAGACCATTTTGCGACACCTTCTGGCAGAGGTAAGCAGCACTTCCTCGACAGAGGAGGTATTGCTGCTAGATCCTCTGGAATAGTACGGATTTCCGTGGATATCGCTGAGTTACCGTAATCTATGTAAATCACATCAAATCCGTTGTCTTTCTGGGATACGACGCGAGCTCTGTACCATTGCTCGTCCTCTGGATATTTTGCTACACAAAGGATGCCCTCCTTTATATCCTCGACTTTTGGAAACATTTCAGCCACCATGAATCTGTCGGACATCACTTCCAGGTCGGATATTGATTTTTCCTCCTGAACCCAGAATTCACTAGGTGAATTTATATGGCTTACGAATGCCGAGTGTGGGTCTAGTTCCAGATCAATTATTTCGTCGATTAGATCGTCTTCGTTGTGTATCATCACGGCATGACCTTCTTTTACAAGGACATCACCAATGCTTTTATCGCCCAGGAACAATTCTACTCGTCTTGGAACACTGTCGGCAATCACCAATGCCTGTAGCGGTGTCTCTTCGAATGTCACGAGACGATCAAATTTATCACAAGCTGCCTCGCTCCAATCCTCGGAGCCGACGGGGATAACGTCCAGTCTGCACTTGAGTCCATATTTCTTCATGGACTTCCAAGGATCCGGTATTTGCTTGATGTTTTCGGATTTATTGTTGATGATATCCGTATTTCCATAATCCACGAAGCGAACGGTGGTGATGTCTTCGTCAGCATCGAGAACTTCGGCTCTGTACCAGGAGTTGTCAGCGGAGTACATAGCGACGCACAGTGTACCTTCCTCGGGAACACCTTCGATACTAGGATATGATGGGGCTGCTGCCATCAGTTCCGCCTGCATGTTTTCAATGGTAGTCATTTCCTCCTTTCTCTGAAGCCAGAATTGCGCAGGTGAATCCGCATGAGATACGAAGACCTCGTATCTACCACCCACAACCATATCTTGAACTTCAGGTTGGATTATCGGGGTCTTCTTCTGTTCTGCTACCAATCCAAGAGACGTCAACTTGTCGCTTATCTTTTCGCCATTGACAATTAAATCGACAACCCATTTTTTATGCACATTATAGAAAATGGCCTCGAGTTCTTCATTTGGAAGATATTTCCTTAGAATTTCTGTTTGCTCGGCTTCCGTCCCTTTGACCGTTACCGACAAGGATGCTTGGACAGCAAGCTGATGAGGTTTATAAAACTGAGGTTCCAGGATCTTAAAGTTACTGTCAGGAATCTCTTCCTTGTTGCCATAATCAATAAACAGAACCACAGCGCCTTTCTCCGTCTTCTCTGCAACCTTAGCTCTGTACCAATTTCCATCTTTACTCAAAGCTGCGCATAATGAACCCACTTCCGGTACCAAAGCTGTTCCATTTGCCGAGTAATGCTCGTGTAGAATTTCGAGTAAAGTCGCCTCGAGATTAACATCAACCGAACGTTGCAGCCAGATATGTTCAGAACTAGTTGCATTGGACACCATGACTTTGTGTGAAGAACTCAGCACAAGCATTGGTGTCACTGGAGGAATTGTAGCTTCTGTGTCCGTGTCAAGGATCTTGAACTTTTTCCCCGTTGAATCGTACAATTGCACCAGGAGTCTGTACCAAGAGAAAATATATTTTTTATAATTCATTTCATAATCAAGACTCGACCCACAAACTATTTACCTATTATTTACGATATCCTCAACGGATACTATGACTTCCTTTCCTTCGACGACTTCCTTCAGCTTCTCATCCTCGTGAATAGAAGATGTACCTCCATAGAGAGAACAATGGGTTGCCTGGTTTTGCATAACTGTGAGTTGTCTCGGCAACGCTAGCATCTATTGTACAAGGGAGAAGGGACACGTGAATTTATAAGATTGAAGTAAACTATCAAACCCCCAGAGTATTAGTTGATAAGATGAAGATCTAAAATGACGTAAACTTAGCAAAGTGTAGAGCTACGATTCCTTGAGATCAACTAGTTAATAAATATAATTAAAGATCTCTAGGTAAAGCTCATGATGCTTTTTTTTAAAGAAAGCTCTTGTTTCTGCGTAAATATTGTTATTGCATACCGACCGTACGCAACTATAATGAATACTGTTATATTAGATGCTTAAATTATTAAAAACGGATGCTTCATGAACGCACAGAATAAATGACGTATTAATAGCGAGTGTGGGCGATACTTGAATTAAAGTTTCTTTTTCTCTTATTATTTCTTTCTTCTCTCTTTGATGAGCCCAAGAAAAAAGACTCACGCGATCCAGGGGAATCTCGTCGATCTCTCCGGTATCAATGAACTTCACTTCAAAGCCTGTTGTTCGTGAGCAGTTAATCACTACGGCTCGATTCCATAATCCAGCTGAATATGCAAGACAACCCGCGCCGAGGCAGACCTCGTGACAGGATAATCTTCGCATCACCTAACATTAGCATCAGACTAGTCCTTACTTAAGAGTACTCGTAAAAGTTTACTAGGATACGCAACAATGTATCTTGACGACAGATGCAAGAACAAATACCTTCCACCGTACGTTCACAATTCCCTGCGATTCTGAACATTTGGTATACACCAATTAGACATACAGAAATTTATAGATAAATACATTTAAAACGTATACACGCGTAATGACTGAGAATCGCACGAGTTCACAAAAGATCCTAATGATAAATTAATTTGCAGATATGTTAGAGAAATAGGAGGAAAAAAATTACATGAGGCCTGCCACCACATCATTTGAATTATTTTAAAATATCTTGTTGAATTTTCCTTTTTCTATGTACGAATATTATTTCTTATCTGTAATTCAGTCTCCAAAAGGTATCCAGATAATATGACATACACAATGGCTACAACCTGCTGACCCGTAGTACTGCAGATTGTTGAGTTATCATAGAATTACGCCTAAGATCAGATGTCAATAACAATATCATGCGTCATGCTACCTAATCTCAAGGTTCGTAACACTGTTAGGTCTATTAAATAAGGAAGTATTAATATTACATTAAACACAGAGTATTTATACAGAGAATACGTTATCGTCACAAATTGGGATAATAAATGAATTGCTGAGTTTTAATAATGTACCACTGAAACGCTATTCACTGACGTGTTAATATGCATAGAAATTATTAAAGACATACACATTCTAGTAAAACAATCTAGCAATATAAAATATACCTTGGGGTCTCTGGTAGCCATAAAGTTATTAACTGCTTCTTGAAGAGCTTTGGCAGTTGGCAACTGGATGTAGAATTTCGTGACACACATCACACTGGTTACGATTGCTCTGAATGTCTGTCCAACCAATAGACTTATGTCTATTCTTTCTGGTATATCAATATGTTCTATCGTTGTACTGATAGGTGCTGTGAACCGAGCAACAATGACAAAAGGTAAATTAAATTTTTCAAGGAAATTATTTGCAGCAGGGAGGGGCGAAAATGTACGGTCTTCTTGCAGGTAAACATACCTACATTATTCGCATCCTCCTTATGAATTTCTAATTCAATGCAGGCTACAGTGAATATTACTAATTAGAGAAAAATTGAGAGGGAGAGAAGTTGAATAAATAATTACCATGCTCTGCTGCTGCGGGAGTCGTCATGGCATAGGAAGCCAGTCCCCTCTCTACCATCATACCACCCACATCAGCTCCTTTATTGTTCAATGAAATAATGTACTTTCCATTTTTAACCTCGTGGAATGTACATTCGTAGTCGTCGGCATCAAAGCACTTGTCGATTTCGTGCTCGTTGGCTTTTGACCAATTCGAACCATTCGACGGGATGATGTTTTTCAGGGAACAGTTCATTGCTTGCTTTGGTAGTTGCATGAACTTCTTTTCCACTGGATAAATCTTACGTGGATCCACCATGGCGCAGTTTCCGAAGTCAACGTATCGCACTATGTGTCCACGAAGTTTATTCAGCTCTGTCACTTCTGCGCGATAGAGAGCACCGTCGTCTGAGAAAATGGCTATCACGGAAGAGCCGGCCTAAAGAAAAAGGAAATTCTATTGTGATTGATATAAAAAATATAGAGTATATTTATCAAAATAAATTTATTCGGAATTGTCCAATTACCTTCAGTGTATCCGTGATGGGTTGGCGTCCAACGTAGGCTTTCTGAATTTCATTCATCATATCGCGGAACTCCTTTTGCTTGCTGACCATTTGGCAATAAAAATTATCAGGGTTGGTAAACCAGGTCACTATTACATTTTCTGTAGTCCCTGGACAGATAGTAGCACTCAGCCACTTGGAATCTATAGAAGCGTAATCTGGTGGAATCTTGCGACTAACTTTCCCAAGATCTTTTCCCCTGTTACGTGCAGATTCCTTGGCTGTGTTCAAATCTACACCATCACAGTAGACTTCGTTCACATAGTTAGTTAGAGATACTCCATCGACAACTTCTTGCAGTAACACTTCATAGGTATCATTTTCTTGAGCAATAAATTCAGCTTCCAAAGATTTACCTTCGATGCTTGCTGAGAAAGCATCGATCTCTTCAGCAGTCCATTCCGTTTTGTTAGCTGCTAGTAATTTACAATGAATTGCTTGAGCAGGGAGTCTTGAAACCTCGGCATCAAGTTCTTTGATTTTGCTACTTTCTATTTTTTCAGTGTTTCCATAATCGACAAATTGAACTGTGGCACTGGATCCTTCCACTTCACGAATTACTGCACGGTACCATTTTAAGTCAGCTGAATACTGTGCGATACAATCAGTTCCAGGCTTCATTTTAAAATTCTTCAACGGTGCACCACCATTTTCATAGATGGATGCAATTTTTACCATGACTGGATCGAGTTCCGCATTATCAGGGTTTAACTGGACATAGAAATCTGATGGACTGTTCACAAAGACCAATTCACAATACTTAACAGCACCAACTGTTATGTTTGGTGGTGAAATTTGTGAAACTTGAGGTTTTGTTGTCTTACGAGGTGAATTGTTCATTGACGATGCATCCCAAGTACCAATCTTATTAGACTGCAATGATAAAACAATTAAAACACAATAATCCTCTCACCTCCTTCAACTAGTTACACTACGTACCTTGTCAAAACCATCAGTACTCCTTCTTTCTCTAGGTTTAAATCCAGTGGATGCTCGTTCACCTGTTAGTAAAAAAAAAAGAGAAACAGTTTCAAAAGTATCCTACACATGTCACAAACCAAATACTATCATGTAAAATATAATCGTTCACTTACCATTGTACTTGGCACTTTTTGTGCTACTACGGTCACTGTCACCATCACTCCACTTTCCAGACTGATTCCTTGACATTTGATTCCCATCCCTTCTTCCTCTGGCACCGTGGTTACTACCTTTATTACCACCACGTTTGCCACTACCTCTAGAAGAAGTATCAGAATCCTTATCACTCCATGCTTTATCACTACCAGCACCGTTTCTCTCAGGTCTGGAATTATTCCCAAATTGTCTTCCACCGCCCCTGATACTACCCCGACTTTCTCTATTGTCTTTTCCAAAACCAGTAGAGTCATTATTTCGTTCGTATCTGTCGTTCGAATCGTTTCGCGAGAATCGTTCGTTTCTCGTTGTGTCGCGTGAAAATCTATCACCCCGTGGTCCACTGAAACGATCGCCATCGCCAGCCTTCTGATAACGATTATCGCGACGCTTTTGCTCGTTCTCATCTTCCTTCCATATCTTCGACCTGGACTTATCATATCCGTTGTCGCCTCCCTCGTTCGACTGGTTCCAGGAATCTGACTGAGACTTCTTATTACTCCACTGATCGCGCGTATCCTCGCTAGAATATGACATTATTCGTGATAAGTTAATACTCTCCCTCTTGTTCTCTATACAGTTATGATCTTGCGAAGCTTATGATCAGTGTACAATCTTTTTAGCAAAAGCACACAAGTTACATCACCGGTAAACGGATCATCTCGCACTCCAGGGTATTCCTGGGTACACGCTAAAATGTATGTTAAAGAGATCAAACAATGGCTTACGTTAAATTTGACGTGCGCGTGAGAGCAGAAAAGAAAATAATTAACACGAGGAAAGACAATTTTATTATCAAATAATTATACGTTTTAGTTTTACGTTGATCTGAGAAATTAATACAAACAGCTTGAGGAAAATTAAAAGCTCTAATGAATTCCAAAACCATGAGAAAGCATTATTAAATGACGATCATGTGAGCTGATCTTTTATCTCATAAGAATTCACAGCTTTTTGTATCTCTTTACCGTGTCATCTTTGTGTTTTTAGGCTTTGATCTTGGTTGTTGAGCTGCTGCAGGTTGTGCTTGCTGTTGAGATTTTATCTCCGACCTGTGATATAGTCTTTTGTTTTTCTCTTATTCAATTATTTGACGCTCATGATATATCCTAGAGACGCTTTCAATGCGATTCTTTATAACAACTTATACTTTGTGCTACAATGTAAGAACTTGTCGAGCCCTAAACTAACAGACCACCACAACTGTCCGATTGAAACTGAATATTAGGTTTGCTATTGGACGTTACTTATAACTGGTGTGAATACGTGTCGCCACCTTAACGATTTTAGTAAAATCTGTAGAACTTAAAAGTTCACAATTTTTGAAAACCTGTTTTAGTATCTATACTTTAATGCCAGATGGCGATACTTCTGCATAAGATTGATATGCTTTTTCGTACTGACGGGCACGACTAAATTTTTGAATCATTTATACGAGAAAAAATAAAGATAAATATTCATGAAAAAACGACTTTAAGTAAAGTTTTAATGGACTTTCATTTGCTATCTTTTTTACGGAACTTAAGAGGCATTTCCACTTACCTTATATTCCTGGGATTTGGGCTCCGTGATGAGTTAAAACTTTTATCTTGCTGAGAATTCGACATGATTGTATTTTTCTCAGGACTGGAACTTAGCAGCGATTGAATGCTGACCATCGGGGAGGAGGCAGGATCGAATAGATCCACGAGTACGCCGTTCGGGTATACATCAACGACTACCATACTTAGATGTTTTTCAAGAACTAGTGATTCAAATCTATTGGCCAGTTCTTGATTGAATGGTTTAACTTGATAACCGTTCAAAGAACATCTAAGGGCCTGAGCACGAACATTTGTAACTAGGTCATTGTGAATCACTCGAAGATCCGTTGCTGTCACGATATCCTCGTTTCCATAGTCCACGTAAAGGACTTTGACTTTGTCACCACTGACGTTCAAAATCTGAGCACGGTACCTGAACATACAATCGAGTGACAGGATTGTATTTAATTCAATAAATTTAATTTAATTTTAATACCTACCAGTTAGAGTCCAATTTGTACAGGGCTGCACAGGGTAAACCAACGCCTAGTTGTGTTTGTTTCAGCGTGGGTGCAGATGCAGCGTATTCAGCTAGTGATGTCATTATTGAGTCAAGTGACTTGGTACCACTCTCTAATTGTACAAAGAATTTCCCATAAGATTCTACGAAGGAGACGTGAACGATTTCTTTGCTTCCTTTTGCAGGACGAAACGGTTCCTTATATGTAACAGGAATCTGGGACTTAAAAACCTCCTTGAGGATATCTTTTACGTTCTTCCCATTGTCATAAAGATCTCCATATTGTATGAGAGGTGGCCCTTCTGGTGGACGCACTTGTAAAATAAGAGGTTTGCCAGTAACAAGTTCCTTGAAGTAGGCTTTCATCTCATCAGTAACGTTTAACTCTTTCAAACCACTTAGGGTGAATCGGATAGATAGTACTTTCGGATGTATGTACTGTGGTGGTAATTGGAATATGTCCGAGTACGATAAGACTTCTGTATGTCCGAAATCAACGTAATATACTTTGCATTTACTTTCCGTGACGCCCATTACGACTGCTCTGCAGATTATCTTCTCACGAGTGTATCTTCCTAGGCAAACTGATCCTGGCAGCGGTGGTTCTTGCAAAGGTTCTATAGGGTGATTGTTAATTTTGCTCATCAACACAGAGAGATCTTCTTTTGTATTCTTTTCTTGAACTGAAAATTTCAGGGGACCATCATCTACGTAGGAAACAGAGACCTCGTGTGTAGAACCCACGTCTAGGACGCGGGACTTGAAAACCATAGCCTCTGCCATTGGTGATAGCTGTGATTTTTGTTGTAGTACCGGCTGTTGAGGAGGAGGAGGAGTTCTCCAATTCTCATGAATAGAGTTGCCTTGATTTTGTGGAGCAGACATGCGTGTAGGTGGGCACTGCATTGGAACATAGTGATTGTTCTGTTGATTAGGGTCTCTAAGAGGACCTCCTGGTCCTGATAAACGTGGTAGTTGTATGAACTTTGATCTATAAAACAAAATTAAATTTTAAAAATTTGAAAAAGTATATTACAACTATGATAAAATATAAAAATCTTACCGAAACATTTCTTGCAATGTAACAGGAACAGCAAGATTTCTATTGACAAGGTATTCAGCAAAGTCTTGATTTTTATAACACAATTTAATCAGGCAATGAGTACCAATTGCTGAATGTATAATAGCTTTTACTTCGCTATATCTCACAAGAATTTTAATTGTTTCTAAAGTCTCTTTAGTCCAGGTGCCTCTAACAGGGAATATATGTCCAAGAACAAATTCATAGGCCAATGGTGGCAGTGTATGCAGTGGCACAGCATTAGGAATTCCATCAAGTAGTCGAATATCCTCAGGACTTATGATATCAACATTTCCATAATCGATATACTGCAGAACCACCATACCATCCTGTCTGATATTGCATATCCTTGCCCGATAGTACCCCTCATTAAAAAATCTTGCACAGCAAATCACGTTCGGCACTAGTCCTCGACATTGAGCCCCAGGACGTCCCAAGCCTTGTTCAAATTGCTCAGACAATGGAAGTATCATACGTTCAATGCACGTTGCTGCATTTCTATCAGTCTGGCCCCATATCTTCAAGAGTGGACCATCGGCACTCACGTGGGTAACAAATAAATTGATTTCCGAACTTTGAGGAATGTTCGTCATTTTCCTGCCGATTTCTGTTACTTTCGATACGTATCAAAGGACACTAATTCACCAACCCAACGAACAATATATTTTTTCTGACCGGTTACTAATTCTAAGAAGAAGTCGCATAGCTAGAAAAGATTTCACGGTTACGAATACTATCACTTCTAGTGAAGCCGTTGATGAATTTTACGTTAACTTTTGAATTAATTTGTCCCGTAATAAAACCGTTTAGATACAAACCCGCCTAGCTGTCCTCAAACGTTCTACGTTCGAAACGCCAGGGTGAAACTTTCGTTGAAACAATGCGGACAAAAAGTCCTCCGAGACTTCTTTCTAGAAGAGACTACCGTTACTCTACTTATGGTTTTTGATTTATTATAACACTTGAATTGACTTCGATCCTGCCTCTACGGATTCAAACCGATTAATATTCCGTCTTGATGATCTTAGGCGTTACATTTTGCACAAAGAAATACATTCTTCGCACACCGTATGTACCCTATAATCACTTATAATAGTAATAGGAGTTCCGTGTACGCTACCTATAGGTTGAGAGTGGCCCGAATCTTGGGACATAATTGATAGTGCCAGTTACCGCCATTCGTAGCGCAGATGTTCCTAGTTAGAGATGCTTGGTTATTGGTCGAAGTGGGTTGGATAATGCTTGGATAGTGTCGGGGGTTACCCTTCCGCCTTATTCGCTGAGCTTGCTCAGTGGGTCGGGCCCAACTGAACAGGACTCATGGGTCTCCCGATTAGGGCCTTGAGCACCCAAAGGTATACTACGGCCATGGTCTTAGTGAAGTTAATCAGAGTATCTGTCTCTCGCGTCTTTAGTATAACTTGTTCGCTTTGCTAAAAAATACTCCCACGTGTCGTTGATCCTTGAGCACCTGTGTGGATAGAGACGATCCTAAGTGCCGTTGGAGAGGTCGTACGGGGTAGTCTGTCGGCTCTGGGTAAAGTCCTATCTGTGCTTGTGTTCTTGGGTCGGCTTTACTTGGGGTAGGTGCAGGTGCAGGTGCCATTGAACACCTGCTAGTCTAAAGCAGTCTAAAGTCACCCTCTGTCGGAAAAATTTTGCGCGGAGGTAAATGGCTGACGGGTACGCTGCTGGCGGCGGAGGTTGTAGCGTCGAATATCGTCCCTCGAGACGTCCCGGCGGTGTTCGCAAGAGCGCCGTCGGGTGCTACGCCTGTGTTCTTTCGTTGCGGTGAATCTTTACTAGGGGTAAATATTTCGGGTGTAACTTACCTTTTGCGTCTTTCTCGTCGCTCAACCCGACCTATAATTTTTGATATAAGATGAACAAGTTAATTTTATAGATTTATTTTAAAATAATTGCAGCAAATGCTCTTTATTAATTTTTCAGTAGAAATCCAAGATGCAGTACTATAAAATTCTTATTATTACATTGAACATAAAATTCTCCTGTACGGTACTGGAATCTAATATCTTACCATAATATGTGGTTGGACATTTTATTATGCAGTTTTATATATATAGCTCCTTTAGGATTTTCACATGCAATCTAGTTCAGGTATATACCAGCCAAGTATCAGTGAATAGAATCACAGTTATCACCTAAACAAAAGTAATTACTATATTAAGTACAAAAGTAGTTGTACTGCTGTACGATATAGGAATGACTGTTTACTTTTTAAAAAATAAAACATAAATTAAGCCAGATCAAAACGCATGAAATGGAATTGCTGCTCTGTTAAAGTATAGCTAACACATGATGACAGATATGTAACAAAAAAAACATTATATATATATATATATATATTAATCTCTCAGTAATTGTACTGTTTATGCATTCTTTTGTATATGTATATAATCGTAGTAAAATATGCACGATAATAAATATAATTTAAGAATCTTTAAGTTAGATGAGACATTTATGTAAAAGAATGAAGCAATATCCATGAATCACCGATTTTTGATTATAAATGAACGGGAAACTAAATAAATTTTTTTTAAATAAAAAAATGGAATTAGTCAAACCTAATAGTTTGAGATATTTAACAAATGACAGATAATCTTCCTTGGAGTGACTATGTAGGGGTCAACTTCTTCCAAGAAGTGTGTGTTCTATTGCAGCCAGGCTGATGATGAGTGATCGGAAAAGGATCCATTGTTATCTGATTCCTCCGTTTCGTTATCGCTATTTAACGAAAAATGATCTCTTCTTGGGGCTAACGAATGCATTTGTTCCAAGACTTGGTGTAAGGAATCTGACCTCTGATCTGATCTATCGGTGAGTGGTGTACCATCTCCACTGGCTGTACCACCGGCAGGAGTTTGAGGAGTGTTGCTAGGTGGTATAGGAGTATTTGTCCCATCCCCTGTACCTACATATAAAGACATATATATATATAAAATAATTACTTCATTTTCAAGGCACTATGTCAAAGTACCCATATTGTCACTGGCAGGACTAGTTGGTCTTTCAGCCCCTCTTATTTCTCTAACAATCTGCTCTTCCTCTTGTGTATTCAATCGCAATCCAGCTACACCCTTTTTTGGACAGTTGCGTAAATCTCGTTTGATCCTACGACGTCGTGAAGGTTCATTTCTTCGCAACTGAATCATTGTGCCAAAATCAGTTATGTAGAGGAAGCCTGCTATTAGAAGTTCACAAGTTCTTTTACCCTGCTTATATGCTGTCTCTAATTCCAAGTTATTTCGCTGATCATATTGCCACCACCCTAAAAGAGTTACAGTACTATGGATTATAGTAAGCATTTAGACAGGATATATCTGGATCACTCAAACAGTTTCAATAATTACCATTTCTTCCTTCATAAAACCACTGGTATTCTTCCTCAACTTCGTCTGATTCCTTTTGAGCTTCATCTAACTCTATAAGATGAGGTCTCTCTAAAAAATCAGGAGGTATTTCTTGTCGACACATGGGGCATTTTTTACTCTGATTGGCTACCCCTTTCACACAGAGATAACAAAATATATGGCTGCATGGCAATCGTGCAGGATGGATACAAGGTTGTAAGCAAACAGCACATTCCAATGCACAGGTGGAACCTAAGAAGAATATATCCCAGGTATGTAAATAAATCTTAATCCTAAAACAATTACTCAATAAAATGATAAATACCATCTTTGTCATTTGTATCCTTCTCTCTCTCCTTTACACTCATACCAGATTTCTCTGGCAAACCAAATTTCGCTTGAGCCATCACACTTTCCAAGCTACAACTTAATGCTTACGTGAAAATGACAGTAGTCTCACAGTTATAAAAGAGTGTCATGCACGTGAAGATTAGTATAAATCAATAAACATTCAGTGAACCATTTGTGTTTTTATCCTTCTGATTTGGACTGACTTTGGATAGGCTTAAAACTGTCCACAGATTCTCAAGAAAGTGTCAAAGAGAGACCACTTATTGGAGACACGGCACTCCCGTCCCCGTGCTATAGACTGTTAGCACGAGCAGCAACGCCATCTTATCGGTAGGTTATATCACTAATCTATGTTTCACTATAGCCTATTTGGAGTGTCGCCCCCCTGGTGACAAACGAAACAAAGTAACGTTATTATTTCATCGACGGTAACATCTTATTGTATCTAATAATTAATTGATGATAATATAGACTATGTTTTCATTAGAATTGAACGAGAGTTGAAATACATTGAATGTATACATATAGTTCATTTATGTATAGATATACAATGCACGTATTTCATTTATAACTTGACTCTGTCGGAAACATAGCCACAGATCCCGGGTAGGAATATACTAATCTGTGATACCAGCAGCATCTATCGAACAGAAGAAGAAAAACATTCTTGCCACATGGTTTTAAAATATTATATATAACCTCTAAACATAACGATGAAGTGGTTTACGGTGTTTAGTAATGCACGTGTAGAAAAGTAATATTATTAATTGCATATAAGAATCTTAATTCTTGTTAAAATGTCTGGGGTGGAAAGTGAAGCTGTAAAACACAAGTCGCATAGAGAGCGAAATGCTGGTCGTAAGGCTGAGAAGAAGAAATCAAAGAAGGAGCACATTCAAGAGTTAACTGATAAACAGAAGAATCCTAAGGCTTTCACATTTAATTCAGCAATCAGAGCTGAAAGAAGGTTCAGACGCAAACAGGATATTGAGACAAAAAAACAGCATGTACCATTGATTGACAGAACTCCAGTTGAACCACCACCAGTCCTGGTTGCTATAGTCGGTCCACCAAAAGTTGGAAAATCTCTTTTGTTACAATGTATGATAAAATCGTTTGCCAGACAGCCCTTAACAAATATTTTGGGTCCAGTTACTGTAATATCAGGGAAGAAACGAAGGATCACCTTCATGGAGTGTAACAACGACATAAACAGTATGATCGATATTGCCAAAGTAGCTGACTTGGTTCTGCTATTAATTGATGCTTCTTTTGGATTTGAGATGGAAATATTTGAATTTTTGAACATATGCCAAGTGCATGGAATGCCTCGTATTATGGGCGTATTAACTCATTTAGATGCAATCAAAAATGCAAAACAGTTACGAAAAACAAAGAAAACTTTAAAACATCGTTTCTGGACCGAGGTCTATGCGGGTGCAAAATTGTTTTACCTTTCTGGACTATTGCACGACGAATATCTTCGAAACGAAATAAAAAACTTATCTAGATTCATATCGGTCATCAAGTTCAGACCTCTAACTTGGCGAACTACACATCCATATTTACTAGCAGACAGAATTGAGGATTTAACAGCTCCTGAATTAATACGTCAAAATCCAAAAGTAGACAGAACTATTAGTTTATATGGGTATGTGTTACTTTACTAAATAACACTGCACGTGTTATCAACTTCTATTATATACTACTAATGCTACTGCTTTTACTTTTTTTCTTTTAGATACGTACGAGGCGTTCCATTCAATAAGCAGTCTTCAGTCCATATTCCAGGGTGCGGTGATGTCAAAATCAAAGATGTTAGTTTCCTGCCTGATCCATGTCCGCTTCCTGAACAATTAAAAAAGCGTGCGCTGGTAGAAAAGGAACGACTTATCTATGCTCCATTTTCTGGAGTTGGTGGAATAGTATATGACAAGGATGCCGTTTACGTGGAATTGGGAGGTAGTCATTCTTACAAGGAAGAGGACACTGGCCTTGTTAGTTCATTAATGGATACGCAAGAGACTCTGGATCAAAAATTGCGGCACAGCGAGCTTAAATTATTTAGTAACACTGCACCTATAAAAGCTCAAGACGTTGATGAGAATTTTGATTCTGGTATTAAAGAAGATGCTATTATTGATAATGGCAGAATTCGTCGAAAAGTTGTATTTAGTGATTCAAACACAAATGAGGAAGAGGATGAGGATGATGATGATGATGATGAAAATGACGAACAACAGGACGAGGAAGATGAAGATATGAACAGTGACGAAGACGTGAAAGATACTGAGGAAATTGAGAATCAAGAAGATAAAATTGAACACAAGAAAAGAACGACGATAAAAGGAAACAAGAGAAAAGAATCTGCAGAAGAGAAAATTGACGTAACCTTCAAGAAGAAGAGAAAAGTTAATAACGAAGATGATGATTTTGCCGAAGAACTAGAATTTCTGAAATCTGAAAATAATGCAGATACAACTAAAATTAACAAGCAGCAGGAAGTTTATCGAGCTCCCAGTAAGAATGTAGATAATGAAATTCAAAATAAAATAGCAGAAGCTCTCAATATTTTAAATACAGACACAATTAGCAACAGGTCATTTGATGAATCTGAGAAAGGTGCAAGTGATGATGATGACGAAAGCTTTGATGAGTTAAGTGAAGATGAAACACAAGGAAGTTTGAAAATGGAAGTAGAAAAAGTCGATCAAGATTTTGAATCTGATGATTCTGGAGAAGAAGAAAGTGAGGATGATGAAGACACGAACGTCGAGGACGATTTGAAATGGAAATCCGACATGGCCCATAAAGCTAGTGAAGCTTTTATCAATCGACAAGAGAGTAAAAGGAACTTAATGAAAGTTGTTTATAGTGTGTTTGACAACAATAAAGTAGAGGCAGAAAATTCTGACAATGCAGACGATGCTGAAGAGAATGAAGACATCGGTGGTATATTTCGGGTAATGAAGAAGCAACAACGTGACAAAATCGAGGAACGCGAATTGAAGAATCAAGAAGAAACCGTATTCTTCTCAAAAGAACCTCCACGCAATTGGCTTGAGGAAGACAATAAGGTATTGCTGGTTAATCGTTTTGTTACTGGCAAGTGGAAGGAATCAGAGGATGCCGAAGAGCTTCTTAAACTTGATGACATGGATGACGATGAGGAGGTGTATGGAGATTTTGAAGATTTAGAAACTGGAGAGAAGCATGTAGCTCAGGCACCAAAGGAGTTGCCAAAGGAGGAAGCCGACGAGAGAAAAAAGCTTATAGAGAAGAAGAAAAAGCTCAAGGAAAAATTCGATTCTGAATATGATAACACAGACGATAAGACGTATTATGATGAGTTAAAAACTGAAGCAGAAAGGCAGACTCGGCTAAATAAGTCAGAATTTGAAGGCCTAGACGATGATGTCAGAGTACAACTTGAAGGCTTTAGACCTGGAATGTATGTTCGTGTAGAGATTGAGACTGTACCTTGTGAAATGGTGACGAATCTGGACCCTACGTATCCTATTATAGTTGGAGGATTACTACATGGTGAAGAAAATATTGGATACGTACACACCAGGATAAAGAAGCATCGTTGGTACTCCAGGATATTGAAGACTAAAGATCCATTGATATTGTCAGTAGGTTGGAGGAGATTCCAGACACTACCAATTTATTCAAAGTTAGAAGATAACTTACGTAACAGAATGCTGAAATATACACCAGAGCATGTAGCTTGCATGGGACACTTTTGGGGACCCATAACCCCTCAAGGTACAGGAGTTCTTGCAGTGCAGGATGTGGCAACTAGAGAACCAGGATTTAGAATAGCTGCTACTGGAACAATTGTAGAGACTGACAAAACTACTCGTATTGTAAAAAAACTCAAGCTCACCGGAGTCCCTCTAAAAGTCTACAAAAAGACTGCATTTATCAAGGACATGTTTAATTCGACGTTGGAAGTGGCGAAATTCGAGGGTGCCAAAGTAAAAACCGTTTCAGGTATTCGTGGACAAATAAAAAAGGCTGTTTCTAAACCGGAGGGTTGCTTCCGTGCTACTTTTGAAGACAAGATTCAATTAAGTGACATTGTCTTCTGTCGAACCTGGTATCGAGTGGAAGTGCCCAAGTTTTATAACCCTGTCACTTCTCTCTTATTACCACCATCTGAAAAGAACTTATGGCGAGGAATGAAGACTACAGGTCAACTTAAGAGGGAGAAAAACATTCTAGCTACACCAAATCCAGATTCACTGTACACACCTATCGAAAGAGCACCTAAGGTCTTCAAGCCCTTAAATATTCCACGAGGTTTGCAGAAGGTACTACCTTACAAGGACAAGCCAAAAGTTCTCCCTACACCAGGTAAACGATTAGACAGTCAACGCGTTGCTGTAGTTCGTGAACCTAAGGAAGAGAATGTTGCTCGACTCATGAAAATGATTAAAACAAACTACAATTATAAGCAAGAGCAGCTTAAACAAGCTACTAGTAAAAGGATGGCTGCACACAAGGCACAAATTGCTGCTGAGGAAGCTAAAAAGTTAAAAAGACAGAAGGAACTAAAGAAACAAGTATTCCGACAACTCAGTAAGATGGATGCTAAGAATAAAAAACGATAGCCATAACGATGTAATAGTATCAAAGGAATAATTGTTTTTATAATTTATCACAATTGCTTCATAAAGAATATCGGAGTTTACCTGATGTAAAAAGTTCCGTTCAGTTAAAAAAAAAAAAATAAAAGTTTTCATTATAATACCGGGTCTTCATAGTTTTCCTCAGAAGATCATATCCTAATCCCTTTTCAAACGTAAGATACGAAATAATTTTCTAAACGTTTACGGGATTATAATTAGACACGCGCGTAATACGCCTCCGAACATTCATAAATCTACACCTGGTAGCATAAGCTTGTCATGGGAAAGCTGTAGCGTTCGTTTTATTGAAAACGTTTAAGTTATAATATTATATATTATAAAATATATTATTAGTTCATATAAAATAATAACAATGTTATGCGCGATCCTTCTATAAAATAGCTTGAGATCCGCGCCACGATGTGAGAGTATGATGGCCCGTCGAATAATTATCTCCACCCTGCTGTAAAATTGGATAAATATACATACAGCAATGTTCCCTATACTTTTTAATTATCCTCACGAATAATTACCTGAGTAAGCATCAGTAATTCATCCTGAGTATCCACAATCCTAACCGGAAATGGTGACCCAGGTACAAGGACTCCAGCCCAACGAACTTCAACCCGATAGTCACCTGGTTCGGTTGGATCATATCGACACAAAATTATTCTGTCTTTTTGAGTTTCCCGTTGCATTTCTACTCTAAAGGCACCCTTAGGTCCCCGCACCCTTACGGTGAGTTGACCAGCACCAGCACCACGGGTATCGCATATAAATCGTGATTGGAATGTCGCCAAAACACCATGTTCTATTCCTGGTCCATAAACGCGGACCTGAAAACAAATAAAAATTTATAATATAGTTCTCCAGGGGGTATCGATGTTGAGTCATTATTTTTAAGGACCTTCGTAGCATCCGGAGCACCAGATACCCGCAGTGTAAATGGTGAACCAGGAACGTGTTCTCCAGCATATTTAATTGTAAGGGCGTGTCGTCCAGATTCCTGAGGTTTGACGTTTAAAGTGAACGTAGCATCGCCATGATCATAAAGTTCGCAATAAGCTACTTTATGTGGTCCAACACAGTGCGCTGTCAATTCACCTAAACAGATTTACACAAGTCAGACTAAATTGTTGCTACGGGTTAGAGGTTTTCTTTTGAAGATTTATTAAAATCTCCTAACCAGGTCCAGCGCGCCTTGTGTCAATGAAACTTCTGATCTCTTGTCCGACTATTCCATGTTTCAGACCATCTCCCGAACAGATAACTCGCGAAGCATCGGCTGCATTTGTTACATTTATTTGTAAAGGACATCCTTTCAATTGTCGTCCATTCCAGGATACGGTCATCAGTAAAGACTCCGAGGTCAGTGGTATATAACTTGCACGGTATACACTATCTCCTAAAGATTTTTACAATACACTGCAATTGGTCTATCTTGTCACAAAAAAAATAATAATACTGCAAGAAGTTTCTACGTCGACTTACCTAAGTGTTGTAACATTACATTGATTTCGGTCGTTGGTGAAAACAATTGAACTTTGGGAGTTCCATTACCAGCTTGAGAGCCGTCTATCGTGAAGCTGACTTCTTCGCCACATTTTGCCGTCGTTAAACCACGGCCCCTTAACATGACTCTGCTTGTGTCTTGTACGGGTGGCTGATACAAAAAAAAATAATTCTGCTATTAAATTCTCGTTACGAACTCGCTGCTTGTAATGAACCATGAGGATACCTCGGTCTCGGGGAGTATTGCCAGTTTCGGTGCTCCAGGAAAAGGTGCTCCATTGAACAATATTTCCATGCGATGCTCTCCACCGGATATCTGAGGTGTCACAAGCTTCAGTCTATTGTTGGATGTCATTTCAAAAGACAGTGGATGATCCCCGACGCTGCCACTAAGCTCACCAGGTCCGGCTTCAGCCGTATCGAAGCTGATCTTACTCGAAGGATTGAGTTTCAAGCGGCCCAGATCGTCACACACAGCGGACCATCCACCTATATTATTGGCAGAAATTTTAATAAAATTTTCGATGACAATTCACACCAAATCAACTTACCAATAACACGTAGATTCCGCGTATCGATGATTTTTGGATGCCACGGTGATCCTGGCAATTGTTGTCCAGCACATACCACTCTGATGTCAAACACTCCCACTTCAGTAGGGACGTAAGAAACGTTCCAGGTTCCTGGATTCGCCCCAGCCTCTATAGTAGCCTTTGATACACTATCTGGTCCATCGACCTGATTCGTCAAAGTGCACCAGTGTTACAACAATACCCATTATACCAATATTAATCATCGTCTTTGCATTTTAATTTCTGTATTAAATACCTGAACAGCTGGGGGACTTCTAGTCCCGGTGACGATGAAGTGCGCAGGTTTACCAACATGACCACTGAGCAAGCCTTCACCTTTTGCACGTGCCTGACCCGCTGCTTCCACTGTACACATTACTGGGCTACCCGGCACCGAAGCGCCTCCTAAAAATTCATTAAAATTATTCCAACAGAATGGAAAAAAAAATTGTATAATTAAATAGCCGATAAATTTAATGATCATACCGTAGGTGACATTGATCATATAAGTGCCAGGCACACTAGGTGAGAACTCAATCATTTCAGCTCCGTCATTCAGTGAAGTGACTTGCAACGGAAGTTCTTGCCCCAAGGGACTCGTCGCTATCACGTCTAACTCGGCCATTCCAGCATCAGCTTTCATAACTGAAATTTCACAATGATTTAATGATTGTTAGCGCAACTAAAATTGTTATAGCTTCATTTTAAATTAATTGCTATCCCATAACTATCTCCTTAACAAGAAAATACAGGAGCCACGTACGTTCACAATAGACGATCCCAATTAATTCTCAATGGATTGTCCAGCGATAAATTATTCGATATTAATTGTTCAATTAATTACTGATTAGCGTAATCGAGAAAATCATAGTAATGCCGACGACGCACCATCCACCTCACCATGCACTCGATACACCGGAACACTTGATATTACTGCACGAGCAAGACTCTTTGAAAGTAGATCAGATTTCTGATGCCTGGTACAATTATTCTAAGCAGCCTTGAACGATCTTATGGTTGTATAGCTTGATAGAAAATCTATGCTACTTTCTCCATCTTCTTACAGATGCAATGTGCGCTGAGGCGCAAAATCATCGCTTGGCGTCAATTACAGTCAGTTTAACTTCATAAGCCGAACGTTCAATTCCGTTACACGCACTGGATGTAGCTACGTGTCCCAAGTGAATTCTATAAGCTACTTCTAGTAAAATATAACTGGTTATAAGGAACTTACGTTTAAACGCAATACGATCGTGAACTGATATTGTCGTTGGTCCAAGTTCTGTAAGTTTCACCTTGGACGCATCGAAGGCTTGACAGAAAAAAGGCGAACCTAGTACCGGCTTAGCGCCTTGCAGTACATCAATTTTATAAGTACCTGTACACACAGATCATATATGTATTATTATAAGAGAAATAAGAATTTTATGAGAAAACTAATGGACAGATAAAACCATGCCAGATTCGTAGAATTAACGTCGTTTGGTAGAGTAAGAGTTATAAAATTTAAAGATGGGTTATTTTATGTATTTCTATAGACAGAACAGAGAGATTATCAATGATTGGACACTCACCGACCGAGTTTGTTGTGAATTCAGCCAATAAATTTCCGTCGCGATGTTGATAACAACGCACAGGTACTGCGTTACCTTGTGGACCGCTTATCACAACGTCGAATTCCTTGCCAGGTCTACCCAGGGTCTCTATGGTGAAGGAAGTCACTTTTCCTACGGACGATTGATAAAGACCCAGACCCGTAGCAGTGACCTCCCTACCACCAGTGGGTCCTCTTACAGCAACCTCCAGGGGACTTCCTGTAAGATTAGAAAACAAAAAAAAAATTAAATACAAGTGACTCATTATTACAACCGATGCTTTGCGTTAGCCATTCTCATTGTTAAACAAAGTAAAGTATAAATATATTTTACCTTGTATATGAACGTCGTTATATTTTATTTGAACTCTGTGAGGCGCAGCGCGAGTTGGATGAAAGATGACTTCGTAAACGCCGTTTTCGCCTTCGCGTACTAAACTATCAACATCAGCTCCGCCAGCTCTTACATTCACTGTTAATTTTCCTGGTCCAGCTTCCTTGGATGCTACCACTGTGCGGATAAAATATAAATTCATAATAGCATTAATAAATGATTCTTAATGATTTTACTGTTATAGTTTTCATTAATTTCTCTTTACTAACCGACTATCGTTCCAGGACGATGACACACGGCGTCAGATATTTCCTTGATGGTTACTTTGTTAGGATCAAAAGCTTGAAGTGTTTGTGAACTGATAACTCTGTGTCCATCGCTGAATATAACATTGTACGAACCCACGTGTCGAGTTCTAACCTCCACTCGATACAAGGTAGAAGACAACTTTGTCAAGGTACACGGAATGATTATTCCATCAGGACCTGATGGAGTTAATAACACATATAATAATAGCTGCTAAAATAAACAACTGTTATGTACTTGCCAGTAACTTCAGCAGATACAGGTCCTTCCAATCCTGGCATATCTAAATCCATGTAGGCTGTATTACCAACTCGAATTACAGACGGTCCATCAAGAACGCCACCGACCACTGGACACTTGAATGGACTTCCTGAAAGATAATTCACGGCATTGAGTATAAAATAAAACATTCTCTATTAAGAATGACAAATAGGATCAAGTACCTGGCACATTGTCGTCGTTAAAACTGATATTAACGTAGTGCGTACTAGTGACCTGAGGTACGAATGTAACATCATATAAACCTCTTGCACAAGCAACGACTTCTGCCTTGACAGTATTGTTCTCAGTGCTGACTACCAACTCCAGGGTACCTTCACCAGCCTCAGCCGCATCAACTGTGAAAGTCGTAGCCTGGCCTAGAGTCGCCTCCGTGAGTCCTGACACGTGTACCTAGAACGATATTCAACAATGCACAGTAACGATTCACCGTATTTGAGTGTCTTTCGTAATCCAAGTAATTTGCAATACGTAGAAATTAGCTGGGGTCACAGCCTATTAACTATGAGTGAAACTAACGAATTCGCTGGTGCGGATGGTTACCTTTGTTACGTCGTAAATGTTGCAAGCAAATGGCGATCCTTTTATCGGCTCACCGTCCACCAGCACACTGATGTTGTGTCGGCCGACTTCGTTTGGAGTAAAACTAATATTGTACTTTCCGTCTATTGGTTCGATCGTTATTGGAAGAGCGATGTTGGATGGCGGTGTGACGATCACGTCGCAGTTCGTCGATGGTGCTTGTGGATCCACGGTGAATGACGTTAATTGCTTGACTGCCCCCATTTTTAAATTGTGACCACTAATTACTGCTTGTCCAGCGCCGACCACTTTGCAACTGAACGGCGAACCTGTGAATCGATAGGTATGAGCGTTCCTGGTGTTAATCAGCGCTGAGGCGCTGATATCGCCTCTATGTACGTGCCAGATAGAGAATCCTGACTTGGCGTAAAGGCTGGAGAAGAATTTTGCGGAGAATTCGCTATGCTTAAGTTCCCGAAAAAAGAGTCTTTTCAATTACCTGGAACAGGCTCTCCGTTAAAACGAACGCTGAGACTGTGCACTGCTGCTTCCTGGGGTTTGAAATTAACCCGGAACTTGGCGTTTCCTTCACTTTGCACATAATTCGGCACGTTCTTACCATTCACGGCTACAATTATTTCCAGATTTCCGGCTCCTGCCTGACTGGCGTTTACTACGAGGAAGATGTTATTTATTCGACAGGAATTCGGATAAGGTAAATTCTTTTATAGTATAACAGAATTACTTACTACTGAAGAATACAGGTTTACCAACGATTCCATTGTTGATATCAGTCACTTTTACTTTATCTGCGTTATATGCTTTTACCAGGAATGGACTACCTTCCACGTGAGAACCATTAAGTTTCACTTCTACGCTATGATCACCTAGACGAGTTACATGATTTTCGTTTAAAATGATTAAATTGATTTGTCTTAATCGTTTTATAAGTGTTTATATACTTTTATAATTAGTCTCGACTTACCGACATCCTTTGGAGTAAATCCAGCACTGTACGAACCATGTCCGCTTTGCTTAATCTGAACTGGCAGACTTTCCCTTGTCGGAGATAACACCTCGACTGTTGGATTTCCCAAGGACGCGTCGGCTTCGATGGTAAAGGTTGCGACACGATTCACGGAGACTTTCTCAAGACCATCAGTTATCAGAACTTTAGCTGTATCACTCACCTTTTGATCAAACAAATATATATTATTGACATGACAATTCCTTTCTCTAGTCTTTGGGATTTTCTACTATCAAAACCATTCCGTCCAACTGTACGATAACTTACAAGCATCTCATAAAGCTTATAACGTTACCTATAACGGAATATACATAAGATCAATATAAAAAATAGAAAATACCTGACAACTAAATGGACTCCCAGGAACATCCTCGCCATTAAATCGAAGATCAACAGTGTGGACTATCGGTTCACGAGGTGTGAACGAAATAGCATATGTGTGAGGACCTTGAGCTTGAGCAGATGTTGGTACTCTGCCTCCATTGACAGTAACTTCCAAATTACCTGGTCCTGCCTGACTGGTTTCCACTTGGAAAAAAAAAAAATTAAGAATAAAGCATTAAAGATTGGTTTATAATATTTCGATACTATTGGATGATCTTGCACCAGAGGATAATATCATAGATACCTAAAAACGTAACTGGCAATCCGATGACTCCTCTCTTGGCATCCTTAACTTTGATGGCGCCGACGTCGTAGACTTTGCAGCTGAACGGGCTGCCCACCACTGGCACGTTTCTGTGGCTCACCGATATTCTGTGCTCCCCGACGATTTTCGGTGTAAAGGCCACGCTGCAGGTTGTGTCTTTGTTGTCAGTGACCTGAGCTGGGACGGCCTGTCCATTGGGCCCTATCAAGTCCGCCGGTTAGTCGTTTTATAAAATTTAGTCAGCCAACTAGGGTGGATTAACAGGGGGCACTTGGTACCGGCCGTAAGATTCGTACGCTGCCATCGTCTTTTATATTGTTATAAACTTATAATTAAATAAAGCTTTAAAACGTTATGACAAGCGAGATACGTGTAACGATAATGATAAGCAGTTTGATAAGGTATGTTAACTCGTATACGAGTATCGATTGAGCATAAAATGATTGAGCTCTAAAAACAGCAATACGGTAACTAAATGTAATAGCGAGAGGATATACACTTCTACCTGTTCCTCCACAATATACATAATGACTACGTATGTCAATGAAAAAGCCAGCATCGCGTACTTTAAACCCGTAATAAAGCATTTCCGGATATTCCTAAGAATTTCACTGAATAAAAGGCAAGTAACCGTTAAGATTATAATACGTAACTCATGGTATATTGGCATGACTTATGAGGTATGGGATAATATATATATATATTATTATATAATTAAGCTAATGAATTTCATGATTAACTGAAATTAATGTAGCACCACGAAAGCAATTGACTTCGAGTGTTGTTACGTGAGCAAATATCCGTGTAATTACAGTAGAAGGTTGTGCATCGACTGATAATTATCTCAAGAGGGTTGGTTAGTTCTGACGTGTGATAAAGCGATCGACGAATTCATGCAGTTTAAAAGTGAAATTATTATAAAAAAAAAAGACAAGGAAGAAAAATAATTAATTTGTCAGTATAATGTGAGCACTGCAAAAACTAAATGACGATTAGAATGTCCTTACGCAGGGTCTTCGGGACTCTGAAGGTAGGGACCCACCACCATTTGTTTCATTATAATCCATATACTAGGGTTAGAACGAAATGAGTTTTGTTTTTGAGAGGTCTAGTAATGTCGTAGTCTGAAAGCTGGCCGACCTGCAACAGAGAGAGAACTGCTCAAGCCACCGGTAACGAGATGAACATAGACACGAACGAAAAGTATGCACATTTTTACAGCTCGCTATAATAGTGAATAAATATACAAGTTTCTCAGTGAAAGTTCATCCGCGTCCCGCTCATTATATTCAATATTCAAACCAGCCATTTGTTTGACAATTCCATGAGGTTGAACCATCAACAAAAGTTTCTTGATACGAAGGAAGTTACAAGGATAACATTATGACACGAAGTGACAACAAGTAGATCATGCACAATAAAACTTAGCCAAACTACTCTGGCTCGCACGTAAGTCTTACAGAACATGAAACATTCCATTGTCGTGTGTATTACTAACACTGAGGGTACAAGCACACATCCTTATGATTAGATATACCCCAGAGTAATAAGGACAATTTAAAAAAAAAACAGGAGTATACATACGAAAAAAGTTTTACTTGGTAGGAATAAAAATTTGACATTGGCACATGCAAAAGATGAGAGAGTTGCAAATAATTGTGTCACCTCTTGCTGACGGTTTGAAAATTGAGCAAAGTGAAACACAAAGTGTACTGAACACAAAACATAAAACACAGAGAGGATTTTGATGATTGCGAAGGGTAACTTACCTTCAACATTAACTTCAAGATCTTCCAAGCTACCGGCAACGTTACTGACTGTAAGATAACTTTGCCTTCCTAGGCCAGCACTGCTTAACGCCTGCCCACTGACAGTCACATGACTGTCACCACCCACCCTTGTTACGATCGGACATCCGGGCACAGTTCGCTTGTTGAAGGCTATGTTAATAACGTGCTCGCATGCCTCGAACGGTACAAAACTAACCGAGAAACGAGCATTGCCTTGTGGCGTCACTTGGGTGGGGATGTTCTGACCACGTGCAGATATTGTGATTTCGAGATTTCCTTCACCAGCCTGACTTGCATCGACTGTCGGAACAAAAGAGAATCATTTAGAAAGTGATTATTTGGTAAGTAAGTAAATTGGCAAAGGAAAGACGGAAGCACAGCTCGGATTAACTGTAGAGAGGCAAAGCTGTTATGTGTATTTATTAATGTTTAATTACTAATGAGAAGTTGGATTCGTATAAAAATGAAATGTAATAATGTACCGGTGAAGTGTGTAGGTTGTCCAACACTACCCCTTGCTACAGGCCCAATCAACACCTTATCGGCATTGAAAGCCTTGGCCAAGAAGGGTGTGCCATTAACGGGATGGCCATTGTATTCTACACTAATAGAATGAACGCCAACGTCTCTGGGTGTGAATTCTGCTGTAAATCCACTGCGTATGTTACCCGTTACCTTGACAGGTAATTCAGTACTTGGCCCTGTAGAGACAATGTATTGTTAAAATTCTACTCTCGCGCACATTCACTGCCTTGTGAGGTTTTTAAAATTCTATAAAAGCATCTCCTGTACGCAGAAGAGACTTTTCGCTACTTGATGACTTACCCCTAACGGAGACAGCAAGTTCAGCGCTTCCGCTTCCGTCAACGGCCATATGAAAACTGGCTGGCTGATTGACTGGTATTAATTCTAAATGACTCAAGCTGAGAGTAACTCTGCTGGTGTCTGAGACATTGCAGACAAATGGACACCCAGAGACCGTTTCTCCGTTAAATTTGATGTCTATGTAATGCGGTTTGGCGACGTCAGGCGTAAAAGATACGAGACAACGACCACCTCCAACGACTTGCACATGATTAGGAACCTCTCCTTCGTTTATGGAAATCTCTAATTGGCCTTCTCCGGCAGCACTTGCGTCAACTGCAAGTGTATAAGTAATTGTTAAATTATGCTATGATTGCGATTTGGTGAACTTTCATTAGTGCAGGTGATAGGAATACGATATTAAAGAAACGTTATAGCATTTTAAGAAACAGAATTATATACCTCTGAATTGGCAGGCGTGACCTACGACGGCGCTGGGTATGTCAGTAACTTGGATGAGACTGCTGTTGTACACTTTGGCGACGAGAGGACCTGCCGGCAGCTTTTGTCCCGCGATGCTCACTTCCACGAGGTGGCTGCCAACCTCTGTCGGTGTGAACTCCACGCGAAACTCTCCTGGACGCCCTGGCTCTTCGTCAATATGAGCAGATATATGTCTTTTTGATGGTGCTGCAATTAAAATTCATTTTAGAGTCATCAAATTGAATATGGTAATTAAATTCTTATGATTTATCTTCTACTGTAAATGGGTTGCGAACAACTTTCTGCTATAACAGTTTCCTGCTAGTGAAAGACTAACCGGTCTTTCTCTACACTTTAAGCATACTGATAAAAGATATAAATCTAGAGAATGGAATCAAGGTTGTCTAGGTTCCTAAAGCATGTATGACGATCTATCAGTGGTGCAGTATTAAATAATATAATTGTAGAAGGAATAATATGGTATAATAGTTTTGATAGTTTCTAATCTCAGGTAATTGAATATGGAAAATAATATTCAATTGCAATGTACTTACTTATTATCTGCACATCAATTTCATTGCTTGTGAAGCCAAGGGCAGACAGTTCAAAGAGTGCGGGAGTTCCTGCAGGGACCAACCTTACGGAGTCCCCAACAACCGACATTTTAGGACCAGACATGATGCCTACGCGCCAAGGTGAACCTGGAAAAATAGAACCATTTAATTGAGATGGTTGTTTCTACAAAATAGCACACGATAAATAAGATATTTCATGTTTACACAACAAAAATAACATGTCTCCAACTAAACTAGCCTACTCTGAAAATTTATATAAATAATCTTATGCAGCAATACAAAGTAAGACATAAGATAAAGTCTAGTGAATATAATTCACAGTTTTATACATAATACACAATGATATATTAGTTGGTTAATTTATACATATACCACAGTAACAAGGAAAAAGATATTTAATATCAAACTTCATTTAGTTAACTTTCTTCTAGGCACATTCAACGTTCAAAAACAAATAAGTAGAAGATTAAATTGACATTAAGTATACGATAGCGTAACACACCGAGAAGTTAGAAATTAGAAAAGTAACTTTCCCTCTCATTGATATTTTTTTTTAAATAATTGAAGAAACCGTCTTTCCTATTTTATCCGTACAAGAACACAACGAACCTAATTTAAACTTCCCGGAAATACCTGTTGCGTCGACCACGCGCATTTCCTAACCTTCCCCATTCTAGCAAAGTGCATCGGACACGAGAAAAACATGAGAAAAGACTAAAACAAGAACAGATAAAAGAGCACGAAGAACAAATCGGAGTCAGGTTACGAGTAGGAATGTCTGACAAGCAACCAAGGAGAAAGAGCGCACGCGCGCGTGATCACAATTCGGAATGTTTCAATTAAAGGGAATAAATAAATTAATAAGAATGAGGCTACCTTGATCACCCAACGCGTTCGGCGTTCCTGAAAGTCCTGAAAATCCTAAAGAAGGAAAAGGGACGGGAAAGGATGCCAGGAGAAGTGAGTAAAAGACAGAAGAAGGAATAAGAATCCTAAAAAAACCTAATTTATACCCTTGTAACAGATCAAACGGATCACGCCCAGACAGATCGAGTATCTTTCGTTTATCGTCCTTATTTTATTTATACTGTATATTCCTGGCACACGTAACACATGAGTTTCGTACGAAGGGAACTGAAGACGGAGGTAGAACGCACTGTTTCACAAGAGCATCGCTACGAGTACGAGCTTTTTCCAATGATCCTCGACAGCGAGCACCATCCACGAAGGCTCATCGAATGATCGAACATGGGCCATAGCGAGAACCTCGCGGAAACGCGATTCTGCAAGGCAAATAACTATTGAGAAACCGATTGGAACTATAATAATATTAAGGAAACGTCAGCAGATCGCGATTCTCGGGAGCGCACGAGCGAGTCGAACGGAGACGACGAGCGTGGCTGCCACCAGACCGCCACTCTGGCCCGAGGACAGGGCCGTCTTGTTACTGGAGTTAATCTTAAGGCGGATGAAGGTATACTACTTTTACAGACTTTCTTTCGTATCTGATTAAATTATTATCCTATGTATGTACACAGATTCGTGAAGCGATTCAAGAAAGAAATTGAAAAAGGAATTTATCCTCTTGTACTGTCGAGGCTATCTGATTGTGGAACTCGTGACTAAGGATACTGAATGTATACTGATACAGGATTGACTGAGGCACAATTACAATTTGAATGGATGAACCTGGAGGAAGGGTAATAAGATGGTTTGTTAAGTGGAGGATAGGTTGATGCATGTGCCTGATCTAGTGACTGTCTAGGGATCCTAAGAAACTTTCTTACGGCCCTGGACAACCATCCGCTTCTTCCTTGCTCGACCGGCTATAGTCTATACCACGATGTGTCTATAGACTTGCAAGCTACCTGATCTGCGTATTTCCACACATTAAGGTCGGATGTAAATAAAAAGTCAAACAGCAGAATAAGAGTTCTCTTGGTTAGTAAGGAAGGCTGTACCAGGAGCATTATTTAAAAAAGGAGACACCACCGCTTATAATAATTGATCAAATCTCTCTTTACAGTTTGGTAAAAAAAACCTGGTGAAAAAAATTGGGACACCCATAATCCACGGTGACTGAACCTATGTCTATAACAGTTACTATCGACTTCAATTCTAAAATCTACGTATCTATCAAAGGCTGACGTAGACTATTGTTATCGCATTGAAATCCAAGGTTAATTCCAACCAGACGGAAAGAAAAGAAATTGCAACGTAAGTACGTATAATTCAGTACAATGCCAACTGAAAATCATTGAATAAAATGACAATTATTTTTTGACACGTATATTTGTAACGGTCCGGTCTGATATTTTAAAATAAATTCCAGCATCTACCAAAGTTCTCGGCACTGAAGAATCCCACGATCCAAATTTACGTGCGACTAAAAAATGGCCACGACGTGATAGAGCGACAACAATTAAAAGTGATCTAGAGGTGCATCAACGATCTCGACAAGGAGTCGCCTTATGCCTGAAAAAAAAGGCGTGTTTACATTACGTATTTCAAGCTCGTTGCGACGTGGAATTACCACGTGTGGACTGTAGCCATCGAATTGCCTGCATTCCCTGACATAACGGGTCAAGCGGCACGTAGCGCGTGTGGCTCCAAAATTTTCGAAAACGGTTCCAGTATAGTAAACGCCCTGAAAGAATTACTCTACGTCGTTCCGTAAATTCCATTAGATCTGGGTCACTGGGTGTCCGAACAAAATATATATATATATATACCCAGCCATTATTACATCATCATCCAGGACTACAACCTAACTCAAGAGGAAGCTCTTCAATTCGGTCACGCATGCCTTTGACTTCCGATGGGCAAATCATTTCCCGAGTGTCAACCGCCTCACGACGTTCTCTTCGTCCTCGTCTCTCGACTCAACTATGCAGCTGCTGTTGCTGATAATACCACGCATTGAAATCACCGCTCCCTGTGACACGAATGCCGCGCGAGGCTCTCGAGTTTCCACGCATTCCAAGCTGCTTCTCTTTACATAAAAATGATTTACCTAACAGCGCCTATTAACTCCCATGCGTATAGTAAAACGCGGACAATGTCCCTGTTTTCTGTTAAACGATACAAGAAGATGGCGGACGGATACGTGAACGAGCGGTTATACGGTGACCTTGACTCTCGTAACCCTTTTGCTTCCTCTCCTTTTTTCCCTACCTCTTCTCTTTTCACGTGACGCGATTAGAGACCGACTACGGTTGTACTACGCGTTATGCGGTCGATTATGTAGTCGAGCGATATTAATCGCTGCAACGCAGTGCAGCGTGGAGCCACCGGATACGTAATAATTCTCGAGTCGAAGAATTACATCTCTGGTATTTGCACGGTGGATGCTGCAAATTCATTTTCTGGAATTACTATATTAAGATCTTTATAATGGTAGATGCCCACTGTAGCGTGTAGACGTTTTATTTCCGTTTCAAGAAACATTACTGGAGTTCATCCAAAATCCGTTTTCAAAAAATTCACTCTCTGCCTCTGGATTGAATTTCATTGCTGATACCGTTACTAATTGTTATTATATCATTGACAAATACGTAATAGGGAACTTGGTGTGTTTTCCCTTTCTATTATTATGTAAAGTTAATGTCGTTCTTTTGCAAATGGTATCTGTACATCTTTCATCGCGATAAGACCTAACCCAAGTTACTCGTTGCGTGCATGTCCCAAATTTCGATTACAATAAAACAGCCTAGCTAGGGAATATAGATATGTGTATTGCATTGATGTATTAGGTATATAACGTGTTTAGTATTTAAAGATAATTATATCTCTGATATACAAGTGAGAGCACGTTGCACGAATCTGCTAATTAATTAAAATATTTTATCTTGGACCTCGCCATTAACTAATTCATGACCGTTAAGAATATTTTAACTTTCCAAGCGAATCCTCCTGTCATGAATATTCTTGAAACACACGTTGACTACGTAAATTTAATTGACAAAAAATACAGAGTATCCGTATAAAATCAATTGATGAATTTAGCCAAATTAAATTTTTATAATTCATAACCTCACTTCACGTGATAACTATATTTTCAAAAATACTCGGTAAATCAAAATCTTTCTCCTATAAATCCTCGTTAGCGCTTTAAATAATTCTGAAAGGCAAAACCAGATCACGGAACCAGTACGTCGGTACACAAACCATAGCGGAATCGGAAAGTAGATTCTGCGAAAATGAAGATAAGGTCTTAGGCAGGTCAGCCATACACACGACGTAAGATGTACGCAGTAGCATGTCACCAACCGGTAAGCAACGTACATATATTGGCAGCCGTGAAAAATAGCACAGCTTTCCTATGAAGAGTAATTAGGATGGGGAATTGTGAACCGAAGAGGATCTGTCTTCATTTGGTGAGAGATATTTGTTCCGAGTTAAATGGTTAAACCGGAATGGCGTCTTCGAGAGGTTTGGTTTCTTATTTTTTAAAATAAGTGGCTCTAAGAAACCGCCAAGAACAAGGTGACGTGTGTACGGTCGTTATATAGATGGTTAAGAATTCATGCATATATATATATATATATATATATTCGTGTATAATCCTATTTAGCTTCGTAGTAGATACATGTATATTACGTAGGTAGCAAACGTATTCCATTCGTAACCAAATACGTCTACAGGTTGGCTTTGCAATAGCCACACCTATGAGTCGTGTATAATCCTATTTAGCTTCGTACAAGGTGACGTGTGTACGGTCGTTATATAGATGGTTAAGAATTCATGCATATATATATATATATATATATATTCGTGTATAATCCTATTTAGCTTCGTAGTAGATACATGTATATTACGTAGGTAGCAAACGTATTCCATTCGTAACCAAATACGTCTACAGGTTGGCTTTGCAATAGCCACACCTATGAGTCGTGGCTATGGTGACTGTATATGGTGTCTGTAGGTTATCCATACTAAATATATAAATACCTGCATGGGATATGCACTACGTCATACAAAGAAGAACCTGCACCAATAGAAATGATATGTCCATGCACTGTGGACTGTAAGTAGAGTCTATAGGTTTTTGTAGCGAATTGAGTTTTAGGTTATGTTTAGTTTGCTTATAATAGTATTTAAGGGATTCCTTGAATTTAAGTCATCGTTGGAATGAGATTTAAGATGTGCAATTGAATTGATTGTAACCTTTAGGAATTGTGGGAATGATGCGAAGAGAGAGAGAAACGTTGATGACTTCCAATTTGGGTCAGTGGGACGCATGCGTGCGTGAAATCGCAAGTCAATGACCCGACTGATCTGATGCCACTGGCGTACAGAGTCTTAGAATTGGTTAAAATGTATGTTCTTATTAATTTTTAACTCTAGAATGTGTCAGTTGCCTGAAGACAGCACAAGGGGACTCTTTTAAAAAGAGTCGATGCGATGAGAATGATGCGGAAATTGTTGGTTATTTTATAATCTTGACAGAAGAAAGCCTCCTTTGTATAATAACTTTCGGTTCTGTGAAGATAATGGCGCGTGGAGATAAGCAAGCAGACGATTTGAATTCCTTTCTTTCTTTCTCTCTTGTTTTTTTTCTTGGTGTCTTCGTGAACGGATAAGATTAAACGGACTGGATGCGACGATGTATGGGAGAAAGGAGTCACTTGGATGATACCTCAGAAAAATGCCAGGGACTTGGTCTTGAGTGGCTGTGCATTTCCAGACCATGTTTCTGGATAAGATTTATGACTGGTTTGTCAGGTAAGTAGTAATGTCCAATCTGAGAAAATGGAATAATCAGTGGTTTACATAAGGCGTTCGTTACAAAGGAAACGAGGAGGTCAGTAGCCCTGAGCTTTTTTTCAAGCTGTGATGATGACAGTACTAACGTTGCATGAGTGTAATTGTTCCTCATATGATAGTAGAAGAGTCGATGAATTGATTTTAATAGACAAACAGTACTCTAATTAAATGTAACGAATGGAAAGATGGTTTGAGAACTGTTTTCGATATTACCTTTGATAAATATTACCTTGAAAGAATGGGAAGCGCAAGGCAGTTCTTACTGTGTTTATTGGAATATGATTAGTAAGATTCAAAGTAAAATTAGTTCTGTGTATTATCACAGAGGAGATATTGGTAAAGAGAATCAATCCCCATGCATTCTGTGCCTAAAACGAAATCTATGGTATCTCAATCTCTACCAGAGCTTCCATGCTGGTTCAGCGTATCTTCCGTGCCTACTGTGTCCACTAGTCGTTAGACACAATGTCCCATAAGACTGGCCCTCCTCACTAGTATCTCCGCGGTAGTGCTATATACAAAATTAATTCGAAACTCACCAGGTACAGTTTCCCCGTTAAATGTCATCTCAACCAAGTGTGTGACTGCTTCGTGAGGTACGAATGATGCCAGGAATCTTTGATTTCCAAGTGCCCTCACGAAACTTGTTACGTGCCCGCCATTGACAAGTATTTCGAGGTTTCCAGAACCAGCGCGGGAGCCATCAACTGGAATGATTTAATATAAATCGTATATTAATAAAGGTGAATAATTAATTGTAAATCTTACTTATTATCTAGGACTATTATGTAGTAGGCTGCATGAATACATTCATAGCTTGTGTCATTCTTTAATTTAAAAATATATTCAAGAGATTCGGTAAAGTCTTGCTTTAAGTACATAGCATAGCAGCGGCTTAATAAATTACAGTATATATTAAAATATATTTATTTTTCTTACTTTCAAATTCAACTGGTTGACCGACAACGCCATTAGGAATGTTTCCCACTTGAATTGCTTTTGCATTGTATGCCTGTGATCTGTAATAAAAGAGAACAATGTCATAATATAATGATTCGATCAAACGAAGATTTAAATAATCTATCATAAAACACAAGTATAAATTATTCAACACAAACCTGAATGGGGAGCCTTCGATGTGCTGACCATTAACAAGAATATGAATTTGGTGTTCGCCAACTTCATCAGCAGTGATAATAAACATTAATCCTCGAAGAGTTGATTTCTGGACTGGTACAGTCTTACCATTGGGACCTGTGCACAAAATATAATTAAAACAATAAAGTAACAATCTTGATAATACTTATTTCTTAATCCTCTAACGTGAAAGTTGTAATCAGACATACTAAAAGTACTACAGTGAAGATACTTGGTCTTAGTGCTGACAACCGCTTCAGTTCTTATTCACGTTAAAAAGTTAATGATAAAAATTTAAAAAATGTACCTGTAACCGTAACAGAAACTTTATTCGGATCAAGGCTTGAATCAATGGTGAAAGATGTTGCTTTATGAACTGGTAAAATATCCAGAGCATTTCCACTAACAAGACTGTTCTTTTTCTGCGTTAATCTAAAAGCTGATCCAGTATTGGGCAAAAATCGTTCGTGCACAGCATCCGTGGTATCAACATTTTTATAACCGTTGCCATTTTTATTCTTCAATATTCCATGCGTCTGTACACGTCCATTTTGATTGTCAGTTACATATCTTTGAGTCGAACCATAATCCGTAGTAGAGACTCTCTGAGAAGAATTAAAGTTCGACGAAGAGTTCTGGTTGTGTGTTACGTTTGTGGAAATGTAATTTTGATTGTTTCGATAATTGTTGCTTGTATAATTTGAACTAGTCACTGTGTGATTAGCGGCTGACGAATTATTTGCCAGATTAGCCAAAGATTCCAGGCTGCCATATGAAAGCAATGATTTTGTCTTTGCTATTGCATCCCAGGAATCACGTCGTGAAGTTCCACCGACCATAGAGGAAACTACAGATAATAGCACAATTGAAAACGATTTTTCAGGAAAATGTGAAGCGTTATAATTCTTTTAATGCCAATTAAAATGAATATTCATTACCTCTGACATTGCTACTGGTATCTACGACACCATTTTCCACAGAACCGCGTCTATTCAGACTATTATCCTTATCGCCGATCCTGGGACTGAAACTCCTGTTTACAGGACTTTGCGTAGCACTTCTAAATGTCATGGGACTACGGGTAGGAGATCTGGACCGATTGAGTGATCCAGTTTGATAAATATCTCTAGACTCCTTGATTATCGGTGGACTGTGCTGAACGCGAACGGTATGACTTGGATTAGGTGAACGAGATCGATTCAGTGTACTCGAAGAATATATATCCTTAGTCTCTTTGATAAGACTTGGACTCTGCAGATTCCTCGTTACGGATACATTGACATTCGGCGACCTTGATCGATTCAAAGAGCTCGTCGAGTAGATTTCCTTAGTCTCCCTGATCAAGGAAGGACTATGTAAATTCCTCGTTGTAGAACTTTGATTCAAGTTTGGAGACCTGGCGCGATTGATCGAGCTCGTGTGATAGCTGGTATTGGAGTTCTCTTTCGTGTAATTGCTGGACGTTTTATAAGAGGAAGACGCATTTTGATGAAGAGGAGAGTATTCCCTGAAGCCCTGAGTTGGACTGGTTGATTTATATACGGGTGGAGAATAACTCTTCTGTATAGGACTGGAGCGATCGATAGATGAAACGTTTACTCCATTCATACGTCTTTCAAGTGAGGACATTTTAGATCTTTCCATACTGGTAGAGGATTCCTTCGATCTTCTAGATCCCTTCTGTGTACCAACGCGAAGAGAAAAGGGTGATCCACGCACATCTGATCCATTGAAATAAACGTAGACACGATATTTCCCAGCATCACGTGGATGGAACGAGACTCTGTATTTCATTGGTCCAATGTCCTCAATTCGATAAGGAAGAGACTGCTTGTCGTGCACTATGTCTATGATTACGTCACCGAGACCTCCGGTTCCGGTTGCATCTACTACAAAGGAGAATGGTTGTCCAGGCATCGCGCCGTCGGTATCAAGAAGCTGTAACGAGTTAATAATTATTATAGAATTGACAATTAAATTCTCCTTGATAATAATTATTTAATAGTACAAATTATCCTATAAACATTTACTCACTTTGACTCCATTAGGGTCAAACACGAAGCACGTGAATGGTCCGCCCTGAATATGATTTCCTTTGTGCGTAATAGCAATGCTCCATTCTCCAGTCTCATCCGGTTGGAAAGTTGCTGTATGCACACCATCATTTTCTTTCACAGGACACGGAAGTGATCTTCCAGTTGGAGACCAAGCTGTCACATCAATGCCATCATGACTAGTTCCTAAAGACAAATATACTTATGAGCATCCAATTATTGAATTTCTCAACAATTTTATTACCGTAACTATTGACTAGAACCTCGACAATGGATCCAATGGCGCAGGGATCCATGCCGGGTGACTTGATTTTCGTTATTGGAGGTAAAACTCTAAAGTAATAGGGACAACCGTTCACGAGTTCTCCGTCATTGTACACCATTAACTGTAATAGTTAACAGAATTATTGTTTTATTAAACTGAAAAATGTATCCATTTCAAATTATCATCCAATCAGTCTTTCTTTACCTTATGCATCCCTACTTCGGTAGGTACAAATGTTCCTTTGCCATGAAGTCCATTCCAGGTAAGTCTGCATTCTATTCTACCACTGGGACTTATAATTTCACCTCGTACCTCTCGAGGATTCACATCCTTCGACAGCATTTCCAGTCTAAAGAAAGCCTGAGTGGAACAATAGAAGTTTGTCAAGACACTTATTGTTTGTCACTTATTGACATAATTATGAACTGAAGGAGCGACGCAACAGATCATTATTGTTAACAGAGATTAGTAGTGACGTAACAATAACTAACCGGCTGTTGAACTCTGGCGGAAGTACTATCTATGTGAACTGCTATTTGCTCACTAGCTTGAGGGCGAGGCTTTACCCATTGAAAGTATGCTGCGTATGCCATAACACCTAAATGCTCGACATTCTGATCAGCCATATCCTTGGCCTTGAGAATAGGCTCAACTCCTAATTTCTTACCACCCTCAATGCCTTGAGGACAGACAAATCAAGATTAATTTGCAATCCAAATACCTGTACATTTTTTATAGTTCATATTTCTGTATACCCTGTAGCAAATTGTGTTCCCAGGACGAAGGGTCGGTGTCGAGCTTATCGTATGTAGGAGCTGGCCCTCCTAAATTTCTGACAATGCTGCAAAGTGCTCGACCATCGTTCCAATCGGTCTGCAAATAAAATAGAGTAAATTGATTATTAAGAAATACTATCATCGGCCGGTCACTTCAGTGAATATTGTGAGACTCACCGTAAAATTTCTGACGGGAGCATGTGGCAGCTGCGAATTGACCCATCGTAACGTGGCGTAGAAACCAGGTGAGCCTTCCTTCATGAAGTAAGATAAATAGGTCATTCCTGACAGTTCATCCAAATAAGGTGAGGCAAGGTATTCTGGTTCTAGCACCATTGGTATGTCGAATTCGCGTTTAGCTATTTCCATTGCCTTTCGACAATTGTAAACGCTGAAACGTATATGAATAATTATAGGCACGCAATATGAAATTTTAATTTTTTTGGGGAATTAAGTCATGTACCTGTCGTTGGGATCAAGTTGTCGCCAATGTGGAAACAGGCCCGGTTTGCAATAATCCAAAAGTGCACTGAGGTACACTCCGGAATTCCAATCAGTTGTAAAATTGTTCACTCTGCATTCAGGTAGTACGGCCTAAAATACCATACAACAATTGACACAATGCCCATTCAGTAGTCAGATTCCCATTGAAGTCCTCGATACACTTAATAGCTACATTAGTATTGATAGTAAAATTAATATAACTGCACTAGCTTCATAAAGACAGATTACTATACGATTAGATAAAAACAATCAATGAATATTCATCATTGAAATATCAATGATATGAATGGAATAGTAAATATACATCGATGAGTATACCAACCTTGAGCCAAGCCAGCATGAGTTTCCTTGGTGGGAACTTGGACTTGCCTATTTGGTATCTCACAATGAGCGACCATATGAGGCCAAGAATCAATTTCAAATTTCCATTTACGATGTCGACATTACCTGAAAATTACAGTTAGCATAAATTCAAGGGAAATCACAGATGTCATTGGTCCAGTCTCATGTACTTTATTCAGTATCGAGCAAGGATAACTGGATTATTGTACCTCTATATTTGGATTCTGAACAAATAAAAGAATCTCTCCTTTTAAATCTTTTCCAATAAAAGATTAAGTCCTTTTAAATATCATGACAGAAAATAATATTAAAGCTTCTTCATAATGTCTCATATTCATGTACCCCACAGGTACTTACATCACATGCAAGTGAGGTAAGACTATAGTGTATAATAATGAGATAAAGTTAACGTGATTCCCAGTGATTTTAATAAGCGTATAGAGTTACCTTCTAAGTGTACTATAAGTGTTAATGGTGCACCTGTACTAATTATCATTACAGTGGCAAGTACATTTTACACGTTTATTACCAGATGGAAGGAAATGCTTGGGTTTACTTAAATCGCATACATTGCAGAAAGACAGCCTGGGATATATATATAGGAGAAGTTGAGTTACAATGTCATTGAGCATCTACGTGTGGCTGAATTGGTTTGTAACTGTAAATATATAATAGTTCCTTCATAAGAGTCTGTCTGACGCTCTGGCTAGCACACAAGAAAAGGCAACGACCTCGAATGTGGATTTACAAGGCGCGATATAAGTAAGGCTTGCAGCTGTAATAAAAATAAAGAGAGACCTCGTGAAATGTGGCCTCAGGTTTGTCCCAAATACAACAGTAAATGAAAGCTTACTTAAAGCTGTATACATAAAGCACAGTTTGTAAAGAGCCAACGATATTTCATTAGCATAAATTCAAGTAGAATATTCATTTAGGCTTGGTACAATATCCTAGGGTAATAATTTAGTCTTTGATTGTTTATACTGAACCAATAGAATTTAAGGATCTAATTATAATTTAATAACGATACTCTCAATTTGTTTCTAATGCAACGCGATAGTAGATTAGATTTACTAAGTGAATTGAGTTTGAAAATATGCAGTCTGTATCGTGATACCGATCATTCCGAAGGAATATAAACAGTCAAACTTCAAGCTGAAAACTGATCCGTCGACATCGTATTTGACTTCATTAAACAGCATAGATATTCAATGCCGGGTATGTTGTTGATGTTTAAGTAATTACTCATCATTGCACGTGCATGAACTCACGACTGTGGATCATTTGTAAAATATAAAACGTCTCAATGGGAAACAACGTGAGTGTATTTTGAGCAGTTGCACATTGCTCCTGGAATGCTGTCCCTTCCCAACTTGTATACGTATACAGATTTCTGTGCCTGTGCATGCGATTCTTCTTTCTGCGATTCGAACTCGGTAGTGGAAAACCGGCTGTGCGAAATCGAAAGACAATTACAAAAAGGAATTTATTTGCAAGGAAACTAAAAATCGTTTAATGACATTAAGTCACTCGTTGTAGCTGTTTTTTAAATTAATTAATAAAGAGGAAAATAGTCGTTGTGCTAATAGATTGTTAAGTTTTTAGGAAAAAAAAAAACATTCACAAGCTTACCTATGTTAACGAGTTTAACGCCATCAGCTTCAATGGCTTGCAGAGCCGTGGACACGTTCTCCAAGTGATGGTGCTGATTAGCTGGTCTCGGATTCCAACGAGGAAGACGACGTTGTGTCAAGACTTCCACTAGTGCACATAATCTGGTTCCATCTCTGAAATCTTCTGCCAAATCCAACACTGGACTACCACCAGTACCGCCGGCATGTTTCAAATGTTCGTTCACCCAATTTCTAAAGGTGTTTGCTTGTATTTCCACCCAGAGATCTTCGTGTCCCTTTATTGCCATTCCTTTTGCTGCTGTACCTTCTGCTGAACGGGCAACCAAACCCACCAGTTGTTCGGGTCGAAGTTGCTCTGCAGACTGCATCTTGATTCTGGAATTAAAATAATACCGACTTTTTATAATTCAATGATAAGACAAATAATATTTTTTATTGGGGTACCTAGATACAGAAATTGTTCATTCGCACGTTTATCATACTCCATATGAAATTAAAGCAAGAATGAACAGAAAATGCAAGAAATAAGAAATAAAATTCGTGACTAAATCATCATGGCTTTTGTTATTGGCGTTTGCCTTAATACCAATGTTAAATTGTTATTATCCCGGTCGCTTTGAAACGCTAATAATAATCTTACACACCTCAAGCAAATAATTAAATCTCAAAACATTTAGTATCATTAGAAACAGAGAATAACAATCGATCCGCAGGAGGTTTTCAATTTAAAATTCGACCTTAGAAGAATCTTCCCAACCATTGGAAGTAAGAATGGCTAACAATGCACCGTGAAAGGTCATATTCATGCAGGTCAGTAAAGAATCGCGTATAATTCGAATAAATTTATCCTGCATAACACATCCCTCCATTATGTAAAGATCTGCGTGACAGATTAGTTCTCTTCGATACGAAAGACTACTTACGGTGTAATGATTCTCTATAAGAAATAAGAACTGTTTAAGTTCCACTTATGGCGTAATAATGTCGAACGAAGACAAATATACAGAAATGGGTCCCGCTTAATGCACGCGATAAAACCATTTGACAATTCGCATAAATCGTATCGCCGGACAAGTGCACACGGGTGCACAAGTCCTCTGAAAGATCATAGTGAGAGAACTTAATAGTATCTGCCATTGAAACAATATAAACATTGCCAACCACTCATTGCGTTCTCTTACGAAAAAAGAAATTAAATATAGAATTCAAATTTGGCAAGCCCAGAGTAACATCCTAACTATGGAAATTTGACAAGTTATGAATTAACGTTTACTTTTCTCACCCAGCATCCATATACGAGTAAAGCATAAAAATCACATCACACAGAGGAGCAGTCATACCCATTGTGTATTTCACGTATCATTAAATTACCTGAGTGATTTGATTCCAAGAGATTAACAGACAAGCGTATCCAGCACCACACTACGAGGGCCTCAGGACGGTGAGTTATATGAGAAACGCCATTTTTGGATATCGGGAAGGCTTATCCAAGCAGTTGACGCGACTTCGACGTGCGTGAGCTCACTGTCGACTTGGAAACTCCCCACTATAATTTACAATGGTCCACCTGGGGCCCATGGTGGGACGGGTGGGACTAGCAGGTCCTACATAATGAAACCATTAACCATCAACCGTGTACGTACGCCTTCCGCGAGGTGGTGGTACCATCCAGGTAAGACTAACGGTTGCATATTACCAGGAGCTTTTATTTTCCAACTTCTGGTTTTGTGCTTTGTGTTTGCAGTCAGTGCTTGAGACGCAGCACAGTCTTGAGACTGTAGACATAACACTCTTAATACATAATAGAAGATAACTTGAGAGGACTCAAGATAAAGACTATTGACTATGGATAAGGATTCTAGATACTGCAACTTTTTAAAACGATTGAATGTCGTTGCTGCAGTTTTCATTATTGACAAAGGATGCAAGAAGAAATGAAAAATGTTCACTGACCAAATTCAATATTATAATTTCCAAATTATTAAGAATGCAGGATCGTAAGGTACAGTGTGGAAATGGTATAATACTTGTTTATATCTTCGTCACGTCTGGGATAGGATATCGGATGTTATCCCGGTAAAGAAAATTTTGACTCTCTATGAGTACTACAAAGAAACTATGATGACGGTACGTGCGTCAACTGGAAATTACCTAAAATTATAATAATCCAAGATAGGAATATGAGAAATTAATTGTCTGGATTTGGAAATAATTTTGAATTGTTAATACGGATTTTTTTTTTGGTGGAGAGTGGAAAATAAACATCGAGGATCAGTGGGGATTGATAATTAAATGTTATGCAGATAAGTCAGAGGGAAGATATGCTTTAATTAAAGAAAATTTAATGGGACAGTTATATGGAGGTTAGATAATCATAATGTTAGACAAGGGCACGCCTTTTTCCACCCACATATGCGAAAGTGAAAACATCGTTTTTATGTATACCTATGATATATGTAAAACGTATACGTATGACCTATGTAAAACTTGTAGCACTGCGAGTTACACGACTTGAATGCAGACAGACGGAATTCAAGGTCGATTCTTTCTTGAAGGGATTTTATTTCTTAATGAAGAGACGTCTTTAATAGGTTACACTCTTTGTTATTAATGTGGTTGAAGTAACTGGGAGACAGACGAGACAGAGGCCCAAAAAGTCAACCTACGATGATACTGTGTCGTACTAACGCGACAGTCTAATTAATTCAGTATTGCCATAGCATAGAACGTTGCATAACTATCAGCAAGAATTCATAGACGTGTTTCTTTATATTTTTCTTTAATCCCACACGATGAGCGATAAGCTCGTTTAAACTTAACTAATTGTAAGTGAGATTTAATTTGCTTCGATATACTTTCTATGATTAATTGAAGAATTTTTACAACGTTTAATATTGATTTGAGAATAAAGGATCATCTGTAACCAGGTAGTACGATAATCAAAATTGTTAATTAATTTTAAAAATTTGAATTGATAGAAAAATAATTAAAAGATCTAATTCGAATGATCATACCAAATTCATACAAAATGTAACATTTCGTTTTGAGATACGTGGTACTAGCCACCTATCGGAGATCTTTTTGTTCACTGTATGTTAATACTGGTGACGTAATAACGGACGAATTTCTTATCAACCCGAATAGTATGAGAATCTAGTGTTAGATGACGCTGCTATAACCTAGCGGGAATTTCGAACAGACCTTTAAGATAGAATTACAACATATAAATTTATTATCCCCGTTCTTACAAACAAAAAAGTTAGTTGTAGTTAAAAGTTACTAATAAATAATTTAAAAGCACGCTATTAGCACTAAGAGCGAGTTCTGAATACGGGCATGAGTGTAATAAGTGTTGACATCTTCAAGAGACCATTCCAAGTAAACCAGAACTAGGAGTGCGTATATTAGTGTGCCACAGATAAAGATCCAAAGCTTGGACTTAAGTGGAAATGAAATTATGACGCAACATCCCTTCCCAAGGGGCGAAGGGCCCCCAAATACATAAACAAGTATGATAGAATTTCAATTTTTAGGGTCCGTACACGAGGCAGTTTGATTTCTGATTACGAAGAGGACATCTCGGGAATAATATCGCGAACGTGGACAGTTAGATTTGAATTAAATCTATTTGAAGTCGAAGGTAATAAAGTTAATTTTGGCGGTCTTCGCGATAGAAAGAAATATTTTTTATATGTCAGTTGCATAGTCGTTTGACACAGGAATCATTTTTTGACATTATAATCCTCTAGATTACATGTGGAAATACCTCTTTGTAAGTGTACTTATTCTTAAATTCTGGCAGTGTACTACTACGAATATCGGCGTGTCTCTATTTAGCTGCATGCGTTTGAATGAGACACAATCATACCCGCAGCGAGTGAATACATCGTACACGGATTTATGAGATATGCCAACCTAGGTGTCCATTGTCGAATGAGTTTCGCATGACTGTAGAAGCGTTCCGAAATTTAGTGTGTAGAAGTTTATTATCGTCATTATCAAACACATTTGAATAAATAGAGAAGTAGCGAGAACTATCGTAGGCCGGACTGAATTTTAGAACGTAGTTTTTGCATCTTAGCAATATCTACTCCATGCTCCTAGTAGTTACTTTCCAATTATACCAAGTTTCGTGTCGCTCGTTTTGTTCTAAATCTCTTCTGGAAGGTTGCCGCAGCAGTCCGCAAGTCTACAGTTGCTTCGGAGAATTCACACAAAGTAGATCGGATTGCTCTCAACGCTTATTACTGTTCAGTGCTTATCATTTGTCGTCATTGTTGCACAGATACATAACGGCAAATTGAAATAAGTGAAGATGGATTCAAGAAACCTCGTTGAATTTTTGGAATTGGTCGGAAGACTGAAGGTAGGTTGATTTACAATTAAATTACGGTGGACACACGTGTTACTTTTTGATTCTAGATTAAAGTTTTCTGTTTCAATATACTTTTCTTTGGCAGTCAATGGAAGTATTCATGTACACTGTATTACATGTATACATGGTCTTTATAATATTGTCATTGACATTTGCAAAACTTTATGATTCTATTATATAATGAACGTTTAAGTAAAACTTTTATTTCTAATCAAAGGATTATAATCTGTGTATCTTTATGTTATATATTTATTTTATGTTGTTTATAGCATATGGCAAGAACAGGATGGGTATTACTCAAGATTCCAAATCCAGAAACAATATCAGGGCATATGTATCGCATGGCTATGCTATCATTTTTGGTAGACAGCAAGGAGAACTTAAATCGAGAAAAGTATGTATCAGGAAGATTATATTCTATCCATAATTATTTAAACTTTATCACGATAGGATTTCAATCTTTTGCTTCATATGGTCACTTTAATTGAATGTTAACTTGGTATTGAATTGTATAATCAGTCTTTCATTATGATATATTATGAAATATATATGTAGTAGTTACTATTTTCATTATTAGGATTATGCAAATGACATTAATTCATGACCTTGCCGAATGTATCGTTGGTGACATTACACCACATTGTGGAGTTACACCGGAGGACAAACATCGACGTGAGGACGTTGCTATGCAAGAAATCTGTAGCCTTTTAGGAGATAAGGGTTCTGAAATGTTGGAGCTGTTCAGGGTATTGTTAAATATATAATAAACTTTTGCTACAATTCTGTATATTCTATAAAAGAGCTATGAATGGCACGCAGCAAAACAATTATTTTTGTATTTCAGGAATATGAGAAGCAAGAGTCCTCCGAGGCAAGATATGTCAAGGATCTAGACAGACTAGACTTAATAATGCAAGCATTTGAATATGAGAAACGAGATCAGATACCTGGAAAATTGCAGGAGTTTTTTACCACACAGGATGGAAAAATAGCACATCCATCTCTTAAATCTATTGCAGACCAAATTATTACTGAAAGAGAAGCCCTATTTCGCATTCCAAATAATGTATGATCACTCAAAGTTTTATACCTCAAAGTAGCATCATAGTAAGTAATTACAGATGCCGATCCAAAAATAGGTTTTTTGTTTTTATACTTAAAATTAAGTGACAGTTACATTAAGTTATTTTTTTTGTGCTTTCATAACGAAGACAAAGGATAAAGTGTCAAATAAATGCAAAGTTGACTTTTGCATACTAAGCATAGAAGTGGATCATTTTTTAATAACAAAGATTTTAAATTATATAGGTGCAACAGTACAAAAAACTAGTAAATTAGAAGCAGTATTTCAATATTTAATGATAATTAAATCAGAATCAAATCGGATGTATACGAACGGAAATCCTTTGTTTTGCCTCTAATTGAAGTTTCATTATAAATTGAAATATTGCATCTTATTTTTAATTATAATAAGAATATGTCGTACCTTATTATTTTTACTATAGTACTAGTTGCAATTTAGTATTTTGTGCTGTGCATAGTTTCAATCATATTCCACATGTTTTAAGTTAATATTTATTATAAAATATCCACATGAATGTGTTACATTGAAACAATTGTATTGGTATATTGTAATCAACATTTTCAATATTTGTTCTTTTAGTATTGCTGCATTGCGACTTGTATTAATTATATTTGTGAACATCAGATATAATTTTTGTATGCTCTTTCCTAATAATCTGTTCAATAACGTATCCTCTGTTAACTACTAAATGATAATATAACTGGAATAAATATGTGCTTATTCTTTAATGAATTGAATGATTGTACGAAGTAAGTACGTAATATTAGCAAACATAAATATTTTGATTATTCTAGATATAATTTGCAACAAAGGCTGATAATTGGAAAAGCATTTGTTAGTAAAATTTCAAAATTGTCTCACCAGTTCACAGATATAGTCAGTGTATACTTAAGCAGAAATTATATAAAATGTTGACTGCATTACTGCTGTACTAAGAAAAAGTGTCAATGAGTCTTAATTCAACAACATAAATGTTTTAACAAAGTATGGTTTATACTAAATGCTCGAAATAGTACTATTTATTTTAGTTTTAAAAAAATCCATAGATAATCTTACTACTTAAAAGTAATATAACAAGACAGTCATGCTCAGTAAAATATGAAAAGTTCAAGAAACATTGAAAAAAAAGTTACAACGTCATTGTAACATTTTTCCAATATTTCATATCTGTATAAGTAAACATTAATCACATTCACAATAAATATACAAACTTTATAAAATTACTTATAAAATTATCAATGATATCTTTTCTTTCCTTTATAGCTTTAATCCTCACTGAGACATGTGTCAGATTATCATCAGCCTTATGAAAACTGTATTTAAAGAAAAACGATAATCAGTTCATCCCTTGATATAGAATAAATCGTAATCGATTATTCAACAATTATCTAACAGCACCAATTAATTTTGGGAATAGTGATCGATATCACATGAAATATATAGAAAAATAAGTTTGATTATCGTGATGTATGATTGTCAGGTAATTACCAAAGGTATAGAGAAGGCCAAACCAATTTAAACTTAATCCATCCATGCACAAGAGTCAGAAATAAAGCGCAACCAGGCCATGACTATCTGTATACCCACAGCGTGAGTAAAATCGATCTAGCCCACAGTTTCCCTGAGTTTTATTACCGTTTTAACTTCTTTTTCTATATCAACATATATATAGACATTCGATCCCTCTAATAAAAATCCGCGGAACATTGTCAAACGGTTAAGTGCGTCATTGGTTGTTTTATCATTTAACGACTGACGTATTTTGATTGATAATCCCAGCAACGATTACGAAAAATCCAAATTTACGACAGTCCTGCTCATCCTTATGTTATTCAATCGTGCCAATGAAATCTTTATCGACTGTTAAATTGAACGAGGGTAGGCCGCGCTTTTCAGTTAATCAACTTGGATCGTCGACGGGTCGACACAAAGCCTCGCTATTCGCTGGTTCCGGGAGAGTAATCTTTGAAACGACCAATCATGTAGGCTGTGTGTACATACACAAATGACTAAAGGATCACGATATAAACTTCCAATTCTGGCATATTTTCTCTACGAGGAAAACGCCGAAAGATAAAGAAGATTGGAGAAATTTGAATTGCAAACTAGCTGGTTATTGCAGAATCAATTTTGCTCTATGACATAAACTGGCTAGAGCAAATACAGTTGTGCTTTTGTTTGCTCTTCCAAATGAGCAATCTATTGCGCAAATGATTCGACCCATTGGTCAGTTTAACCGAAGCAAATGGCAAACGAATTTTGTTACGGTCAAGGGGTAGGAGGAGCTGGGTCATTATTACCTAATGGCGATACTTTAAGAGTAGGGGAACCCCATACGTCAGCTGCTCTCAGTAGAAACCTGAAGATCCAGTCTAACCGTAATATCGTAGTCACACTTTGCGCTTTAGCTCGGTTGCGAAGCAACCGCGTCTGGCCTGTTTCGTCGATAAAGAGAACAATCCCTCCATTTTCTGAAACCTTCAATTCGGCTGGGGATGCTATGCGCACTCGGCTAGGAATTGCGACACGCTTGAGATCTCGCGGTACTTTGAGCTCGAACATTTGTTGCGTAACGAACTGTATTTAATACTGAAAAATAGGAGCAGATGTATAAAAGAATTGTTAAAAAAATATATTTTATCGAATTTCATCGAATTGTTCTGTCGAATAAGTTATAGAGCTTATTGGAATATCGGCTTAACACTTGTTTGAATTAGACGTTTGATTACTTAGATTGAATTTTCGAATCGTTCGAATATGACACTGAACAGGGAAGTCTGGGAAGATCCTGAAAAGCTTCTTCATAAATTTGATTCTAACGAAGACGCTGCTTTGGATTTCGAAGAGTTTTGTATATTATGTGGTGAACTTTTTGGAGCTGAAGAAGTCGAGGAGCATGAATACAGGATTCGTGACATATTCGATATTCTGGATTCGAATGGGGATGGACTTTTGAATGAAGACGAATGGGGAAGGTAAGACGCGGGAAAATTAAATTTTTAATCTCATTGACTTTATCTGCATGGAATCGTTGTATTATATTATTTGTAAATTCTCCTAGATGCCACAAGGAATGGATATCGGTTGTTCTCAATCCTTTGAGTGTACTTCTCGTTGTCGACGTGCAAAATGATTTTATCGATGGAACAATGGCGTTGAGAAATTGCGGAAAAGGCGAAGACGGTGCTGATGTGATTGAGCCAATTAATCAGTTACTCAAGGAAGTCCAGTGGAAAAAAGTTGTTTATTCGCTCGACTGGCATCCTGAAACGCATATTGGTTTTTATGACAATTTACATATGAGAGAATTGCATCCCGATTCCAAGGCCAGTCGACACAAATTTTTTCTAAAATTCCAAACCAATAGCATTGACTAAAAAAGCCTCTGTCGCTACATAATTCGTCATTCGAATATATCTCATTCAGGTCTCTAAAGAAGACGCTAAAATTTTGGACACAGTTTTATTCCTCGAACCACAATTGGAGCAACGATTATGGCCACGACATTGCGTCATGGACACATGGGGAGCTCAGTTACATAAGGAGTTATACATTATACCAGACTCATCACAGGTATAGAAAATCTGTTTATTCTCACATGTAAAATTATTTCCTTTCATCGCAAAGACCTTTCAGCTAAACCTATAGAATCTACTCAATAGAAAAATGAACCGATTGTTAGTCACGTGCAAAACAATGTGAGGTGAGGTGATATATTAATTAAATTATCTTACTCCATACTACATAATACTTTGGTTAGCACAAATAACGCTTGACTCTTGATATTCCTTCGAATTAATTTGGGAAAAAATTATTATAATATAATAATAAAAAAAGGACTTTTTGGGACGTATTATTGGCATATAATTTACATTTTCACATTGAGTTCCTATAAAATTTTTAATCTAATCAGATAGAGGCAAATTTTGGATTTGATTATAGATCAAAAAAATTTTCCGTAAATGACGATCACTCTACATCGACATGAAATCTTTTGATATAATAAAATCAAGCTGAGCTGTATGGAGTGAACTGGGACTCCAAGATATGTTTAATTACAACTAATAGGCTTAATCAGAAATAAATACAATCAACGACAGTTATTTTTACCACTTAACAATTATTTAAGAGCAGTTGCTAGGAGGATCTATAATGATCTATGCATATATATCTTCTATCTTTTACGTTACAGTTTAGTGATGTCCATAATAGGTATTCATTATATTACATAATAGGTATTATGCATTAGTTATTCTCATAATAAATATAGTCTTAAATTTTGCAGATTCGCAAGGGACAAAATCCCGACATGGAAACGTATTCTGTATTCTTTGACAACAATGCAATCAATTCGACGGAATTATTGAATATTTTACAAGAAATCGGTATTACCGATGTCTACGTTTGTGGTCTTGCTTATGACGTTTGCGTGCGAGCCACCTGCATGGATGGACTCCGACTAGGGTATCGATTGGCCATAATTGAGGATTGCTGTCGTGGCGTCGATCCGGATGACGTGATAGAAGCGAGAAAAATGATATCAGAGAACGGTGGTCTTCTCACGAATAGCAAAGAAGTTCCTATGCTTGTCAGCGGTGAGAAACGAAGTTTAATAATGGCACAACAGGGCACATGGTCGTTGGCCAAGAAATGGTCAGCTTGTGAGAAGGAAGCTGAAAAAGAGTCAAAAGAATGATTAACCAGATTTTAATTAACGTCTGATAGTATTATTATTAATATCTCCCGATAACTGCACTTACATTTAGTCAAAGGCGATCTTAATTTATTACCCAGTATAATTGTAATCACTCGTTACAATTACAATCCTACAATTGCCTCTAAACCAAGTACGAGTACTATGCTTGACTTGACTATTTAAACTATCTTTAAGAATAAGTCATGTTAAAAGACTTTGGAATCTAATTTAATTTGAGAATAAATTATCGCCCTCTGTACTTAACGTACGTTAATGCATATTGTTTGTGCCTTTAATGTCATTAGTGGTTACTGTTTATTTGTAAAGTTCTAAAGAGTCAGATAAAAGTGGAATCGACGCACTTGGAAATATACATAGGACTTGGTTTACAACACTCTTAAGCAAGGTGCAGGACAGTCTATTTTGGGCTTTCATTATCCGATTAGATAGGAGGACGATAAGAAGAGATAGGAACATGTTACACGGTTATTAAAAAGCGAATAATTTTTAGAATTAACTAATATATGGTTCCATGTGTAATTTCTCTTTGTAGTCTTTAACTCCAGGAGCATTATGTACAATAAAATAAATGTAACGTGTCGTTAATAAATAATCAAAATAGTCACAGCTATCTTTATAAAATAATATAAATAGAGATATATAATTAAGTTATTACAGCAGTAATACGGATGCTGAGAGACTTTGTAAAGTACAGCCTTACAGTTAATCAAAGTCTTTGTTAATTGCTTAAATTTATTAATCCGTTCCGTCAAATAATTCTCTGGCAGTTCTTGCTATTTTATTCGCAGACTCGTCGTCCTTGCTCAATTCGCAAATGTATCGTTGCCTCGAGCCACAGTCTTCACCCTTGTACGAATAAATTCTCGAGGCTGGATTGTATTCTAGTTTCAAACATCTAAAATTTTGAAAACGAATTTAAGAATTGTTGGTTCAAAAAAATATATAATTAGTTGAACGATGGATTTTTCTCTACCTTCCATCTCCGTTTACGATTTGCTTGGTGTCCTGGTGAACGGGTCTGGCACTTCCTGCCCAGATCCATAATAACCCTGGATTTAATCCTCCCGTCCAGAAATTCCTCCCTCGTATCTTCTTGTCAGTCTGCAAATGAGCCACCACGTCCTGATTCTCCTCGACGGTTTCCAGTTCGACTAAATTTCCACCCATCCCACGACAAAGACTGGCTGACGATTTCCAGTCGAATTCACGATTACTGAAGTGATAACAATTTTGACCGACTCTCGTGTAATTCGTGGGACAAGCGTCTGCAATGTAATTAATTAATTTATTTATTAATCAAAGATCAGAAAAACAAAAAAAAATTATAGCGTTACAGTTAATACCTTTGGCTTCTTTATTTCCGGATATGACGTAATACAATAACTCCTCAGCTCGTCTCAATCTTTTTTCCAAAAAATCGACTCTGTATACCAGTTTCTCGATTGCGCCTGTAATGAAAAGTTCGACAAGAATTAGTACTGATATTTTTAAAATGTTTTATTTGACAAATTTTAATTGTTTTACCAAGCAGATACAAATCGGTTTCTGATACGTCTCGTTTGTTGGACGTCGTTCCTTTCCCAGAAATGATTATTGCCTTATCACCAAACTTCATGACTTTGGACGTCCTGGCATGGATATTCGTATCGGCGGAAATAATCCAGTCCTCGAAAAGTTCGCTCCAAGGACCAACCCGAGAAACTCTCTCAAAAGCTGCCGCAGATTTTGCCGTTAGGTTCGACGATAAATGCGCAGCTGTAAAGACAAAATGTGTATTAGATAATGACAGACTGTAAAAGATTCCCCTTTTTTTTAAAAAAAATCCTCAAAAAAAGAATAGTTAAGAATAATTTTCACTGTTGGATGACTTTGGTCAGACTATTAACATTCATACCTTGACTGTCATTTGACATAATGACGAGAAACACTGTCAGCGAAACGATTAGAGAAATTTGTCGCATTTTCAAACCTGAAAATAGATTAAAATGCCATTTACAATTAGACGACACACAGAGAAATTTCTAATTGTTCGAAAAGAATAAAAGCTTTCATTGTTACATCATTTCCAATTAATTTACATAAACTTTCATGACCGCGCATTGTCATACGAATATTAATCCCATTATCGTTACATATTAATCCAAAATTAGCATCGGAAACAATACTACAGCTCGTGCAACTTCGAATCCGGGGAGTTCCTGGTTCACGACTTTCTCCAGGAAATTCCACCAGTGTCATTTCGTCGAAACGCATAAGCCTCGTTCTAAGTAATGAAAATTGGCGAAACAAAGACATATTGAAAAAGCACAAAACCCATAATACATTTTGTGAAATTTATTTAAATAAAAATATTTCAACTTAATTACGTCAAACAATTATTTTCAATTTATCTCAATACCATAGATGGCATCATTGGAAATTAATATGTATAAAAGTCCCATAAACTCACGTTCAATTTAAAAAAGCACCAGTGATCAACGTTCTTCCTATTTCTTTTCTTTATCTCACACTAAAATATTCCTTCTCGCGGAAGACGTAGTTGGCTTCGACGTGTACCAGAAGACTAAGATAACTGTCGATGATCCCAAGTAGCTGCGGTCTTCTCTGGGTCACTTTCTCCCCACCTTGAGACGAGTCACTTTCTTTCACGAGCACGTAGGTATCCAAAGTGCCGCCACAGATACTTCACTAATTTTGACATATTTTATTCTTGCCATTATACTGTTTCCTTCTACTGATACTCTATTCGTATGCTAAAAGCTATATTTTTCTCCGTAAAAGTAAAGTATTTAACCAAACAAATTAACCAAAGACTCTATAGTGTAAACTTTTGAATGGGACGATTCGCATACAAACGGCTTCTCCACTACATAAATATTGATTAAGAAAAACGTCGTAATGGATTTAATATAAATTCTATTGATTCGATAACAAAACAATAGTAGATTACGCAGTTCCTTGTAATTAGCTCAAGTACATTACGCGATCAGAATTATCAATCGATTCTACGAATTTAGTAAATCACAGTAACGTTACGCAAAATAGATTCTTTCGAAAGAGGATATCCTTTTCTGCCAAATATTACAAGAAATTGTATTTTTCGAATGTGCAATTTGCAGATCTTAAAAATTTACAATTTCCACCTACTTACAAAGTATTTACATTATTTAAGTACAATTGTACGCCTAAAATAGTCTCCATTATTATCAATCAGAAATATACAATCCTTGTACTGTAAAATACAGTAACGTAATACATGGCAAGCAATTTTGCACGCTTCTTTTCACGGTCCAGTTTAGCAAAATAAAATTGGTCTTCTTATGAATCCTAAGATCTTCTTATCACCTACAGGCTTGCCTATCAGAATCCATTTGGATCATATTCCTTAAACGTAGTTCCTAGCGCCTTTAGTTACATCCAATTAACTTTTTCCTTTGTTATTCTATATCCATCTTGTTAGCCTCCTTGATTGGCCGATCAATACAACCTATTGGTATCGATTAATATAATTCCTTCAATGTAGGAAGCTGTTACGATTAACCTACTGACCTGATTTGCACATAAAACATATTGTGTGTTCTTTGAATAAAACTTGCGGTAGATAGACTCACAAGGATGCCTCATTATCTTCCTCGTATCCAGGAAAGTTTAATCTTTCCTTAAATTAAAGCAAATTCTACTAAGGGGTCATCCTTTTCTGAAATACAGGTCGTTTCATTCATGCTACCAAGCTATTAACATACAGAGTTCACTATTTTCTTTTTCAATGAAATTGTTTAAGCTTGTTTAGATAAACTGGGTTCGTTGCGTTAACTACATTTTTTCTTAATGACACCAAACAGTTCATCGAGCATACTTGACTAGGTGACCTAAATTTTGTAAAACTATTACAAGACTTCGTAACAGCAAGGCAGACTGTAAATACTGCAACACGTAAGATACCGTATAACGATATAATTTATTTGCTTAAACAATTATCATTATATGTAATATCAACTGTCTCTCATTTGTCATGGAGAATTTTCCTTTTTAAAAAATCCCAGGTTCTCTTCGATTCAGATAAATAGTTTCGGTCCTCCACTCGCCTGTATCACCGGTTGCCGGTACTTGGCGCGAGATTGGACCAAGTCTTTTGAATTCAGAAATATACAGTGAGATTAAGCTGCTCGTTTCCGGTTTGACTTGTTCCTGCTCGAGCTTCCGCAGCAACTTCCACGCTGTCCACAGTCTGCAAAGAAGCAATACAGTTAGATGAATAAAAAAAAAGAGAACGAATCAATTAATTTGAGTTACGTCTATGACTCTACAGCAGAAAAAAAGAGTCTGAATGATATTGTCAAGTGATCGAACGAGTGTATAAAAATAATCAATATAAAAGTAGACGATTCTTCGGCATTAAATACATGGAATATCATAGGCATTGAGTATTATAAAAATTCTTAGAGTCACAGTTATAATACATTGACAGTATCGTTTCCTTGGTGAATGATTTTCATAATGATTGAGTGATTCGGATATACCAGGTCACCGCGCCATCACAAATCAAGGTTACGACGCCTTGGCGTAGTGCGTGATAAGCAGAGTCACGTTGTTAATTAAAAACTCGAGGTTGACTGACACTTAATCGATATTTCTACGAGCCTTTAAGGTTCTATCGCATGACGATTATATATCATGGATAACACCGTATAAACACAGCTGCGATAACTCATTGTAATATTTCATGGATTAAGGTGGATATTCGTATTAGATTTTTGAAAAAAAAAGAGAACAACGTAGTCACCCTGTCATCGTCGTCCCAGGATAACTTTTTAACGCGTCTAGACATGGAACCGACCGGCCACGTGGGTACCAAAGAGTCTGGCGGTTCTCCGGAATAATTCGAGGAATTCTGAGATCCCATATCAAGATTTGTACGAGCACTAAGATCATTCATATTCTGCACTAGTCCTCCTACGTTTGGAATATTCGATGTAGCAGCCAGAGCTGGTGGATTTGGTGCTGGTGCTACCTTGTGCCTTGAGTACAAAGGCATCTGTCTGGCAGATATGACACCTGTTGATTGAATAATAATTACTTGATGGATCAATACATAGTAATTTAATTCAACTAATTACATTATCGATAATTACTTTTAATAGTAGCATTATAGCTGCTCTCGTTGTCCTCTCCGAATACAGGATTGCCAATATCACTGGTACCAGGATCACGTTCTCTGCTTGACTCCAGGACATCCTGAAGTGCACTAGCTCCCAGAACCTGAGGCGTGGGACTCAGAGCTGAAGGAACTGGTGATTTTTCTCTGTACCCGGTACCCACGGAACTTACAGATCCGCTGCTCTTAGGTCTCTTACTGTTGGCAGATCAAGAAATATTAATTGTTTGAATCTAAGTCTCCAGTCTGGATTTTATGCCTGGATCTATACTTACTGTTTATATATATAGAGGATCAGTACGAGTATCACCACTCCGAGGAGTCCCAATACAGCTCCAAATACAGCCACTAAAAGTACACTACTTCCAAGCCAGGCTGGAGCCGCCCTGGCGGCTATTGGCAGTGAGCCTGAATTTGGCACGTGTACTATTACTGGCACCATACTAGATCTATTAAATATATATATTATTTTATCATATTTTACACAATTTTATAGTCACATACATCAAAGTACTAACCGTGGTGGCCGACCAGTATCTGAAGCAATAGCTACTACTCTGGCTATGGTACCATTGAATGGTCCAGATGACCTTAAGATCAGTTCGCCATTATCACGAATCTCAAACGATCTTGCATCAGGACCTCTCAGCGATAAAGAAACTCTATCTCCTCTATCCCCATCCGCAGCTTCCAATCTGCCTGTTATCAAGGAATTATTAAGAGACCATCTAAGAATTCAATTAATTATCAAACTCACCAACTATTGATCCCTCTCTTAAGGTTCTTGCATGAAATTCATATCTAGGATGTCGAAACCTTGGTTCCCATTCGTTGACATCCTCTACCGATACATTCACTCTCGACGTGTCATTCTAACCAATAAGAATCTTAAGTAATATCAATTTATAATATCAAAGCAGGAAATAAAATTGAATCGTACATGCGTCCCATCGGTGACGTGAACCAAAAAGCTATGCTGAATCCGTCTCTCATAATCCAATGCACCTTTCAATATTAATTCACCGGAACTGGTTATTGAGAATCTTTCCAGGTCCTCGGCGGCACCGACAAGCCAAAACCTTAAGTTCTTAAATATAAAAGAATTAATTGTATAATCCATATAAAAACCTGAGCAGCATCAAACCGATACCTACAGAATCTATTTTATTAACACCGGCTGTCAGTATAACGCTTCCAGGTGGTGTATTTTCGGGAACGCTTGCTTGGTAATCCTTTAGTACAAATCGTACAGGTAATCGACCACCTGGTTGTAAATGAAACGAATAGAATTTTAATCTATTTACTCAAGATACTTATTATGGATTATAGAGAATTCACCTGCGGTAGGTGTAACTCCTAGACTTCCTTCACGGGACACTTCCACTGTGGTAAGGGCATACCTGTCCGGATTGTCTATTTGGGTTGCCTGGTTGAAAGAAGGTAATAAACACTGGGTCAGGATCTTTCAACCAGATTGTATAGTAGGCACTACAATAGGAACTCACCTTAATAACTAGGGTCGCTGAAGAAATGAGTTCATGATCCTGTAAGGGACGCGATACGATGATATCAGCCGTTTCAGGATTTAGTATAAGAAAAGGTAGAACTCCTCCTTGAACTGAATAACGTACAGGAGCGTTTATTCCAAGATCCTGATCCACGGCCTTTATTGGCTCTGGATCAACACGCAATATGGATCTCTAAAAATGTTAGTATTAAAAATAATTGTGTTATTGATATTATAATTTATAATTATTTTTTGCGTACGGTTTTTACACGATGAGGAATAACGACTCTGTACTGATCGTTTAAAAATGCCGGATTCTGATCATCGGCATCTATTACATTTACAAAGAGAGTCGTTTCCGAAGATTGTGGTGGACTACCTTGATCCTGTAATAAAAATTTATTTTTTAGGTAATTTAATTGATTTATGTATATTTGAATTAATTACCTGAGCACGAATTCCAACAGAGAAATTACTCAGCGTCTCGTAGTCCAGTGGTTTCCTTAATACTAGGGTACCTTCCAAGGCGTTTACGAATACAAAGTAATCCTGTAAAAAGTGTCAATAAAAAGATATTAGGTAAATTAATATTAATTAATCTTGTCAGATTTATAATGTCTAGAATTACCTATAGCAACCGATTATTATGTCGAATAAATACCTCGAGCATAACTCTCTCGCTGTCCACGAAGACAGGCTGCATTTGTATATGCATTAACACGAATTCAATTCGTAAGAAGGAAAGATAAAAGCTTGAAGAATTAATTATTTAATTACCGAATGTGGTCCAGGAAGGACTGAATACTGTACTGTGGAATAAGGTCCAGGCTGATCAGCATCTACTGCCCTGACCCCTTGCAGAACTCTGGTTCCCAAAACGGTGACCTGATTATAAAAATACAAAATTGTGTGGAATACATGAAAATAAATCTAGCATAATTTAAAAAAATAAAAAATAAAAATGGTATATACCTCAGAAATATTGAGCACGTAAGGTGCATTGACGAATTGTGGTGCATTGTCATTGGCGTCGGTTACACGAATATTTACAGGAATGACAAATCCCTGCAAGGAAGAATAATATGATTTTATTCTTAAAAGACACAAAAATCTCATCTAATTATTCCTTCTTGAATTTGCCGTTTATCACGTACAGGATCCAGGGTGCGTTTCCTCTCACAGATGACGTTCACGTATACACTGGCTGGTCCGTCGACACCCTCCTTGTCCAGAGGTCTGGTGAGCGTGAGATTTCTTGAATTTTGTGAAAACGTAACAGGACTATCCCGTTCCTGAAGTCTGAGATCGATATCGCCCTGAGGTCCAGGATCTCCCAGTACTCCAAGTATACCAACGAGACCTCCAACCTCTAGATCCTCGCTGACAAAGAGATGAGCAGCGGTGGCGCCGTTCTCCAAGAAGCATCTTTTGTCTCGTATCACTAAGGAGAAAGAAAAAATTCACCCGTTCAAATTTGCATCTTCTAGAAAGTGACTCTTAGACAGATAATAATCAGTCTGTGTTAATTAGTGTAAAAAAAAGAACAATTGCACGTGTCCTGAAAAAAATGCATTAAAGAAATTTTCAAGGCTCTCCATTAGAATTGAGATGACCCCTGTCAGGGTCAGAAGACCGTGAGAGCCAAACTCTATATAGTAGTGCAATATTACGGTGTCACGGAGGCCAAACGAATCCCAGGGAGTCGTATCCGGTAGTTGGCCGTTGCGGTTTCGGTTTCCATTAACGAAAACCAGTTTCCATCGCTTCTTTACGGCTTAGTAAAAGTACCAAGAGGTATCGCGAGGTGTCTTCGCGCATGAACGATCGATATATCCTCTCGAGTGTGAATAAAATTCGGTCGAATAAAAATTCCGTGAAATATTAATTTCCAATGATACAAAAAAAGAGAGCATGAACTGCAGTCAGTTTAATGAGAGTAAAAAACGTGACATTCAATAACGAGTGTAACAATTTAAAGAATAACAGAGACATGCGAAAGTATAGATTTTGGAATAAGTAGGTGCGTCCTTTTAACATCGGAAAGTGAAAGCATAATTACCCAGATCACCGGTTCCATTGTTGACTGTAAATTTTTTAACGCTCGTAAGTGTTCCATGTATAGCTACATGTACGTCTGTATGTATACCAAACGATCTAGGAATTTCAGCGATCAATCAAATGGCTTTTATTCGTTTGAACGTTAGACTACGTGATTTTCAACGTACTTTTCTACGTCTACGTACACCGTTTCGTGAATAACGTATATAGACATACGTTGGTATTTATACGTGTCAGGTAGTAGATATGTGCGCTTCCTTGGAGCGAAGTTCCGGCCAAGGCAAGCCCATTCCATCGAGTATCCAATGCAGTCGTTTCACGAACTTATTTCTATAGACACTCTTCAAATATATTGTATTTACGCAATTCGAAAGACGGGAAAAAAAGATGAACGGACGCCATCGTACATTGTGTTTCTTTGAAAATGCCACAGCCTGTGCATTTGTACGTGGTAATGATTAATTTCGACGGAATATATTATTGCTCTGGTTTTTTTTTTTAGACAGCCTGAAGATGATTAACACTCGTAGCACTGTTATCGCCGACCATAACTAATTGAAACTGGCTCAGTTTCGATGCAACAGTATATTTTTTGTACAGTTATTCTTCGTTGTAAAATAACGTCTTGCGTGGCTCTAGTCAATTCGGTTAATCGTTAAGCGTTAACGGAATAAAAAGGAGGAAAAGTAGAGAGAGAGAGAAATTATAAATTGGTTTTACGATAAACCGATCGGAGCTAATGGCCATGCGTTTCGTATTGTGTAATTTTTCAAATGATTTTCATCCTTTTATTGACTCACGTTGTCCTGCGGTAAAACGTGAAGTTGCACATAGAAGCGACAGTAGAATCTTCAGGATAATGTGTTCCATATCGATCCAAGATCTCCATCCAACGTTTCAGATTTTGTCTGACACATCTAAAAAAAAAAGATTTTCGAGGTTAGCTGGATTTTTCTTTGATTTTCTTCTTGTTAAACGACAGACGAGAATTTTTCGAATATTTAAAACTCTTTGATGGATTCGCGCAGGGAGGATCATTTGAAAATTGTTTCCTAGAGCATCCAAGCGTGGAACGCGACTGTCTTACTGGAATAAAGACATGAATCACTGATTTCTTAAGAAATTTCTACACGGAACGCACATCCGTGCTCGTATCAACTGGAAATTCCTATCTATTAATTTTCTGATTTCCTGCGCCGGAGTCATTTAACGATTTCTCGAATCGTCAAGCGACTCGAATCTTATTAAGATATTTCCTAAGATCGAAGAAGAGACTCATAAAGGAAAATATATTTTCCGATGGAAGATTAGAGGGAAGCTTTCTGTTCTGAAAAAAAATATATTTACCTGGAACAATGAGTACTTACCCAACTTCCATAAGACACGACGAACCTGTGTCTAGAAAGCATGCAGAGAAACTCCTTTATTACACACGTAGGTTCTCGCTAATTATTAATACCGACATTATATTGCCTTTTATTGTCACCTGCAGTGTGACAATCACAAAAATGTAAGAGTAGGTAGAACAATTATAAATATAATATACCGTTCATTAACATTGGAGCTGTCTGACCCGGCAGTAACATAACCTCGCTGCAGACTAGCAGTAAAGATATGCCAATTCGTCATTTCGGCGCGAGTGCTTAATATTCGACTGTTCTTTTAATTGTATCACAACCTTTTCTCCTTTTTCCTAGCACCAACTCGCGAACGTCATTAAATTTAACGAGTGTCCGTGGGAAGTATCGCCACTGCCAAATACTACCAGGTGATTGCATTGTTTTCAAATGAAGGGATAACAAGCCAATGACGTCAGTAGGTCTAAGCGTGGAACAATAAAATATAAACCGGAAGCTGACCATCCCACTTATTTCTCAAGCTCAACAAACTAGAAAACCCATTAACAATTGATCGGAAGAAAAGCCACAGCTTTTTGCGTAATCCTGGAAACGTCAAATTCGTTCCTCAAACATTTCAATTCGGCAGAAGGAACTCCGGCTTTAACGGTGGAGTGAAAGAAAATCCTGTACGTTGCACAAGATCATTTCCCTTCTTTGGATATACATAACGACTGGAATTGACAGAAAACAATTGAAACAAAAATAAACTGGACACGTAAAGTCGCCTAAGCTGTAGAAGGCAGTGAATTAGGTTACGTTGATCGGTGAATATAAAAAATGTTAAATCTACAGTAATAATATTCGCTCGATCATGCAGTTTGTCTTTCCCATTGAATAGGAACAAAAGGACGGCTGTACTTTCTTTGCAGTAAAAGTCCTAGATGCAAATTGGAGAAATCTGTCCGTGGTTCGTAGAACAGAATGAAATGCTGTAACAACAATGGCTATACGAATCGGATAGGAGACAAATTGATAGATAAGACAGTCTAACATAAGATAAAATGAATGCTTTGGTTATGTAGGACATAGTACTGCTTAAATCCACCGAGCGTAACCTAAACTACGTCATGGTGGCCAACCGGCGTAAATTCACTAGATAATACATGGGAAGCTATACTTGTTACCGGTAGAAAGAAAGGAAGAAATGCGATTCATTAAAAAAATCATTGACGGCAAATGCTTTGCACTGTTTCCAACTGTTTGATAAAGAATGCCAAAGATCACGTAGAAATATTCGTATAATTATATTGTGCCGAATATATGAGATAATTTGGTAAATTATTATGGCGCGGATAAGCATGAGCAAAAATTATTGATGGCCATTAATAAATTATTGAATGAGTCGCATATTTTTCGTACACTGTCTACAGACTTTGTGCTTATCAAAATCTATTTTAGCTTACAGATCTGCCTTGTCATCGTTTAATATTTAACTTACCACGAAGGATTGTTCTCAAAACATCCATTAATCGCAGGGACGATGTGTTTGTACCGTCACTGTATGTATATAGTTCTTGATACACTAATTTTTTAAACATTCCTTTTAACCCATGAGTTTAAACTAACAATGAGGGGTTGGCGAGTGGCCTCAGCACATGAAAATAACCGTTTTAAGTGAACACCTGCCTGTACGAGTAAACCGATCGGTTCAATCGATTGAAGGCGAGCACAATATTTATCGAAGAACCGAAAGAGACAATTTTTAAAATATATAATACATGAAAACTAGTTGAAAAACAATTCTTATTGTGTTATGTTAAATTATTTGTTATTATCTGTAATTCAAGCTTTTCAATCGATTATTCAATATTTAATTGTTATTGATGATTTATCTGTTACTCAAAGAGTTCAATCACTTCTGACAATATCACAGCGTACTCCGAGACGGGTCTGTCTGTCAGCGCTCGAGTTTGTTACTACAAAACAGAGTGGAGTAAAGCACTCAGGAAGTTGGCAGGAAGTGGGGGCAACTATCTACCGGCACAGGTGTTCATAGGGAGACAGGAGGTATTATAATTATATGACAGCGTGTCTCGCATTGAACTCAGTGCAGGCTGTAACGGTGAGCAGACCCAGTAGGGGTTGCATTTGTACCTTAGGGGTGAAATTATTGTGGGTAGAGTACAATGTCAAGGGTAGATCTAGAACAACCCATACGCCAGGATGACTAATGGTATACACAGTTTGAAATAATAAGCGCACAGTATGAAAAAAAAAGATGACAAAATTTCATTATATAATTATTATTTATCATTTCCGAAAATTGTTGAAGATCATCATCCGGGAGAAAGAGCAAGCTTTTCTTCTATTTGCAGAACTGAACCGGATGATACATAGGAATTAAAAAAAATTCCGGATATCATTTTCTTGAGGATCCTTAACATTGATCTAGTACAGAAGATGACATTTGTCATCTCCATAACTCTATGTAATGATTATGTAATTAGTCTCTTCTTCATGAATTTTCTAGATAGAAGTTAAATCTAGATACACAGGTACAGCATCCATCGATGATCCTAGAAAGATCTTCTCACGGAATGGTCCGGCATTCTATCAGCATAGCATAAACAATTTCACGGATTGATGATCCAGATCGGATCCATGAACGATCCATTCGCAGATGAGCCAGGGATAATTACGGTGATTCGAGATGATTATTTTTCGTTTTGACCCAGTTCCCATGAGGGGCGTAGGTGCAAAGGATTACCAGCGACCTGTTTCACCAGAACAGCTTGGTAATCATACCTAGGATTTTAATTATTATTCAGCAAGGAAGTCTAACTAGCCTTCGTACCTTTAACGTAACGAGTCGGTCTCACCTACTTAGATCGGATCATATACATTTTACTTGAGATTCGCACTCTGCTTCCGGAATAGCGACTGACTGTATGCATATAGAGAAAGCCGTCAATAACATACAGAATGGACTAGCTATAATGAAGAGGATCTATTATATAGTTATTCCCTAGCAACGTCTTAGCAAAGGATCATTTTTAAAGTTACCAGAGGCAACGTGCGTGATGCCAAGTTTACAAAACGTGACTGACTACTGTTTGAGACTAATCGATTCGCAAGTGGATCCTTTGTTTGAAGAAGGTAATACTTAGTATCGGGTCAGCATAGCCAACTGGAAGGCTCAATGAACTGGCAATAAAAGTCTCCTTGTCCCCGGCTGTTTCAAGAATCATTAGACTCTTTTCTGAAGAACACTTTTAACCGGAAGTTTCTTCGAACACGCAAGAGGTTTCCAAAAGATGTTGTTTGCTGCACGACATTTATGCGCCTGTATATAATCAATCATATACATGCATGGTGTTATGGTACAATAAAAACTATGACAATAACTATATAGTACTTACTAGATACATATATACATGCAGATTACAGTACTGTATAGTATACAAGCATTGGCTATACACTGTGTACTATGAACAATTGCTATGTTTGCTTGACACTCTTCTTTATCGTATCCTCACAGCACGGGAGTTCCGTTCCAATGGATCTGCGCGTCCTGCCATCTTTGGAGTAGCATGAAAAAAAAAAAAGAATTATACTTCATCACGACAAGCATAAGGAAGATGCTCAGGATATAAAAATTTGCTGATGACGTTTCTATTACTGGAAATGAATGGTATGGGATTTCACTTCCGAGTTTTATTTCCCTTGGATGCTACGAGTCAAAGATCAATGACGATTATACGGATTGATAGTGAAAACGGCTGCTCTCTAAATCTTTTATGGATGGTTCAGCTCTTCAAAAGATTTGACGAACCATGATATTCTGCGCCATTAATTTTACCTGCTAATACCGGAAAGGAAGAGCGAGTTGCTGTGGCTTACTTTGTGTGAATTAACTTTTCTAATGGAGTCGCTGCAATGTCCATGGAGTCTCTGGTAGCAGAGTCTTGCAGTCCCGAGGCGTTATCGCCAGCTCTGGTGTCCACTGTTAACGTAGCGTGACTTCCACCGCAGGTGTAGTACTGCACTTCGAACCTTTAAGTATCGTAAGTACAGGTAATGGGATTCCAGGTAGTATCGCGTATTTTGCGAGATTAATTCTTAAATAAATATAAATTACCGGCGTTCCGCGTGATAATTCCTGAGCAGTTCTCGATTCGTATTGAATAAGACTCCATAGTGACCCAAGCACAGGGTCGCCCATATCGGTAAACTTGGTGTCTTTAATCGAGATCCTGGCTGCTTATCCACTTGACCGTCGCTTTCGTGCACCAAAAATCCAACTTCGCTCCTTGCCAAAACGCCCCATTGCGGAACTGCCTGTTAAAGTTTTACAACGCGATTTGGTTATCGAATTGCTCGAGGGCTGTTTCAATTTCCCTACTTACATAAGTATTCTCGTCGCCTACGTGAAGGACCCCATTGTGAAGATGGGGCGATGCTCTTCCGGTTAATGCAAGGGTGACAACCGTTATGGGACCCTCCTCCGGACATCCGCCTAACATTGACGCTTTAGGATCTTCCAAATCACTCTTCACCCTTCGTATTCGTAAAGGATCATATCAAATTATAGTAGAAATAAAATATACGAGTATGCCACCTTACTAAGAATATATGACAGTTAGAATATAATAAATCTCACTTGGAAAGTCCTCTGGAGAGAACCGCACTGTATAATAATAATTTCGCACCAGGACCGCCCTCGTCCTGAAACTAGAAAATACATTTTTTGAGAGAAAAATAAAAAATTTTAGTATCCATCTTCATCAACTTACCAGATACAGATATCTCTTGATAAATATCTGCAAATCCTCCAGACTGGTAAATTCAAATAGATGTAACTGCAAAAGTAGCAAAAGACAACTGTGACCTTAGAGAAAAGGCAATACTTATTTATAAGTTCCTTAAACATATTTTCTATCTAACAGACTATCATTATTTATTATTCAATATAGAATGCAGTCACTGTAAACAAAAAGCATATGAAGGAAAATAACTTTCTAGATTGGCGCAACGCCAGCACGCTACGAATTGACATTTGGCCTATGTCATTAACGCCAGCCCACAATTCACCAGGATTCTAACAACGTTGCCCTATCAAAGAGCTCACCGTCTCCGTCAGTCCATCTTGAAAATACTGCACGCTATGCTGCAAATATGGCGTCTCCTGTGGCAGAACCACCACAGCCTTAGGAACGCTAACGTTCGACACGATATTAAGACTCGCTGATCTTCCACTATTCTGCAAGACATTTCCACCAGCACATCGCCAGACGATCTCAGCAATGGCGCTAGTCAAGACCTCCATTTGCATGTCGTGATTAGGTTTGAGCGAACTGCAATCCAAGAGAGAGAGAAAAACCAGTAAAGAAATGATTCTGATAATGCAGAAGCTCATGAGACATATGATTCTTATAATTTTAAAAAAGAATTTCTCATCAGCAAATGCATTTCCCTTTGGCGGATGCTACTGATTTTCAAGTACAGCCAAAGGAAACGCACGCTTCTGGGGTCAATGCGCCGTCTTGTCTGTTGCTCTTGAATAAAAAGTGCTTCAGCATGATGGCCTGCACCGCTGTTACAAGACCCCTCGTTGAATTTCTCGGTGCTCTCAATCCGAACGACATGTTCTGCCCTGGTGGTCTTAACGTGAGTCCCGTTCTGGCCCATTCAGCCCTTGGTGGACTGGCGCAGCTTCCAAACACCAGCATCCTCAGTGCCTTTTTTTTTCAACAGACACAAATTGGTAAAGTAAAACAGTCATGAGGGATAATTGAAAGAAATAAAATAAAATCTCACCATGCACATTTCTTCTTCTATAGGAACACCACCGGTCACAGGAGTCTTCGCAAGGGTCCTAGTATTTCTAGGGTACATCACTCTCTCTGAAACACACGTTATAAAGAGATGATTATCCTGATGAACTTAGCTAACAAAATTCTTATCTACAACCTGGATACAATTCGTCTGGCTCTGCCATAAGAGCAGCGCACCTGGCCGCGCGGGTAGACAGAAGCATTTTTATTAAAATAACCAATCGGAGTGATAACGTGTATTTATGACGCAAAGGATACGTTTCTCTCACGCGGAACCTGCTCCTCGAATTTTCCCTTGTCAATTGGGAATCGTACGGAGATCCACGCCCCTTTATATCCTCGGATACAGCCTATCTATGCGGACATCTTTGAAAGCAGACACGAAACATGTCAATTCGTATGTCTGAAGATACTCAGACATGCCCTAGTAATGTCTATCTGCCATTACATCTGAACTAGAATTCGAAATTTGCATGATTGAGAAACTTTGAAAATCTACGACTAGCCTAAGCAACACTCCTGGCTGATTAACCTCAAAGGGAGCTTAGACATTTGTAGGGATCTGCGCATCAGACACGGTTTAACAGAATTCTGAGTAACCATATCTGAAAACCAGGCAGAGACTGATTGTGAGCATAGAGTACAGGAACACCTTAGTAACCTAAACAGCAGTTGCTATAGATTTACAAAAAATTGAAAATGACACATATAGGTGCTATGACAATCCCGATAACATCCAATTGTCGAACTGTACTGTATATACTATAGTTACTATTACAAACCTACTAAGAAGAGATCAGGCATTATCGCAACCCTAATCGCTCCTTCTCAGTTTTCATTTATTGGGATTTGACTTACACGAGATAGCGTGTTCGGATGTAATGAAGATCCGATTATGTATTCGTGTCGGAATAGACACGTGGATTCGTTGATTGGGAAGTTTGATATAAAGTCTAGCCTTTCAATAGCACTGTTCACTATATGTATATATACACAACTGGCATAGAAAAACATTTCAAGGAAATATTTTAAAAACGTATTCGCGTTATGAAGTTAAGTTTCCTCTGAAAATCTTCCCTATGAATATTTCTGAGACGTCATCGTGGGAGTAGTAGAAAATATACAATGAAAGGTAACGACGCTCAAAGAAATATAAGAAAGAGGAGGAAAGAATATATTTCTTTGGACTGGCAAAAGGTTAACTGAGTTATCTTGAAATAAGATTAACCAAGCGTTACCCCCGGTGGAGTTCAACTGAAAACCATTAATTTTATTTCACGTGCTGGGCCAGCCTACCCGTGCACGACGTGTACATTCGTAACGAATCGATCGATTTTTCAAACTTCATGTGTCATCCTCTTCTCAAACTTTACTGTGACGATCGTCAAGCACTTTTCTGCGAAGTGTCAGTCTCCTCGAATTTAAAACAAGTAATTATCGACTTTCGAGAAACTTTTATCATAATACGTATATATCCATATACGCAAAGAAAAGAAATGAATCCATTTTACGAGACAGTCGTTTTACGTGGAAAGGACATACGTCATTAATCCTCTATAATTAGCTCGACAGTTAACTTTGAATTATGTCAAATAAAATTGCAACATATAGATATATGTATATAACAATTTCCTATACGACAATGTATTCCAATGTTGTTATCCATTTTATAAAAGTATAAATATTAATAAATAATTGCAGATAAATATTCTCTAGATAAAACTACATCATATACACACACACACACACACATATATATATATATAATTTATGACAACGATAAATTCTTTTTTTTAAATTACCTCTGTCTCTCAGATAAGTCGGTTTCTCTGTCGTCATTTCACCCTGACGACGATTTCTCGTTCTCATAGAAGTATTATCATTTTTATTATCCGTTGAGCTGGAAGACTCTATCTCGGCCATTTTTATTTAGCGCGAAGCACGAGCAATTAATGATATCGTAATTAGCACTCACTTGTTATATCTATATACAAGCTGCGACGTGTTACAAAAGCGCACGGGAATCCCGCGTAAAAATTCAAATATCAAATATAATTGAAGCACAGATAAAAGAGTTCTTTGTACGGCTAAAGCGATTCGTGTAGAGTCGAGAAAGCTTTTCCTTCATGGTAAAAATGTTAGAAAAAGAGCTTCCGACGAATTCACAAACTTTCTGCCATTCGACGAACTCGCAACGTTGTATCGCCGGTCGGGAATTTCTCACGCGGAAGTTTTTTTAGTGCGTGGGCAGTAAATCCTCGTAATCCCCGCTGTGCGAAGCTCTTGGAAGCCTTTAAAAGGAAGCTTACGAAAAATAATGGTTCAACTGTTGACACGTTGTAGACGTTGAAATATGTATGCGTGTATACTAAGCACGATTTGGTTATGTATAAACTGAAGTTAATTTTTAAGGTTATAAAAATGTAGTTTCCTTCTTGCTGTATTACGGATGCCAATTAGAATTGTTTGTTGCTCTCCATCGAAATTTTGGAAGTGACTGTAAATCCTTTTTCTTCTTTAAATATACTCGAGTGTTAACCGGGTTGTTTATTGGAAAGAACTAAGAACTCCGAGGCGGCTGACGGCTCCGCATGTAGGTGTTGACTGACTGACAGCCGAGCGCCTGGCCTTTGGGGTAATTGTTACTAACACCCCTAAAACTCTACGGCTTATATACAAATAGATGATAAGGGCCTATCGTAGAACCCCATCAAACAACCCTTATATACTTCACGCGACTGGTATGTGCTATATATTTATATATATATAATGTATATAATGATAGGTATCCAAATCAGGTGGAATCTAGATATAACTGCTGGTTAGTCTATTTGGTATCCATTTACGAAGCAAATTAAACTTTCTGATTTCAAGATGGATTATCGGTTGGATGTTAAGTAAGAATAATTGTAAAACATTAAGAAACGGGACACTATGTTAAATGACAAAAGGGATGACGGTATTTTCGAAAAATTTTAATTATATGGGATTCTAGGAATTCTAACTGAAAATTTGGCTGAATACCAAGAATCGTAATAAGTTTTAACAGTGAGAATGCGGCTGAAAAATGCGGCATTTCAGGAAATCAGATACGAAATTGCACGGTAATATTGGATAAAGGCCAATAATTGATATTCTTCAAAAGACTATGATTTTTTTTCAAGTAACACGTTGTTATCACTCTCAAAATTTATCGATGATCGTGGTAGGTAGTGATAAAAAAATTTCGATGCATAAAAATTAATTGACATAAGAACAAGAATGTAGTTATACAGAGGAGAAAAATATACTTCGATCAAAATTCAATATCAAATTCAATTTGAAATCAATCTACTCATAGTATACAATTTCAGTAGCACTTATCAGGTTCTGAGATTGGCTCGTGAAAGTTACAGATAAGTTTGTATTACCGGAAGAAGTTCGAGGTCTTATGAGAACTATCGAGTATCCGTTTTAACTGGAACAACTTCCGATCACGCCAAATCAAAAGTAATTGAAACTCTAAAGTGAGTCACGTGATTTGTTCTTGCCATCAGAAATAGTCCAAATTTTACATAAGGATTGTAAACTTTGTAATAGAAATTTTGATTGATTAAACCACTAAGGAGCCTCCATGGTACTATACATATATTACATTATAATAAAAAATCACCAAGCTGTAAAGTCAAAATAAAATTTTAATTATTCTCCAGGTATGGCCTTTTGAAAGTGCAAAGTTCCCAATGAAAAATCGTCTATTTTGAAGTTGCAGAGAGAAGCCTAGTGCCAGGTGCGGCTCTATTATGGATGAGCCTAAAATATATACAGTTCATATAAATATATATGCATATAAAGCTAGAAGCGGGAAACTTGAAAGATCGATTAGTCTCAGGCAGTTGCGCGAGCAGTAATTATCAATAGTTATGAGGGATTTAGAGATTGATTAGTAGTGCAAACAGCTTTTCGAATTTCCAAGAAAAGTAACAAGGAACATAACCCTTACAAGGCATACTTAAAATATTACTCCCGAACCAACCTCAATAACAATAAATCATTAGCTCCTTAGCATAAAACCCAACAATCATAAATTTTACATAGAAAAAAATAAATATACATACCACCAGACGGATGATACTGTTTCGAGACAGAGTTGGCGGCTGTCAAAGCTCTAGCGATAGCACTTAGCTTCCTCGACGGTTTCCTGGCCATTGTGCTTGAAGTCCTGGGGAAAAACAATAACCTTACAAAATCCTGAACGACAATCTGTTCTCGAGAGTATAGCGTGGAGTAGTGATATGAAGAATAAACTAGGAAAAAATTAATAAAATCAGTAAAACAAAAGATAAATGAACTCACTAATCAGTGCCACTGTGTACGACAAGTATCCAAATAATATTTGACTACAATTAAATCTGGACATCTCATGGGGCCGATTGAAATCGTAGAACAGGACTGAACGTATCCTTTTCTACATAACCCATGTTATAGTGCGCTGTAAAAATAAGAAATGGAGCTCCCAGTAGATAGGTTATGGCTACGGTTCTATAAAAGATTCCCGTGAACGCAGCGTTGTATCGCGTGAAATTGTGGTACCGGGAACTTTAATTCTGAACTGAGGCAATGTCAGTTGTCAGGTGTCGTAGTCTTAACTTATTACGGAACGTGCTGAGCAGAATTTCTTGGAGGTTCAGCTGGTTCGTGACTCGCGCCAATAAAAGCTCAGTCGAGAATTCTGAAAGCCTTAGCCGTCGTATTTCTTGAGAACGGTGTCTCTGGCATAGTTACCTGTCCTGGGAAATTTTGCAGGGTGCATAAAGCTCTTTCAGTCTGCTAACATTGGCCGTGGTAATCGATGTGTTTAAAGGAATGAGAACGTAGAAACGTAGAAACTAGAAAGCAACTCAATTGGAAACACGTAAGTTGCGTGTGTCCTTCTAAGACTGAAAAAACGAGGATCGTCAACTAGAGTTGTAAGGACCTTTAGCGCTTTTGTAACTCATATGCTCATTATTGATGGCAACGGATGACTATGAGATTTTCATTGTTCGTTTACATATTATTGTGGACGATTTATAGGTAAGATTGCCATATTGGATGAATCATTGGTGCAGGAATAAAAAATATAAAAATTGTATACGTAGAGATAAGAATATTAATAGAGATAAAGTTCGTGTTGGATTATTTCTAAAAAAGAAAACTAGCTTATCGTGTATCACGAATATTGGAATTATATTGCACGTGATGATTGGACGAAGAGGTGTCATATAAATTGATATGATGTATTTTTGTAAAACGTAAAGGAGTGAGTTTTCGCAACTTTGTTCACTTGCCAAAGTTTGAATTAAACTGGGACTGCTGCTATAGTGATTTACGAAAGTTCGAAAATTGTGCAACCTAGTGCTAACAGCTTTTGTTATCGCTGGCTTTATTTGAAATTAATTACTTACTCTTTGTCAGTGATAGAACGCATCTTAACGAAACTCAAACTTCTTAGTGTCATCAACGAATGGGAAACAAGGCTCGTGCTGTGTCCTCGCCTGGCAAAATGTGAATTCTAAGCGCTGTTTACGAGTTCAGTTAATTAGTTATATATTTATATTTGAATATAGGTAGATTTATGGAGTTCTTTGCATGGTCGATAGAGAGAGACAAGATACAGTTATCGGCCGCGGGAAGAACTCGGTCACATCGCTCACTGCATTTATCTGCTTACCTACTGGTCTCAGTTGTGCCAGGTTGAGAAGTTGGGGTGCTGAGCTACCTAGTTCCTCTTCATCACGCATTTCGTGTCTACATCACTGGTCTAAAGCACGGGAGACGGGAGTACCGTGTCTTCAACAGAGATGAGTGCGAAGATGCACAACGTTACGGCTTTAGGCGATACCAAACGCATCACGCTAAATCGTAGCGGCGAGTCTGGAAGATGATTTTGTGATCATTGCCTCCGTCGACAATGCGAATCCCGTCGTAGCCGAACTAAACGTGAACGCGTACCTTGGCGAGCAGAGGTTCTCCGCTACTCACCGCTGGTTCCCAAAGCAACCCTCAGAACGAGACCGAAAATTATAGAACTTCTAAACAACTATTGAAAAAGTCTATTGTTGAAACATTTTAAAGAAATTTTTAAGAAAGTACAGTGTCAACCTTACACCTGTGTAAAATTGTTTATATTTCCACCATGCAGGGTTGAAATAGTTAACCAATCAAGTTAGCTTATTCCACTCAAATGTCGTTTTCAATTGGTTAACTTTATTTCAGCCCCGCATGGTGGAAATATAAACAATTGTTTGAAAATAGAGAAATTTAATTTTGAAAAGATATAAGACTCAATTAATTTCATTTTTTATTTCTAAGATTTACAAATCTTATTTCATATTCTTTCGGTAGTTTGAATGTTTCAATGCATGGTAGTATCGATTTCAAAAAATTGTTGTTCAATGACATTTTTGTCCTATTCCAGTTCTGAAAATAAAATTATATTTTTAAATAATGTAAAGAATTTCTATTTAATCGTATATTGAATATAAATCGATCAGTCGACTACATTACGTTTTGTCGAATCATTTGCTGCCAAACATCATACCCTTTGGCACGTTCAATACAGTCATTTTCAATTAAGAATATTAACATTTGCCATTTCTCCCACATGGCGAAGTTCCGCCTGGTAACAGTTACATTAAAATATTAATTACAGGTATATACGAAGTGTAATTAATATAGTTATTTAATAATTACGTTCGGGGTCTTTCCATAATTTTGGCTCTATTTTTGATGCGTGTTATCCAGTCCTTTATATCAACATTTCTTTGAAGAGGCCTTCTATTTTCTACACAAGTGATGTCCAATTTGCTGCTAATTAAAAAACAGATATTAGAAAACCATAGAAATGAATTAATTCATTAATGCAACTTGTACGTTATTGTAACCGTAATTGATAAAAAATACTGTTGCTTAATTTTTCACAAAAAGCCAACATATTTACCTCATGGAGCGATGCGATGCATTTTTTTTCTTATCCTTGACCGTAATGTAAGGCTTTGCTTCAGAATCGTCGCTACTATATATTTAAAAAAAAACAATATTAGTAATAAAATAAAATAGGAAAAAATATATTTAGAAAAATAAATTATCTTCACCTAGTTTCTATCTCTATGGTAGAAGCAGTTGAATCTTTATTGTCGTCATCATTTTGTTTACAACGTAACTTATCACTCTTAAATGTAGGAACTTCCTGAACATCCGAATCATCACTTGACACTGCATATGATGTACTCGGTACTACTTCACGAAGTTTTGGACCACGGTGTGCTTTATCGCCGGAGATACTTTTAGGGTCTGTAAGTGAAGCAGTAGAATCATTTGGTTGTGGATCTTCATTTAATGTCTGATTATCATCGACAGAAGATGCATTCAATAGATTTCAAACATTTTGTAGCATCACTATTACCTTTGTTGTATGATCTTTTTGATGCTATAACGCTCTGTGCCATAGAAGACTTTTGGGATGGACCTGGTCTTTCACTTATATCTAGTATATTGAAAGTATTTCTCTTGCATAATTTTTCTGAAGCTATCTCTTTCAGTGTATCACAAGAGTTTTGAGATGGCCCTTTTGCATTATCTACATCTAGCTTGTATGATTTTTCTGATGCTATAACGCTCTGTGCCGTAGAAGACTTTTGGGATGGACCTGGTCTTTCACTTACATCTAGTGTATTGGAAGTATCTCTCTCACTTAATTTTTCTGAAGCTATTACTTTCAGTGTATCACAAGAGTCTTGGGATGTCCCTTTTGCATTATCTACATTTAGCTTGTTGTATGATTTTTCTGATGCTATAACGCTCTGTGCCGTAGAAGACTTTTGGGATGGACCTGGTCTTTCACTTACATCTAGTGTATTGGAAGTATCTCTCTCACTTAATTTTTCTGAAGCTATTACTTTCAGTGTATCACAAGAGTCTTGGGATGTCCCTTTTGCATTATCTACATTTAGCTTGTTGTATGATTTTTCTGATGCTATAACGCTGTGTGCCGTAGAAGACTTGTGGGATGGACCTGGTCTTTCACTTACATCTAGTGTATTGGAAGTATCTCTCTCACTTAATTTTTCTGAAGCTATTACTTTCAGTGTATCACAAGAGTCTTGGGATGTCCCTTTTGCATTATCTACATTTAGCTTGTTGTATGATTTTTTTGATGCTATAACGCTCTGCGCCATAGAAGACTGTTGGGATGGACCTGGTCTTTGATTTACATCTAGTATATTGGAAGTATTTCTCTTACTTAATTTTTCTGAAGCTATTTCTTTCAGTGTATCACAAGAGTCTTGGGATGTCCCTTTTGCATTATCTACATCTAGCTTATTGTATGATTTTTCTGATGCTATAACGCTGTCTGCCGTAGAAGACTTGTGGGATGGACCTGGTCTTTCACTTACATCTAGTGTATTGGAAGTATCTCTCTCACTTAATTGTTCTGAAGCTATTTCTTTCAGTGTATCACAAGAGTTTTGGGATGGCTCTTTTGCATTATCTACATCTAGCATTATGAAAGTATTTCTGTTGAAAAAAAAAAACCAAAAATGAAACGTATATTAATAATTTGTTAGATGAAATATGTTACAAATTTTATATTGCTTCAAGAAACATACCTAGATCCACAAGCTGAACATATGTAGGTTTGCGGGCGTGGATTACCGACACACCTACTGTAACAACATTAATGTAAAATAACAGAATGATAAATTAAAACTAATTTTAATCAATTATCACTTACTGCATACATGATCGACTTTCATATAAAAATATTGACATAATACATCCATCGTATTCCTTTTGTGGACCAAGCCTAAAATTAGATATCAGATTTTCAAATATATAATAACATGAAAGTAGCACAAAGTTTTTCAATAGCTTACTTGTATTGATGAAGGTCCTGTATTTCATTGAACTTTACACAATCCTTAATAAAAGCAATGTCATATATGGCCTTTCCAGGTATATATTTATTGGGGACTGTAAAGCTCGGCACTGAACGGTCATCAATATTTACCAATTCACCTCCGTTGTCCTAAAAAAAACGTACAATTACAAAGAGATTGAAAATACATGACACTGAACGTTTATCGTATTAAACATAACAATATCACTTATTGTCACGTATTTCGAACATAGACTACTTCAATTAGAAATATAGTTCATCTAAAATATTTGAAATTACTTAATGAAAAAGACACAATAATTTGTAGTAAAAGATATTCCTTACCAAAATAAGTTTTTTAATCTCTTGTCTCACATCTGCTGGTAAATTTATTAGGCGAAACTGAAAACTTCTGTTATTGTATGAAAACATTGATAATTTTTAATATATTGCCTATTACTACGCAATTTAAAATGGTTACACTATTTTCACCACGGTCGTATACACGTCCGCACGAGCCTAAGCTCTCAGCTACAATGTTGCGCCGTGTCGTGCTTTTTGTGTTTCCAGACTTTATTTCGAAATATGAGACGTTAGTTTCAAACGGGCTGATTGTACGCATGCGCAATCACTCGGTTTTATTTTCATCCCTTTTCAACTGCTGTTGAACTTATTGCAGCTGTCCTTTGTGATCAACTTTGTTATTTTTCCGATCTTCTAGATATTGTATAGGAAATATATTGGGTAATCATGACTTGAAACTGTATAGTGCCGAAATGTAAGAGCGGATACGAAAGTAATAAGGAACGAGTTTCCTTATTTCATGTGCCGAAATAAGAAGAACTGAAAAAGAAATGGATTGAAGCTAAGCTAAACGTTCGTGATCGCGGTCAGCTTGGTTAAGACGGGATTCGCATTATCGACGGAGGCGATGATCACACAATCCTACTCCCGGACTCGCCGCTGCGATTCAGCGCCATGCTTTTGGTATCCCCTAAAACCGTAGCGCTGTACATCTCTCTACTCATCTCTGGTCTCCAATAAGTGGTCTGTGGTCTGTGGTATCCATACGCCGTGGACTCGTCAGAAGTGATCAAAAGCGTTTGGCGTCGGTTTTGAGAAATCATTATTACGAAAAAATGACCGTTTACAAGATCCGCAATAGAATATGACTTGTCCATTAAAAGGAAATAAAGGGAATGATTGAAGATTCATATTGTGTTTGAATAAAATATCCGTTGCATATTTGTGAAGTGAAAATCAATGAATTTACCAATGAAAAAAGGTTGGTTATACCTCGCATACGTTGAACATAAATAAATGGCCGCTTTGTTTATTTATAAACTTCAAGAAAAGAATTTAATACAAGACTGGGCTTATGCGATTGGAGATATTCAATTAATAGCAAGTGTGGTATAAACAGTTTCTTCTGCAAGAAGAATGCAATATATTAGAATGTAAATCAGGCTAGGAAAGTGCCTGTAAAATTGAACATAAATCAGGTTTGCGGGCCAGTGAGGCAAGTACGGTACTCTTTGTACTGTGTACCAAAACAATGTCTGAGAGTCCTAATATGGGCCTATTTGGCTCAAAAGATGAAATTAAAGAACCTAAGGAGGCTACAACATCAAAGGAAACTCTTCCTTCAATTGTACCATATTGCATCGACAGTGATTCCGAGAGTTATGACGATAAAGCCTTAAGCATTATGGATATCAATGATATTATTGGTGTTCAATCTGATCCTGTTGGAGATTCTACATTGGAAAGTGAAATTGCTGCTCTTTCTCAAATTATTACGGATTCCAAAAGTGACTCCAATCAAAAGTTTTTAGACATTGATTATAGTACATCAAGAGAAGATACAAATTTGAATGAACGTTTTTCTTCTGTTAAGGATATTACTCAGCCTAGTATCCAGGCAAGTGAAAATACATTTTTAGGTAGGGAATCAAATTTTGTAACTGCTGCTAAACCTAAGTCCACCACCACTGCACAACAAAGTAAGATTGGAAATGAACCTGTTGCCAGTGTATCTAAAAAGGAATTGAATACTTCATCATCTGAATCATGTAACTTGGTTGAGTCCAAGGAAACAGAGTCTGATGATGGAGAATCAAGTAAAACAATGGATTTTATTCAAGATTCCAACAGTAAAACAGCAGATAGTATAACTATCCCTGAAAAATGTAAATTGGAAGAAACTGAAGAAGGTAAGTTAAGTATGAATTTTGTTGTACATCAGACTGAAAAATATTATTGTAGAGGATTGTCTTTTACGATAAGAGAAATATTTTTTCTTGTACAGGTAACGTGGTTGATAATGAAGTCCTTGATATCAAAGGCAATGTAGAACCTGAGCAGAAACTGGAGTTACCAGTACGTAATCCATCTTCAGAGGATGTGCTACAACAGACTGAGGAAATTAAAGATGATGTGCAACCTGTGCTTGATGAAATACTTATTTCTGAGAAAGAAATAGATCCAGAATTAACTGGTATTGATGGAAATGCAGAATTGGTAGCAAAAGATTCATTAGAATTAAAAGTACAATCAGTACAGAAAGAAGAATGTGCTAATGATAATTCAGAAATTCCTAAAACTACGAATGGAAACGATTATAAAACAGAAAAAGATCAAGGAGGGAATAAAGTGTCTGATACCAATAATGAAAAACCCGAACCCTCAGAGACAATACCAACAATTCAGGCAAAGGCTGATCAAGAAGAAGTAGAAACAGCTAAGGAACCAGACTGTAATATTAATGAAGTACTAACTAATACTGAGGAAGTTGATACAATTATAACAGCCATTCAAGAAGAAAATACAGATAGTGATACGATCATTAATGAAAAGAATGTTGATGAGGTTACATCAAATGTTCCAAAAGTCATTCAAGAAGATGAAGCAATTCCTTCTGTGGGAACAAAAGAGGAACCAATAAAAACTGTTGAAACAGATAATCATTCGATTGAAGCTACGGAAATAGAAACTGTTGAAAGAAAAGATGATATTCAACAAAAATTAGACTTGCCTCTACCTCCTGAAAAATCTAATGAAGCGATGCTAGTAGAAGTTGTGAACGAGACAGTGGAAGTATTAACTGAAGATAAAGTGGACAGTTCAACAGAAGAAGTGGATAATCTAGTTGAAAAAATGGTATCACAAGATCCAAAAATAAATGAAAGTAATATAATGTGCGACATTGCAGAACCTATAAAAGAGCAGTTGCTTGTAGACGAGTCATCTCCTGCAGGAAGTGAAGAAGTAGTATTTGAAAAGAAACCAGAACAGATAATTAGTGAACCAGAACTTGCTGAAGATAATTTTATACACGAGTTAAGTCCTGCAAAAGAAGTAATGGAAATACCGAATGAGGATGACTCGTCAACAACCTCACATATTTCTGATAATGTTGAAACTCAAGAAACATTACCAACAGAGCAAGAACCCGCGGGAACTGAAAGTCTATTACCTGCTGCTGAAGAACCACCAATTTCGGAAAAAATTCAGGACGAACATTTGGTCAATAAGGAAGCGGACGTTGGTTCATCTGAAAAAGTATCTTCGCAAGATGACCCGCAAATTATCGTATCGAATGAAGATTTTGATGAAGCTCCCCAAATTTCAAATACGGTCTTATGTACTGAATTTACGCCAGAGAAAGTAGAGAATGATCTCACTGAAGTTTCCACTGTGAAGCAAGACGAAATACAGTCTTCAGAAAGTTCATTACCAAGAGAAGTTAGTACTGTGGAAGAAGTAGCTGAAAGTTTAGAAATTGTGAGTGAGAACTTACAGGATAAAGAGGAAGAGGATAAACAAAAATCAGAAGTTGAAGAAGTCAATACGGAGGAGATTATGAAAGTACAGGAAGAGGAAAGAAAATCTGCTGAAGATAAAGTAGAACCAGAAATTGAAAAAGGTGAGATGAATGATGCGTCAAAAACGCAGCTTGAAGAGAAAGACTCAGCTGAGAATAAAATTGAAGTTGTAATTCAAGGTATTATGCAACCGAAAGATAATGAAGAAATCGCAAACAGTATTGCTCAAGTGCCATCAGAGCTGCAAGAAGATAACATTGAAGATAATGCTGTGACTGTTGAAGAGAGTCAATGTAAAACTGAAGAACCAGAGTCTTGTGATATTAAAGTCATCCCTGAGGATAAAATTGTGGAAGATGTAGTACCTGAAGAAATAGTTGCAAAGACGAGTTCAGATGAAGATTTGAAATTGCCTTTATCAAAATCAGAAGATCTACAACAACAGTCATTAGAATGTACTGAGGATACTACTTCAACAGATAAAGCAGCATCAGTTATTGAAAAGTCAAAGAATCTGCCTGAAGGACAAGTAAAAGAATTGGAAGACATTGGAAAAAAAACCAAACTAAATCCACCATTAGAAGTTGAAAATAAAACTGAAGCTCTTTCAAAAGAGATAAAGATAGTTCAAGAGGAACCTGTAGAAGAAATCCGTAGTCCATGTCCAGCGGTGGTTACTGAAGTTTTGCCAGATGAAAAAATAGAAGTAACAGTAGATAAAGTATCTCAAGAATCTGATGATTTAAAAAATATTCTAGACACGACAGCAGGAGTAGATGAAATGTTCACTGATGATCAATCTCAAGGTACACAAAATGTGATGAGGAATATTCTCGATACTGTGGACAACGTAGCAGACATTCTGAGGAACGTGCAGCCTTCTGCGATGGTTGATGATTTTAAGAGTATCTTAGCGAATGAAGTAAGTGTTGAACAAGAGATTGCTGAAGTTTTATCTCATTCCAATGACTTGCCATTGGTAGAAGAAAAAGTTGAAGATCTTCCAGACAAGCTCCCAGAGGATTCTAGTGACTTGTTGAACAAGGATTTGGATGATCCAATAGGAACTCAAAATATAGATTCTCTGGAAGGTCTTTTAGGCTTGGACCTGATACCGGAACCAGAGGATCCAGTGTTGAAGGTGGAACCAGAAACATCAAAAGTGATAGCGGAATCTCATGATGATGTACAACCCAAGGAAAAAGGAATGAATGTACCTTTATTATTAGAGGATTCGGAAGAGCCAGCAGTGACGCCGCAACATCCAAATTATATAACAGACGTTATCAGCAACTGTTTAACGACTACAAATAAGTCAGCGCAAGAAGATGATGATACTAGCGCAAGCATTGACAAGATAGTGAGCGACCATAACGAGGAAAAGAAGTCGACAAATTTATCAAAAATTGCAGAGAATGTTATTTCGGATTCCACTAACAAGGAGGACAATAATATTGATTCTCAGTGCCAAATGGAAACAGTCTCAGTGCTGGAGGAAAACGAGTTAGAAATGTCTTTCGAGTTGACTACAGGTATCGAAGAGAACCCTTTGGAAGATGTTAGTGTTTTGGATAGTGAATCTAAGCTTGATTTGGCTGAAGATCTTTTATTGGCTACTGCGAGTCAAGCTGAAGTTCTTACTGATAGTGCATCACTCATCAGTGTTTGTCAGCCAAATTCTGAGATGTTAGAATTAGAGAGTGCTGTGAAGTTTTTACAAGAATCTGAAGAACAAGCTATAGATTCGCCATTGGGATTATCACCAAAAATTATTCACAGCGCTGTAGATGATATTGTAGAACAGGCTGATGCTGGATTATTTGTGCCCGAAGCCGTTCTTTGTGAAGATTCCTCAGAATTGGTTGCTGAATTACAAGGTATCGCCTCTGATCCTATCGCCATATCTGAAGCGGAAATTATCTCAGAAGCGACTAAATTGGAGAACGAGCGTAAGGCTAAACTTTCTGAAACTGCTAAAACTATTCCGGAGACATCGCCTTTCTTAGATAATGATTTATCAGTCTCAGAAATTGATAATAGTTTACCCAGAAGTAATATTGGTGTATTGGCTATTGCAACACCTATAGAGGTGGAAGAGAAAATTAAGGAAAGTTTAGTTATTAAACAAGATACATTGAATCCGATAGCAAAGTTGTCAGAAAATATCTTGACTATGTCAGATTCGCTACCAAAAATGTCAATTTTGGAAGAAAGATTGAAGGAGCCTCCTAAAATTGAAATACCCGTACACGATATGTCCAGAATTTGCGAAGCACCAACTACTCCAAAAACAAGTCTTCTTATTCAGAAAGATACTAAAATGGCAGCATATCAAAAGATGTTGGAGTCTCCAAAGAGTGCTGAGAAGACTGAACTCAAGATCATGGATACACCACGTAAGGATTCCGAGAAGCATGATTTTGAGAATGTTGGTTCCCCAAGAATAATATTAAAAATTGCCAAATCCGCAATAGCCGATTGCGGTGAACCAAGATCGCCAAAGAGCCCGAAAATACGTTCAGCTGCGAACTCACCTAATCCAGAGGATAGTCCAGGACAGAAACTGGGTAAGATTAAATTGAAATTATCAAAGGGTGGTCATCCCTCGATTATTTCAAATGAGAACGTAGATGAGAGTGCGCAATGGCACACAGAAGGCACGTCCTCACCATCTCCAATTGGCATGAAAATAAAATTATCAAAGACTGGAGATGCTTCTATCATTCCTCCAGATAAGCATGAAGCCAATGATGAGCCTAGGGAGGTGAAGCACAAATTTGAAGAGGCTAAACGAAATGAATCACCTTTAGGAATGAAGTTTAAATTATCGAAGTCGGGCGATGCTTCGATTGTCCAACAAGATTTCAAGGAGACAATGTCAAAGCATAAAGAAAAATCCGATGTGGCTCAGGAAGCTCCAAAGAGAACCGAATCGCCACTTGGTATGAAGATCAAATTGTCAAAATATGGTGATGCTTCGATTATTCAACCCGACAAACAGGAGGAGCATCGAGATAAATTAGAAAACATTCAGGAAATTCCGAAGAGGACAGAATCGCCAATTGGTATGAAGTTCAAACTCTCAAAAACTGGTGATGCCTCGATAGTGCCGTCTGATTTGCCTGAGGAAAGTAGGGAGTCGAAGCCAAGAGAGAAGTCAGAAGTACCTCAAGAGATTCCAAAGAGGACTGATTCGCCTATTGGAATGAAAATAAAATTATCAAAGACAAGAGGAGGTGCATCAATTATACAACCAGATTCTATTGAGGAGTCTAAGGACAAATTGGAAATACCAGATGTACCAAAACGTACAGAATCTCCACTAGGGATGAAAATAAAATTATCCAAATCTGGAGATGCTTCAATTATTCATACTGAAGTTACCGAAGAGCCTAAAGAATTTTCATCAAAGTATAAAGAAAAGTCGGAATTGGCTTCAGAGACGGGAAAACAACTGGAATCCCCAATTGGAGTAAAAATCAAGGTAACGAGATCAGGTGAGGCATCTATAATACCACCGGAATCATCAGAAGAGACAGAGAGTCTTCAGGATATGCCCAAGAGAACAGAGTCATCGATTGGTATGAAAATAAAATTATCAAAGAGTGGAGATGCTTCCATTATTCATCCTGATAAAGAGGACGTCGTCGAGGAACAGAAATTTAAGGAGAGAACCGAGCCGCATCCCCTGGACATCCCTAAAAGAACAGAATCGCCAATTGGAATGAAAATCAAATTATCAAAAACTGGAGATGCATCGATAATTCAATCGGAATTACCAGAGGAAACTAAAGAATCCGTAGCCAGAACAGTACTGGCGGAGAAACCTGAAGTAGAGATTCCCAAACAATCTGACTCTCCACTTGGTATGAAGATAAAACTATCAAAGACAGGTGATGCTTCTATAGTGGAATCCGAGAAGAGAGAAAAATCTCAAAAAAGAAAAGAAATTGACTCTCCCTTAGAGATGAAGATTAAATTATCAAAGACTGGTCATCCGACTATAGTTACTTCTGAGACTTATGGGGAAACTTCACAAAAGATTAAAGAGTCTCACGATCAAGGTTCACCTCAAAAACACAAAGATCCGGACACTTCCAAGGAATCTCCATTGAAAATGCTCAAAACCGCACATTCAAATATCCTACAAGGTAATCGAACTGAATTGACTATCGAACCAGTTCAATTACCAGCTAAAAGGCAAGATGGTGGAGTCGAGTTATCACCAAAGCGTAAGGAAGTTATGATTTCTCCGGTAGAAGTAAAGAAATCAAAACTGGAAACAAAACTGTCACAAATCCTACCAGAGGTAACGATACAGCCAGTAACGTCAAGAGAACAAAAACAAATGTTGTTCGAGTCAAAGAACAGTGCGATCAGCAAGCAACAGATGAATGTGATAAGTCAAGAGATCAGTATTACTCAAGTGAGATCACACAAGCCTCCCGATCTTAGCATGAGTGAAAAACTTAAAGATATACTAAACAAGAATCCTTCAAGTTCGCCTATGAGTTCGGATTGTGAGATAATTGAACATCGACCAGAGTTGATCATCGTTAATGAGAATTCAAATTCAAGTCAGGATGTTGTTATCATCGAAGAGGTTCAACAAGTTCAACCTTCACCTCAAGCAAAGCTTCCTAAGAAAAGAGGTAGACCCAGAAGAATACAACCACCACTACTTATTGGTCCACCTACAGATCCTCTGGCATTGGATCAAGCTATTCCCAAAGCAACTCCAAAAGAACCCAGAGAAAACGAGAGACCGAAGCGTACCTGTAGAAGTCAGAAAAGTTATGCTCCACCTAAAAGAGGACGTGGTCGAGGTTTGTATTCCTTTATTCTCCCTGTATTAGTATATACAGGGTGGTCCAATGAGTGTGGCATAATGTTGTGACTTCACTCGAGCGAGGTCACGCTTATTATTCAATACTCTTATAGTCTGATGAGAGTGGGGTTTTAGTTACATCTCCCACTACTAATTTGATTATATTATTCCGAATAATAAGAAAGCCATTGGCGTAATTTCGCTCGGCCGAAGCCACAACTCTGTTCGACACGTTAGACGAAACACCCTCTATACAACAGTATAAATATTATGTCTTCTATAAAATGTCTTTAGGTCGTGGAAAAAGAAAAATGGACAAGCTCGAAGTTCCCCTAGGAAAGAAACCAAGAATAGACGAGGATTTGACTCTGATTGAAAATTCCACCATGGGACTGATTACCCTGGACAATTCGATTCCTCAGCGTGAAATGTCAGCGACGAAAACTTCTGAACTATACAAGGCCCTGAAACAACCTCCCATGGATCGTAAAGGTATAAGTACTTTGATGAAAATTGGACACCAAAGTAGTTCCAGCGTTCAGAAGGAATTGGAATTGCAAATGGAGTCCTACAAGGATGCACTCGCTACAAGCTCAAGAGTTCAGATCCAAACAGGACCCATGATAATAACACAACAATTATTAGACAGAAAGGATGAAAATATTCCGATGCAATTAATGCCGGGGATTATGGGAAAATCTGAAATCTTAATTAACGACAAAAAGTCAATCCACAAGCTCGTCGAGGAGGCAAAATCCCATCCTGTGGACAGTAAGGATATACTTATAGTGCCAGAACATCAAAATTGGTTAACACCATCTGCTAAGAGGCAAACCGAAGTGGCAGCTAGAACCGAGACAATCTCATCCGTTCAAGTGATCGACGAGGAGACCAGAATGAGTGCGGAATCAAACTCAAGATCACACACTCCAGCTAGGAACATGACAGTGCCAAGTAAGAGAAAAATTGAACAAATAGGAATTTTTTACTGTCGTGATGTCAACTCTTTTCTTTCAATATATCTTTTTCTTTTGATTATACACAAGCTGTTTAATCAAGAGCTACATAAGACTGATCCAACTTCCTACCGTATAGAAAGTGATTATTATCTGACTGGTGCTTCAATCACCTTTGCATGACAAATCATAATTTTTATCCTTGCTGAACATTATTAACGTCCATGTCGGTAGAGTCGGTTCTAATCTAATAAAAATAATAGTGATCACACGCATTATCAGTGCGAAGAGATCTTAGAAATTCTAATGACAAAATATACAATCAGTCTCTGACTGTTGTTCAATCTGAATTGGAGACAGTGAATGTCAAGCTGCTAGTGAAACAGTTTTAAATCTCGCCGAGAAGCCAGACTGAGCTTAAGTATAAACGTTATTGGTGGATCTCCAAGCCGCTCATCTAAATTTAGAATCCTGTTCCTATGTCCTGAGAGCAGGGAGTTTCCAAACGTGAAAACGTATTGTGACAATGCTCTCAAAGTTCAATTGCGATATACCACGATAACGCTGTCCAATGATATCGACTCCTAATGAAGATTATTATCGTGAATGGTTTTAGTACATTTGTAACAGTGTGGTGTAAAAAGATAAAATGCGAAATTTTACAATTAGCTTTGAGACACCTGAGAGAAACGACATTTCTACAAATGGTTTGTGATCTATTTTTTATTTTATTTCGATATGTATTTCCGTGTGGATGATATTTTTGTAACGGGTCGCTGACACTGGGCCCAGTCTGGGTTTCCTCTAAGCCAAGAGAGTAGTGTTGGCGACATTAAGGTTCATTCACGATTTTCATAAGACTGAAGTAACTGCAAATTCAAAGATTGAGTCACTTTCTTAAGGTATTGAAAAGGAGGAAGAAAATATTTTATGACTCGACAGTATACATTTTTAAGACTCGAACCACTTCCGTGAAGCACGTGACTCGACTGATAATATTATAAATATTTCAGCCTCGGAAACGATAGTCAATGAGGAATCTCAAGGGAGCGTTCTCAGCACGGCGACAACCGAGTCGGAGAAGGTGAAGGTAAAGAATCGAAGAATGGAAATAAATTTTGATCCCGACGAAGGTCCCTTCACCGTCGACAAAATCGCCGAATATGAATGGCCCTTGGACCGCAAGGGTGAGACCTTTATGATCCAGGAACAGATATCCCAGTACCTTGGTGTCAAGTCATTCAAGAGAAAATATCCAGATTTGAAAAGAAGAATGGTCGACATGGAGGAAAGGAATTATCTAAGAGAAAACGCACTTGTCAGCGAAGCCATGTGCGACATGGGTGAGTAAAAGTAAAATTATTATTCTTACATAGCAAAATCCTACATAATATACCTTGGAGTATATTTTTCGAATTTCACTTCAACTTCAGGACTGACAGCTGTCTGCAGTTCAGAAGTACTGGATGTGATGTGTAGCGATTTTCCTGATCAGTACGAAGAATATCGTAAACACATGAGAGAGAAACAAGTGAAGGAACATTCAAAGAAGCAAAAGGAGTTAACAGCAGCAGCAAACGCCGAGAGGAACAGGATAGACCTGGCGGAAATGGCGGTACAGTCGGCCCTCTCTTGGAATGTGAATCTCAACAAAGCACGCAGAGAAAGTCGGAAATGCAGTCTAGATCTACAAAGCTTCACTATTCACGTACCTAAAAAACAACTGAAGGTCGAGACTGAAAGAGAAATCAGTCATTATCCTGTGGCATTGATACCCGGACAGTACACTGATTACTATCGCGAATACACGCCAGCTGAATTGAGATACTACCCATTGAACACTGTGCTATACGGACCAATGAGACCGAACGAACGTAAATTTGACAGCCAGTCGGAAGGTTCACAGAGTGACAGTGATAGTGACTCATCGTCGGATGATTCGAGGTAATGTGGTTACCTAAAACTTTAAAAGAGCTATTGAAAAACGTTATTATAATATTAATTTATAACTGTACAACTTGTAGTTCATCGTCCAGTGAAGGCACCCAGGATACAGAGGAATCTCAGTCGACGATGGACGAGGTGGACATGGAAATAGCAGCGCAAAAGGATGAGAACAAAAGTGCAAAGTGTAAAATGTGCCTGAAGAGTTTGAACAAGCAAAACAAATACGAAGTACTGATACAATGCGGCACGTGCAATGGAAATGGTATCCAGTGTTCAGACATTTCTACAAAATTCTTCAGCTACATTCCTCTTAATTATGTCTATTTATTAATTTACAGTTCATCCCTCGTGCATAGATCTGACACTAGACATGGTGCCTCACATTCGAGCTTACTCCTGGCAATGTACAGATTGTAAAACATGTGTACAATGTCATGATCCTGCAGATGAGGATAAGATGCTCTTCTGTGACATGTGCGACCGGGGGTAATTAATTCATCTCGTTAAAAATCAATTCCAGCATCTACTAGTAGCAGACTGGCTTCTATTGTACTATTAAAAATATTGTTTTTGTACGCAGCTACCATATTTACTGCGTTGGTCTGAGACGTGTACCGCAAGGAAGATGGCACTGTCAGGAATGTGCAGTCTGTGCAAGTTGTGGCTCCAGAGAAGCCGGTGGTGCGAATTCGGATAGAAACAGCGTAGCTTTGTGGCAGCACGAGTATAAGAAGGGCGAGAGAAACACTCGTGTTTACGTATCGACCTTCTGCGTACCTTGTTCGAAGTAAGTCGAATCAAAGGATAAGACATAAAGAAGAGTTATTAGGATATGTAAAATATATGCCGAAAGTCGCGCCCCGGAAGTTTTATAACTGAAGGGCTTCAATTGCAACTATTAACACGCCTCTTACACTCAATACACCTCTTACTCACGCAATACCTCAATCTATAGCGGGGCTTTTGTTTTCGCTTTACAACATTTCTTAGGCACAGAAATCAGAAACGCCATTGCGATACACCATGGTTTTCCTTATGACGTTACCAACTACGCAAGGCTGTTCTGTGAGACTATTTTTTTTTCTTCAAACATCTTTAACCCATAGATTTTCTCTCTTCTAACGAAATCTGCTCGTTCATACGTCATTTCCATTGACATACATTCAATAACAATCGTATGTTTTCTTGATGTGTCAGTTAGTCTTGTGGAACTTTAACTTTTCCTTATTTCAATGACCAATATTCATGACTATCCAGATCCGAGTATCGGTCTCTTTTGACAGCTGTCATCAGTTTGGATCGTTATACGATTTATTATCAGTATGGTAACTGGCAAGTTAGATTAGAGTATTAGCTGGATAGTCAAAGGATATAACTACATTAGGACGGTGTTTACTCTTTTGTTTTTAACTAACCCCATGAACGTTTATTGCGTTAACAAGGCTATGGCGAAAGGGTCGCTATTGCCCACACTGCAGTCGATGTCACACTGCCCCACGGCTCGACCTGGAAGCGAACCTAGTGCATTGCAGCGCATGTGACAAATATCTGCACTTAGGTATTGACACAGACTTCATTACGCTCTGTCCTGTAGTTTTGATTATTCTGTGCGTAGCAAATGATCCATGCATGCTTTGTAGATTGTAGAAATAATCTTCCATTAATCAATCAATCAATCTTCACAAACACTCTGTACAATCGAATACGTGGGATTAGCATTACTTATATTGAAAGTACTCTGCAAACTACCAATCGTCGGAGGAGAAATTACAAATTTTACCTTGAAATTTATTTTTTATATTTTTCATCTGTCTTGTACGTTGCCTTGAAGAAATATTCAACTTCTACGTATCCGACCGTACCTTGTATTCTTGCATATTTTTTCTTCTTCTAATTAGTAAGTCACATGTAGTGTTCTGGATATGCAAGTTACTTGTATCGTTATTTGACCAGAGCGAGGAGGCGCCGAACTTTTACGATGACTCTTATGTTTAATAGGCTGCGTGGAGAACAAGGGATTGGCAATCGACAAGAAAAATTATCAGTGTGAATTTTGCATAGCGACCCGACAGCAAGATGCAAAGTCTATGGCGTCCAAGACATTTAAAACGTAAATTCCAATTTTCATTGCGCGGACTAGAAGACACTTAGCGCGTCCGTGCATTGAAAGCTGTTAGTATGTAAATCGTTGATATTTATGTAGATAATGCAAGGAGAATATTATTTTCCTTTATATATATATATATATGTATATCGTTATTCGACAAGCGGTAAATCCGCACGTATTTTGAATCATTTCTCGTCTGATACTTCAGGATATTTTTGAAGTGTCAGAAGAACATTTAATGATCTTTGAAAATTTTTTTTATTCTCATTGATATCTGTTTACGATGACGCGGTAGATCAGGATTTCAAATATATCATTCTTCATCTCAACAGCCGGATTTGTTATTTTTAAATGGAATCTACAAAGATCGCACGCCAATTGTCAGACTTTTCTCTCTTTTTTTTTTCTTTTTCATAAATCATGCTTTCACCTAGCTTGCATGACATCTCTTTTTAATTTACTAACTAAAACATATTATTTCTATGTACCAGTCTAGTGGAAGCATATGTGAAAGAAAGAACAAAATGCAGTCCTTCATTTTACAATTTGTTCCGTACTCTCTTAAAACTACGTAATAGCAGAATAGACTCAATGGATTTGCGTCTCTTCTATTTTTTTTTTTTTTTTTTTATTAATAATATCATTATCATTATCCATAACGTTAGAATATAATTGTATAAATCTACCAAGGTAACAGGCGACAAGAGCAAAAAAGGAGGAACAATCACAAAAATACAAACGAAGATGGGTGATTTCTTAAAAATATATACCATTTTATTTATTCTTCCTCTGCAATAATTCTTGGATCCAGTGAGTGTTATTTTTTTCTTTGTTTTGTCGCGAGCATACTTGGATGTGTTTTTGTATATTCTTGCCTTAGCTTTGTTTTTGTAATTTTTTCTTTGTTTTTACATATTTATAATAGCATAGTGACCACTCCGTATGCTTCTTCGGCTCCCACGTGTTTCTTATACTCGCCTTAAAATATCCTCTCCTATATACCTTTTCACGATAGCAGTTATCATTTGGCTGCACGAACAGAGTTATAATTTTTTTAGACACCTATGCGAACTCACGTGCAATTATAATGCATTTGATAGAGAATGCAATGAAAACGCGAGATTTGCGGACAACAAGGATTCCTTGAAGCTGGAGGCTGTAACTCGTTGGTCCAGAACTCGATGTTCAAAGAAAAAGAAAAAGTACAATCGTAAGTCACCTAGGAAGTCTCAGGTGTTTTTTTTATAATTCATATTCTTAGGCGATTCGACATGTTCACGTAACAAGACAACCTTGAAATTCTAATAGCAGAATGCGCTTTACGTTTTCTCCCATTCTTTTCGATTTTTCATTTTTCATTCCGTCTCGATTATAGAACTTTGGGAGTTTTTGAGCGCTGGATAAGAATAAGATGTTTGCTGCGCACTCCTAGATTCTCTTTTTTTATTATTATTTCTATATACTTAATCTTTTTTCCTTTCCTTTCGTTTCTAAATCGTTTTCATTTCCTTAATTTTTCATTCCCTTGGGAAAAAAAAATGACATTTCTTTTTTTTAATCTTTTGTATAACACTCCGCGCGTAACGTGGCACTTAGTAAATTAAAAAATATCTTGAGCAGAAACGAGGCATTAACAGTACAGTGTTATAAGATACAAGATTTGCACATTAACGGATCGCGTTATCTAGAGCATTTACACTAACGGGTGTGTCAATTCAGAATTGCACGCACACCCGTTGACTAGCCGAAAATGTAAGATTCCTAATTACATCGCAAATCAATATCAAGTGTATATGACCGAACGGGACGGACGGCCAACGCTGCTGAACTGCTGAAGAGTGTTAATGATCAAATAATCTTAAGAGAAAGATATCACCTTAAATTGATATAGTTTGATGTCATTCGATCAAACTGATTACATATGGCTTGTGAAGAAACAAAAGGATATCCTTACTAGTATGTATCTGGATGAGGATGTGCATGAGTTAAAAAATTCTACATAATATGTTCCATTATCTTGTAATTTCAGTTGCATTCTGATAAGATTTCTTTTTATCAATTAAGATAATGGTATATTCTCTAATCATGTAATTTGAGTATTATTGGCCCTCCGTACCATCCAGTAGACACGCGGCTTTTGTTTTTCATACGTAATTGACAACGTTCGCAATCTCTGTCCTGGCGTACTACTCGTGCCTGATGCCGCACACCGAGAGGAAGGTGCTGAAGTTGTGAAGATGCGTCGTGGGTACGATGGTCGTGACTAAATTTCGCGCGGAGAAGCTAGACATTACGCTGTGGATGAAGTTAGGGCCTGGCGAGCTGCCAACTTTGTAAAAAATTCGTAAATTGCAAGTTGGATTCGTGTGTTGGGAGCCTTTCGTCAATTTGCAGAGTAGATACTCGAAGGCCTCTGTTAGCTCGGCTGACGTAAGCTCTTCGGAATTCAGGCTTGTTTCCATAGCGAGGTTTCCAGTTGAATTTGAGGAACCTGAATAAAATTCGAGACACACAGAAGGGTGACACTGAGTACTGACGACGGTTACCAGCCTTCTATAAATAATTCATTTAAGTAATTACTCACCAGTTGACAGGTAACACACAATGGCGGATACGTTATTCTCGTAGTTCCATCTTCGTCTTATAGCGACTTTGAAATTTCCAACGCACCTCCCAGTCTCCTCGTCTGCGGAGTACCAAGGTAAAAGATAGAAAATATTCGAACCAAGAGTTAGAATTTGCCAAAAATACTCATACGATACTTGGACACTTCCTCGTCTACGTACATTCGAATCTATTGTTATCCCTGTGAGCCCAAACGCACCACTCGACCTGAGCTCCACGTGGCAAATTGGGAACCACCACGTAATCCACGATCGCATTATTCGTGCGCTTCTCCCATTCCTTACGTGCTTCTGGTATGTAACTTGGATGAGTCAGGAAGCAGATGCCTTGTACGATATCCCTGAGCTGTGTATTCGAGTCCATCGCCTTCACGATTCGATTAATGTGCCTTAAGGTTAAACGGCATTGCCTTTTGATATTTAAATCCAAGATGGTCATACTACCAGGTACAAGAGGTATCTGTCCCGCCACAGCAATTATGTCCCCCACCTGTAACGAGAATCTCAAAATCATTCGGTAACCACATATCCGTAATATTTATTTTTTTCCCAAAATCGATTAGACTTACACGAACTGCCTGAGAGTAAGGACCGATATTCGCGGGTGCCCAGTGACTTATACTTTGCACGTGCATCGTGTGTCTCTTATGAACTTTCTTATCAGTCATATCACTCTTTTCCTTGTACGCTAAAGCGTCAAGGATGACGTGCACGTTTAAAGGACATTCGATGCAGACACGCACTGGAGGATTTACTTTACCCAGCCTAGATACGTAAGCCTCGTTTATCGGCAAGTAGTTGGACATGTCTTTTATGTACAGTGTCACTCCTACGATATCAGTCATCTCGATTCTTTCCTTTCTGACTAGATCTAAGAACAGGATTATAAGGCACTTTAGGTAAACTGACATCCACCCACAGAATATCTTCTATCTAGTACACAATTTCATATCCATTCGTGACAAGTATTGGATCCTTTCAAATTTTACCTACTGCTTAATTTTTCCAAGGCCTCGTCCATAGCAACTTTTGGATCACTATCCTTTCCAACTATACCTCCAAACCAGTACCAGCCAGTTTCGTTTCTATTTGATGCTGGCACGTCAGGATAATCCTCCTCCTCGTACAATACTTCCATTGGACTTGGTGGATTGAACTGACCTAATGTACAATGTACAGGGGGCAATTGAGTCGTTCGATTGCGCATTAAAAATTGGTCTACGTGTATAGAATTATAAAAAATGAAATACCGGAATTCGATGTCTTTAAACTCTTATTGTCGCATTCGTGCTCCTCGTTTTCATCGTCCGACAAGTTGCAGCCGTCCTGCAACTCCGGGCCTACGATTTCCGCAATGTAATCGTACGGTGCTTTTATCGAGACTGTCTGTAATCTTTCTTGGAGTGTTAATCTCGCTATTCCACTCTGCAACAAGCAACTCTTTGTATTGGCCCATGAAATTCTATCTCTTGATTACAAACATTACTCAACGTGAATCGACGTTAGCTTATTGAAACTCACGTTTTTATTTTGCAAGTGTATTTTCTTGAAGTTCAGATATCCCACTGGTGCTATCTCATCGTTAGAATGTACAACACTCTCGTACTCGTCACTACAAGTGAAAAAAGAGATAACGTATTTTTTTATATCTCTTAGTCAACTCTATAATCTTTTATTTTATATGTGCATATACATATATATATATATTTATGTATGTATAGTATACAAAGTTCATTGTAACTGTGCACCTTAAGTCAAACTTACATTACAATGCTTTTAATGAACAACGGGCAGTCTAAAGTAAAAGTTTCATACTCTCCGCCTTCTCCGCATACGTTCACGCCATACTTTTCTTTCTGTAGGTAAAACGAACGTCCTGCCGTTAGACGCTTGAATAGGCTCAGAATTGTTAGAGCCTTATATAGAGTGGTGCGTTACAATAATCGCGACTGTATACAGGGATTAAGCAAACGACTTGTTAATCCAAAAATAGCCTTAACAATTGTGCAATTTATTTATTTTTTTTTCTTAATTTTCCTCAATTTTTCTTTTCATTTCTTCTAACGAGATTAAGCCAAAAGTGCATATCTCAAAATAACTGCGTAAAATATTACTAATGCAGCAAGTTACGGCTACGAAACGATTGGAAGTCATCCAATTGAGATTGAGGATTACGTTCGTTGCTATTAGAATTTTCTGATTCGCGACTAAGTGTATCGGTCATTTGGACGTTTACTTACCATTTTGGCGAGGTGCGATTGCATTTCGGAGATGGACTTTCCCAAGTGTCTAGGCTCTAATCCCAAGGCAGCGACTTTTATCAGGACGGCATTCACTGAACACTCAATCATCTCCTTCAAAAGTTCTTCCTGATCTCGTCGCCATAGATAGGACAATGATACGAGGCCCAATCGACTACACCTGGAAAAGGTCTTTAACGATTAGACTTCTGTCTTGTTATTTTTCTTACTTTTTGAGAATTGTTTTTTTTTCAAAATATTGTTTCCAAACAATTGTAATTACACATTTTCCACGCGAATTCGTTGATAGTCGCTGAGTATAGCACCTGAAGAAACTGCTTCTATATTTTCTCGATCCTAGAAATATTGATTGGTGTCAATATATTTTAACAATTAGATATGCTCGAGATGATTTACCTTAACTTTAGCTAATAATCTGTACAGGTCTTCGACTTCGTCACTTTCTGTAGGACAATAATGTTTTTCTTGCATTTTGGATCTACCAAATGTTGGCTCTCTATATAGCGGCAGGCCCATTGCCTCTCCCAGATACTCCACACCCTGATGGCCAACAGTTTGAAACATGAATGAGTCCAGCTCATCTAAAAATATTAAATGACAGTGCCATGATACTTATGTCTTCTGTGTAAAGTAGTAATATGTTAATTTCTTCTCAATTTTACCCTTTCCAACAGGATACAAGTTAGCCAAGGCCACAAGGTTGTGACCAGCAGCTATACACTGCATCAAGTTGAAGCATGAGTCCTTGCCACCACTGACCAATCCTACAACCTTCATTCTAAGGATACTTTTGGATATTTTAAAGAATTATTCTGTAAAGAACCCACAAGGTGGTTTATCCAAGCTTAACCCCACTGCTTTCACAGGATCATCTATCAGAGCAAGAATGAAAAAAAAAACACTGTTTCGTCAATTATAACATAGCATCTTTGAATTAGTTATATGGAGGATTATTGCTTGAAAGCTGGTACGAATCAATCAAGCAAATAACACAGATTAAGTCAAGATAATCCTATGACAATTCCCTTCAGGGTGTGTTAAAACAGATGACAGACGTCTAACAATAAGACTATTAAAAAGATTATACATCAGATTAGGAGAAATTAATAAAAAAGAATAAAAGGAAATAATTGTCTCTATTCTTATCTATATTGAAAATGAAATCTAATAAAGTAGTAATTGCACAATTTACAAGACCATAATTCTATGACTGATAACAGACTCATCAAAATTCCATAGCAATCTAATAAATGCTATGAAAATATGAATACAAACGTTAAATGGAAAATATATTTTTTTAAATCTCATCAATATGCATCAATTTACAATGAAATTATGAGTCACTGTACTATGATAAAATATAGAAAAATAGTAATAAATCCGTTAATACGTAGGGATAAATGGAGAAAATACACAAGCTGATTCGGATAAACAAATACGTCTACGAATAAAATGTAATATTAGACTAGGACGATTAAAATGGATCAATCTGCCAGGAAGAGAATCAAAAATATCGGAACATAAAAAATCACTCTTAAACAATATGGAATAAGTGTAACTGCCATCTCTTCCAGAGTACAAAATTTTGGAGTTTTAACGGGAATTATCGTAAAAAAAATTCTATAATCGGGAAAAAAAATACCTGTAGCAGGGAGGTTTGTTGGTTACTACCGAAGAAAAGAATGTGCGAAATTTACGAATTGTCGCAATGGAGCGGTTAGATATTATATTAAAATGATCGCTTCTGACTCTTCACGCACTAAAATTAATACCAAAATGTCAATGAATGCAATATTTACATTAAAATTGACGAGGAAAGCCTCTGCCACGACAAAGTTCATCAGCGACTGTGACCACTCGACTCTAGCTCCTCTTGGTGGTCGAGTACGGAAATACGATAATTGAGGTTATCTTGAATTTTTAAGAAAAAGATACATTTAAACGACATACGTATACTGTTCATTAAGATTTAATTACATTTCATCCATTAAAATTAAGAGCTTTGCATTTTAGGAAACTATAAGGACAATATCAATCAATGAAAATTTGGCATTAATTGACTCTCAGGTAATTCTCGTGCGACCGTAGCTCTGACGTCATCCATGTATCTGGTGTACGAGTAATACATCTATATCTTTTCTGATTCCACTTTTCTAAAATACATATTTGCAAAATTTATTTACATTTAACTTCTACAAGTTATCATTACAATAAAATATCTACTGTGTACGAATGATTCTTCTAAAGACGACAAAAGTCAATTGCCATTTTATTGTTCTAAAGTGGTTACAAGCGACACCTTTTGAAATGACTTTCAGTGTTGGCATCTTTTTTAAAAACTCGATAAAAAGTCCAAATGGCTGAATTAGGGAGCAACCTTCTTTAATCCAAGTTTTATTCTCCCACCATAAAGTTATGTTTTAGAAATCAATAAAAAATTTATATACAATGCACACAGGGATGAAAGAAATATGTATAACTGTACAATTTGTTAAACACTATATATTCATACATAATACGTATAGCCTCTGTACATACCTATCGCTAGAGTATTATGTTTCCTACTATTAGGTAAATAATTAATTTATCGATTACATTTTTTATTAAAAAATAATAGAGTTGTTAAGTTTCCCGTCGACATTATTGACCGTTTAGTTTTATATTTCATATCTAGTTTCTACGGGGTGTTAATGTAATACGTATCGTGCACTAAATTCTGAAATTATTTTTATCAATGGGACCCTGTAAATTTGAAACTTATAAAGGGGCCCTACTGAATCGTATCTGCGCCCCTGGGACAGTCGGATTATCAGTTTTTCAAAGAGCAATGACGCGTGGAATTGATAAGAAATATAAAAAATGTACAAGCTATCGTAAGGAAATATAAGTGAAAATTGTAATACGTATCTTAGGAGACTGTTAATTCTGATGAATAGAGGAAAGTGGAAATGAGGATTTTTATTTAATCAATCGTTGACCAATCACAATCAGTGTCCTGAGTAGCCATCTTTACTTTCGCTACGGTCGCACGAAGCGCATCACAGAAGGTCTTCGGAAGCACCTCGTATGCTGATCGAGCTGCGGCTTGGATCGCAAGTTTCGAACGTGTTCAAGTCGCGTAGATCGTTATTGTAGGTTTTTTTATATAAAAAAGGGAGTGAAGTACAACGTGGAAGATGGTTCTGGCAGAGAGGAATGCAGAAAATGTGAGAAATGGACGAAGATCAAGAGGCCCCAGCCCCAATGGACAGACGGAGTCCTCCAGCGAGGAAGACGGAGGTACGGGTTTATGTGTAACCATTCACTGGACTTCCCCAATGCTCCAAATTCTTCAGATTCCTTTATTTTGTACGACTATATTGTTCTTGACTACCGGAGAACCTTTGGAAATGCTCTATCGGGTCGTATTGATTGACCGTAAAAATACGAAAGGATCTTCAAACAGCGCGCCCCTGTTTTCCTACCTTCGGGTTTTACTATTCTCAACAATTCATTCACCTGCTATATTTTTTAAAACGAAATTTACTGTTTTTCTTATATTTGTTGGAGTGCATTGATTGTTGTCAGAATTTTGACGTTGTGACTTGATATTTTCTTCAAGCTTCACTATATATTTGTATCCAGACATGTATTTTTGGTATATTTTTTAATATTATTTTTAAAACCAAGAACTTAATATTTCAATATGTCATTTATGAGATAGATATTATAGAACATTTAAACAATATTTATTTTCTGAAGCATCATCAAATGTACTTCAGCGAGTTTGAACATTCAGGTAGAAGTTTGTACTTTAAAATTTTTAAAAACATTTATCATCGATACTGAAGTTATAATATAGTATGATTAAAGTTCCAGCTGAAAAAATTCGTGTTGGTCGTGATTATCAAGTCATTGTTCCAGAATTTGTTCCAGTTAATGGTAAGTAGTGTGTCTTACGAATTTCCATTTCATGTGTTACTCGTATTAAGTGAAAACTCATGTTATTAATTTGTTTAACTTGTAGAACGACGCTTGGATCAATGCCCTGACCGGGCTTTACTCGTCTGGTCTCCAACAACAGATATTCCTGATCAAAAATGTAAATACCTGTTTTCGTTAATTTTGAAATTAATTAACTTATATTTATCATTCAATGATTCTTTCAGTGGATGAGTATATTATATTAGCAAAAGAAAAATATGGTTACAATGGCGAACAGGCACTGGGGATGCTTTTCTGGCACAAACACAATTTGGAACGTGCTGTTCTGGACCTGGCGAATTTCACACCATTTCCTGATGAATGGACGGTTGAAGATAAAGTTTTATTCGAACAAGCCTTTCAATTTCATGGAAAAAGTTTTCATCGGATTCGTCAAATGGTAGACCCACTTTTCAACTTATCTTTTATATAACAAAACCATGCACTATCTATAAATGATTCTGACCTTGCTGTTTCCAGCTTCCAGACAAATCCATAGCTAGTTTAGTTAAATATTACTACAGTTGGAAAAAAACACGAACCAGAACGTCATTAATGGACAGACAAGCCCGAAAACTAACAAGCGGCGGTAAGGAAGGAGAGAATGGAAGTGAAAATGGAAGCGAATTGGGTTCCAACACTGATAGCGAGTCCGAGGAAAAAGTAAGATGCCTGTCCATTCATTCTTTTCTAAACTTGACTAACTAATGTCATTGCATGTCTAAAATATATGCCTAACATCTATTTTTTTCTCGTATAACAAATACGACAAAAGCACAACCGTTAAACATTTTCGTTTCATTCATTGAGTCACGTTTATTTAAACTTTTGAACCTTTCATTTTTATCAGTCTTCTCTCTTGGTGAGAGTATATCAGCCTAGATATAACATGCAGAGAAAGTAAATAGGGAAAATTGAAAAATGCGTTCCATCATGAACACCTCATTGCTTTCTTTGTATATCAACCAGTTCTAAGATTACTCGAGGGGTAAAAAAATAAAAGCCAGAACTAAATATGAAAAATTAGAATAGAACACTGAATGCCAATACGTCCTTCGAATAATTTTTTTACCAATAATCTAGGCTGATTGGGAACATAAAAGTTACTGTTGTCTTACTTTAATATCAATTGCAACAAAACTTGCTTCGAGTCTCTTCTAAGAATGAACAAAAATGTATCCACACGGGAACATACTGTGAATGACAAAAAAAATTAGATTCCGCCATGTATACGATGAAGAGAAGAATCTAAGAAGATAGTGCAAACTAACGCGACGAACGACGGCTCTTATGAAAATATTGAAAAACTACACAAGCATGTTCAGTGACAAAGAACTAAGCTTCTACTGAAATGCAACGTGTCTCCGATATTCAGACGGAATTCTTGAGTATCTGTATATCAGCATAAATAGCCGCACGTATCTAGTAAAGGTGTATCGTGCCATGAGGATCGAGATACATGCTTGACGACGCGTATCAAATAACTATCTGAACGTTAGGTTGTCCTCGTGTATATGAACGTAAATGTGGAACGTTCCAGAAATGGACGATCCACCGCGGAATACGCCGTGGAAAGAACCAAGCAGTGCCAGGAAGCCAAGGCGCAGACGCTAAGGCCTCGTCCGACTCGGAAAACGTCCCTCAGGTTCAGGTACTCCACCTAAACCTTACCCCACTTGCATAGTCTAGCCTGCTTACCACATTTTTGCTATGATTTTCTCAACTTCACACTGTGCCCAAACACTTACATTCATCTTATTAAATTCCTTGGAATTTTTTCTCTGTTCACAAAGATTAACAAAGTAGGAAAACATCTTTCGCTCAGTGTACCATAAGACTTGGAGTAACGTACCTACCAACATAGAGAACTTGCAATCATCTACATCGAGTAACTTGACAGCCTCTCTTAGGAAAACATTAATTGCTTTACGAGAATCTTTGCAGTACTTATTTTTTTAATAATTTTTCTTTAATTTTCTTTCTTTATTCTTGAACTAATAAATCAAGAACGCCCTTTAGGCTCTTATGTTTTTATTTCCACCTGAAAAGCACTACTAGCACCCGAAGTACTATTAGGAGATGCAAAACCATTTGCAAATTCTATATGTCTCTTTGTAGCAGAATCACTGCATAATTTAGTCCTGCTTGCCGGATTGGCCTTGCAATTCTCTTGTACATACATTGTCTATAAGACAAGCCAAAAGCACGAAAAAGTCTGATACACTGAAAAATTGGGCGTAAAGAATTCTCGTACGAAAATGGCAGATTCCTCATTTTTCTTTCTCTAGAGCAGTGGCTCCAATTGCAATTAAAGTATTATGCTACGTTTTCTTTTTTTTACATAGAGAAGGGCGGGTGGGGAGCTTGATAAAAAATTTTATTCTAAAAGGGTATTATGTGTTGTAGGGTTCATGTAGCAACTGCGGCGTTGCTTGTCATAGTGTTCGTGCGACGCCCAAGGGACACGCGTGTCATAGCTGCTATCTGCACTGGAGGTCAGTGAATCCAAATAAAAGTAAATATTTCAAGAGGACGATTAACAGAGACAGAGAATCATAAAAAATCCAATGATCCTTCTACTACTTGAAAATGCAATACTGGGCGTTAAGCACTTTTCAAATTTCAATAGAATCTTTATAAAAACTGATTTGCCGTCGAGCCTTCAGCGGTTTCTATTGAATTATATTTGTTTAATCCTCACGTTACTTTCTCTATTATCCAGATGCCATTTCTGTATGAACGTCCGTCCAGATTCATGAATTTCACACGCCATAGTTTATTCAAGAGAAACCGCCATTGCACTCGATACACATAATCTATATTTAGAATGACACCCAGGTGTTATTGAATTTTTTAAATGACAGTTTATTAAAGTAATTGGGTTAATATCTTTTTATTTGAGAGCATCTATGATACGGCGATCGACTGATTGGTCGCAGCGGGAATGATAACGTCAGCAGTAGAGCATATATATCTTGATGGTTTAGGCGCACTGGTGTTGCGAGGCCACTGAGTTCCATGCCGGGTCGTTCGAACAAAAGAAAACCTCCCCGTGGACTGGTTGTAAATCACGATGACTTGGCGGCATTGGCTGGCCAGCCGAACCAAGCGAGCAACAGCCTACAAGCTATTGACACCGAAATCGTTAGCCTCAAGCGACAAGTACGTTTATCACTTAAATGGAAAGTCCCACCAGAATGACCATCAAAGAAAATCGTGTGGATACATTTTTCATAAACTTCGTATACTCTCATTTGCTTCCTCAAACACTTATTACGTCATGTAATTCCTACTTGGTATAACCGGATGAACGCCTAATCGCTACTTTCTTCCGCTTTGGTCAAACGTTACAACACATTTTTCTTTTATTTCTCTCTCAAGAGTTTTCATTTTGCTTCTTCTTTCTCTTACTTTATTTCTCATTTGTATTTGGTTGTGTCGTTGTCAAGCGTTTCAGTGTCATTTCGTTATATGCGATGAGTCTTATTTTTTTTTTTTTTTCACGTTAGATCCAATCGAACAAACAGCAAGTGAGTGCATTGAAACGTAAAACTGTCGATGGGATTGATGATCTACGACCACCTGAGGTATCCAGTCGTATAAATGCACGATGGACCAACGACGAGTTACTCTTAGCTGTACAAGGTGTCCGAAAATATGGCAAAGACTTCTCCGCAATTGCTGATGTCATTGGTACAAAGACAGAGGCCCACCTACGATCGTTCTTTGTGAACTATCGACGAAGATATAATTTGGATGCTGTGCTGAAAGAGTACGAAGCTGAGAATGGACCTATTCTTATTGACGATGAGAAGGAGGAAAAGGTACATTTTTTAAATGTTTAATTGCTTATCTCTGTCGTTCGAGCAAAGAGCTTAAATGATCCATTTGCTGTTTTTTTTTGCAGATGGAAGTTGATCAGACCTCAAGCAACGAGACAGCGGAAACATCACAGAAAGCGAAAGCTTCCGTTGGCCCCGGTCAGACGGCTAAATAACAAACAAACAGCTTAATAAGTACCAGTAAACGGGAAAAATTAACTTAAAACTATGAATAATGAAATTATTAGGCGAGAAGAAGCGTTCGTGTCCTGAAATTTGTGAGGATCGTAAGGATTGTCGGACTCGACGCTTCGTCAAGAGGTTTGTGAAATATTCGAATTTAATAATCGTGATTCTCAGACAGTAGCGCTGCCAGAGAACGGATGAAAGTGTACGCTGAAAGTTTTTTCAAACGGTGTTGATTTATTTTTAATTCTAAATATTGCTGACGATCACTAGGTAGTCGAGGTACGATATTTAATATAGGACGCTCAGGGATTCCTCATGTTCTACAGCTTCTAGCCATGCACACCTTGTTCTAACGCAATTAAGACAAATAAATTGTGCCCTAAATCAGAAAAAGTCAGTGATTGTTTAAAAATTACAGAAAATAACGCCTCATTTATGGATTGCTAGTATTTTCAGGGACTTTAAAGACTTATCGCGAGCAATAAGTTGCCCACTGAAGGACAATGAACAATTTCACACGGCTGGTCCGATCTTTGTGACTCACAAATACGCGCACGGGTCTCTAGTGAATCTACCTTACATTGACTTTCCTAAAGAGACAACCTCAAGCGTCAATTCGTAAAGATCCCACTTGATGTACAGTTCGCACAGTAACACAAAACTCATTTCACGGACATACATTTTTGTGAGTTTTAAATGTTGAGGCTAACGAGGAAAGAACAAAAAAAGAAGCACATATCGTGACTGCACCAAAGAGACACGCGAACAATTTATGATAAACATTTGATTATTGACTAATGACAATGAGCCCCACTGGATATCAGTGTAAACTAGTGTATATTCTTGACCAGGGCAGTTAACAGGCTTCAGGGGCCCTGCAAATTTAAAAAAAAATTATTCACACTTTTTCTGCTTTAAATTTTTTTTCTCACTCTTATATTTATAAGTGACACTTTGCACGCTACTCCGACCCACTTCACAGACTTCTATTAAAACGAAAAATCATTTATATATATATATATATTATAAATGTAATAATAGGGCTAACAATGATTATCTAATTAAGTACCCACGTACCTAGCCGACACAACTTAATAACCCGTTAATGGGAATAAAGCAGTAATATATGTATATAGAAATAATTGATCAAATAAAATATTTCTAGTTTTGCGTGAAATAGCGAGAGAGCCAGCAAATAATCATGTAGCAACCGCGCGATTCATTTGAAAGAAGAAAAATAAGGTGAACATCCATTACTATCATTCGAATGTTTTTACATGATATATACACAAACTTTTAAATAATTTCCTTATCGATCTCGGCTGCTCGTGTCATGAGCTATTATTTTTCTAATTTATTTGAAACTTACAACAATGATTTCTTGTCTTGTGCTACTTTATATTCGATTCGTATATTACTGGATGTGTGTTCGTTTAAATATGTACATAAACTTATTTATACATTTAAAAGTCCCCCCCCCATCCCTTGCCCCATTCTGCCCCCTCGGTAAACGTACCTACAAATTATTCAGCACAATAGCTAATAGAAGCACGATATTAGTATACCGCAATTTCCACTTTATAGAGTCAGGATTTCATGTATTTCTATGTTATATTTAATTTTCTTTATTGCGATTTTATAATACGATGATATATCTATGCACAGCTTTGAATTTTTGTTCCAGTTTAATATTTGATCACAGAGTTACGACACTTGCATGAGTCGTGACAATTGTTTCCTAGCAGGTACTAATGTTGCTGGTCCTTTTTATATATTAAAAAGCAGACATAGAGCACCGAAAGGCCGAATTGGATCATTAAGATAGAAAAATATATATATATATTTAAAAGAATGAAAGGCAAAAATGTAAAAACTTTCAGCCTATACTCGTTCGTTGCAATGTCAAAATTATTACTTGAAAGAGAATATAGAATTGAATAATAGGAAATAAGCGAATCGATAAGGGTGTGGAAAGGGGAAGCGATCGAAAATTGAATAGACGAAACTAGGTGGTTAAAATTTATTGACTAATATACAATTACATAGGAAATATAATACTAATAATGAAAAAAAAAAGAATATGCTAGAGTATGGATTGTCTCTTAGAGCATGCATTCAGGGAGTCAAGATGTCGCACTTATACGTTTGTCACTTATTCCTCTTTGGAGTCTATGATTTTTCGAATAATTTGTAAGAATCATGAGTGAACGCGTTCTGCTCTGTCGTAGGAGAATTCTTGTAAATATACAAAGTTACGAACTGCTATTGATGGGAGACAAAGACACAATTGTACAAAAATGCTTGTACATGTTTAGTCGAGGGATCCTTAAGAATTGAGGGAGAATCGTGTCTGCCCCTTATTTAAGTATATGTATTCATAAATTGAAAATGATACACATAATCTGTTTCGAGTAATCAATTATTTTTGCTCAATTTTTGCATAATAATAATAATAATGATACTAATGCGAAGATCCTCTCTGTAAGTGACGAGAGAGCATGCAGACCGCATATCTAATAACAAAGATATTCGTAATGGAACAGAAAATGTTAGAGCTCCTTCTGTTTATTTTTTGTCCCTGATGACAGAAATCGGCAATGTTTTCTTTTAATTATAAAATTTTTCGACATACGTTAGTTTAGAAAAGAAAATTGTTCTATTAGGGAAAAACGTCTTTAGTATGTTAATTAGCGTAAATCCTGTATTACCTAGATCATAATTTGCCCACCATTTTTTTCCTTCTTATTTGGAGATTTAAGCTGAATGTGCAAATTACGTCATTGTATAAAAAAAGCATTTTATTTATAATAAATCATAAGGAAAAACTTAATCAACGGTCTCGTATCAGGTGTTCCAGTGTTATCCTACTCACGACATTTTTCTTTGCCATTAGGTAATCCATGTACTTCGTGTTCAATGCTTTTTGTAAGTCCGTTAAATCTAATCCTGCTTCTTTCTGTAATTCATACTGGGAACTCAATATTTTTGTAAAATCTAGTGATTTTGAATCGTTATCTATCGTATACCTCATACAATAGAAAAGTGTATTGAGAAGTTTTGTTTCTTCTCTCTGAGATGCATCATTCTCGTGATCGAATGGACTTTCCAGATGAGAAATTGTTTCAGAACATTTAACAGTATCTGTACAAATTTGAATAAAATTATAAATGTCGCTCCTAGAAAAATTTGCAAAGTTTGCTCTGTTCGATATTATTTCAGTTAGTATTTCGTGATACAATACTTCAGCAATGCGATGGGAACGTTTTTCGGTGGAAAAATTGTTATTGAGAATTTCTAAATTGTTTATAGTAGCTACTTTTATCTCAGAAACTTCGTCTTTTAGTAATAGCAAACAAGACGTTAGAATTTTCAATTTATCGTGGTTTTGTAAGGTTGCAAAATCACGCATCAAAAACTCAATATACTCTGTTGCTAATTGTCGAATTTTTTCATCCGCGTCGGAAGAAGCGTTAAAAATAAACGATATAATTTCATTCATGGCATCGTCTTCTCTACTGAAAATTATTGTCAGCACACGACGCAGTTGTTCCAACTTTGAATTTGTATGTTTGCCTTTCAGTTTTAAAATCAGCAATCGTATTTTTTCATTTTCTTTTAACTTCGTAATTGCTGAGCTGGACAGGTGCCTCAAGGATTGAATGAAAAAATTAATCATTGTGTCGGAAAGTCCAGTTGCAGATGTCTCAGTTGCTTTTAGCATGTAATCGAGTATCGTTTCTATGATAGGAGTATGAAATTGTAAATGATTCAAAAAACTAATGCTCTGATCAAGACAATGTGAATGGAGAATTCTGTTGATTACTTCTACTTGAATATCACCAGTGCGGTTGACGTAATTCGTGTAATACTGCATTGTCAGTTGAACGAACGCAAAAAAACCAGGTCTTGTCCTTTCTGCAGATAGAATAGACACTTTATTATCTTTAGTGTCATCAAATAGTATAAGATCATTTAAAGATAATTCCGAAACATCTGACAATTCCAAAAACATCTTTTCCACAACGTAACAAGGCCGCGCAGCAGATTTGTCGCTGCTCAGACTCTTCCAAAAATTCAATACTTCCATGACTCTGAAAAATTTATCATCACTTCCCTCGGAAAGTTCTTGTTTTTCAATTATTGATAATTGATAATACGGATTAGCGTTCTCCATCTCGTTAGCAAGTTTTTCTTTGAGATAACGCATAGCGCACAAATGTCCATGAATTAAATTAATACCTTTGACTTTGAGGACATCTGTCTTAAGACTAATTAATTCTTGAGCTATTTGTGGAAAAGCCGTCAAAGCTGCGTAAGCCTTAGACGCTAGAATTCTAACATGTCCTACAGGATTGGCAAAAAGTACATGGACACTGTACTTTGCCTGTCTCAGATAATCTTTCGATGAATAATCTATGAAGTTGCAGCCACCGGTGGACATTTTCGACAAAACAGTAAGGATATGTACCAAACTGGAATGACTATCTGAGGTTAATTGTAATTTATGAATGGTCGGGAAACTTTGAAGATGCTTAAGAATGTGTAGAGCTAGTGAAGGATAATGCGTTACAAAATGATTGACAGAATAGCCATTTCCAAAGTCCAGTTGTTTTCCTCCTACGCACTGGCCTACAATTCTTGGTACTATCACTCCGAATAACTGAAGACTTGCGTTTCTGAAAACAAGCAATTGGATATTATGGATATCTTTGTATTAACAGGTTTCTTGCTCACCGTATAGTCCATGTTTGAGATTCCAGGTATGTAAAACAAATTAATGAAATTTCCTCCAAGTATGGAACTAACTGTGCGTGCAATTCCTTGTCGCCAACTAGACTGCACAAAAAATGTAAATTTCTAGCACAAGGTGAATCATGTAAACCTTCTGCATTATCTGTTGTAGAAATTTGTGGTGAATTTTTTAAAGAATCTAATAACAGCCCAATTGCAAAGTGTAGAAGAGGCCTGTCCTTTCTATTATCGCTGGCGACAATTTTGTGAAACATTATGGATAGACCAGCACCTCGTCTTGTTAAATTTGGATTAGTCTTATTGCCGTTTTTTATTAGATTTCTTAAATAAGTCTCTGGTATCTTATTATATTTGTCTTCTTTGCATAGAATTCTGAAAATAGAATTCAATATAATTTACACAGAGTCTAAATATAAAGAATAGTTTATTATCATTGATTTAATACCTGGTCAACTGAGCAATGGCTAAACCAGCTCCTTCTATTGCACCTTTATGACGACATCTCATCAATACAGACGCTACGACATTCACGGAGCGTTGAACAATATCTTCGGAATACATTAGTACGCCGATCTCACTGGCCAATTCACAGGAAACCTAAAAATCAGCAAGGTAAATTATAAATTTGTAGAATAAATCAGAGGCGTATCAAAGTACCTTTAAGCTCATCCAAATACAGCTAACTACGAGTTGATGAGCAGGTGATAATGCTATTTCATCAAAAGTATCAGCGACGTCACTAGTTTTCACAGTTTCATCAATAGCCAATCCCATTTCAGCGAAGGAGGATGAATATTCTGCATAGAGCATGAAAAGACAATTCTTTACTTCACTCTTTAAATAGCTATTGTATTTTATGGAAATGCCATCCTACCAGAGTCTTTGGATTTTGATGAGAGTACGGAAAGAAAAAAGTTGACAGCCTCTTCCAATAAACAAAGTAATTTTTCTGCTAGTTGCTCAGTGATCAAAAGAGTTTCTGGACTTCTGCGAAAACCAATTGACAGAATTGCTATTAAAACACCATAAAAAGGAGAACCCTGTACCACAGCTTTCAAAATATCTCGCTTTATCTTGGCCAGTTGATTTTCTGCAGTTTTTAGCAAATAATCAACGTAATTGATATGCGAATTCAATATATCGTTTGTCCTTTCATGTAACATCTTTGTCCTGTTGTTAGTTTCAAGAGGCAACCAATTTGTCAATATTTTAAATATTACAGCACCGCTTTCTATTTCGAAAAATTTTGATGAGTTACATTTACTAATCGCTGTGTCCAATAGAATCTGTAATACATGCAAAGATTAGATTAATTGAGCAATGCATAATTATAACAAATTTAATTATACCTACTTCCTTCTCGATATATGTTAGGGAATCTTTATCAAAATGTTCCAGAAGAATAGCAGCAGAAAGGTCTCGAACATCATTTGCTGGATCTAATAGTAGATTTAGCAAAAGAACTAGACTCTGTTTATCAGTGAATTTCCATTTTCCATCTATTTTTAATCGGTCTCCCAGGACTAGACCATATTTTAATGATTCCTTGTGGCGTGGATCATTGAGAAACCCATCATTGGCGCAACTTCTATTGATATAAAAGAGTATCGTCTTATAAAGATTCAAGCCGAGAATCTTTCTCTGATAACAGGAGCCAATTTCAAAACAATCCAGAAGAAACTGGTGAATCCATTGTAAGACGTCGTAGATTTGTTGACGAGTACTCTCCAGAGTTCCATGAAGTTTTATTAGATTTATGATAAAAGTTCTATAATGGTTTCCAATTCCTTCTCGCAAAAATGTCGTGTTGGCATTTGCATTCATGAACAAGAAATGCTTCACTGCTAGAAATGGATCTTCGCTTCTGTCGGTGTACGATACAGTGGAAATTCTTTGACAGTAGATGGCGAAAGCATTTAATCTGACAATTTCTTCTTCGTGGTCCAGGTAGTTATTACTGATGAAATTATTTGGCAGAACAATTCCAAGCTTACTAGCAATTCTTTCCAAATTGGAACGATAAATCAGTCCATTAGATTCGTTAATAAATTCCCAGAGGTATGATAGAACCTGCCTAAATTTTTCAATCGTTGGCTCCAACCAATGCTTACAGAGTGATTGCAATGCATTATGATTTTTTCTGCAAAAAAATCTTGCTATTGAATATATCCAATTTTTCCGTATAAAATTGATCTTAATCAACTCACTTTGATCCCGACTCCCATTGATCGACGATAATCCTAACAGGTTCACCGAAAACATTTATCCATTGATCTTCGTCGAGTTTATTCAAGATGACATTGTAAACTCTAGTGCCCGCACTGCGCAAATAACTCTTGGTCAGACTGGTGAAGAGGCACAGTATAAAATCCTTTGTGGTGATGTAGGAAATGTCGGTGGTTACATAACAAATTTCAGCAAGAATCGCATATTTCGTTTCGTTTTGCCATGACAAGTTATGCACACAGGATTCAAAGGCTGTTTTAAGAAAATTCTTCTTGTACCTCATATCCATTATTTTAAGATACATATTGAACACCACAGTCGCATTCCGTTTGCTGATCTCTTTAATAGAATTATCCCAATTAGAAAATATCACAGCTTCCAATTTCCTCTCAGGTCTTGAATCGCTGTTAATCCAAAAGTCTGTATTCATTGTTCTGTGTAACCAATTTTGCAAGACTTTATAAGCAAAGTAGGAGTATCTTGTATAACGAATACAGTTATCATAGATAATATCAAAGCAGAGTAAGAGAGCTTCATCGGTATAAATATTCTTTTTGTTAACTTGCAAAAATCCGTAGATTATTAATAATTTAAACAACTCAGCGTTACGCAATTCATATTCATTGTCGAAGAAATGGAATTGATCAGTTTCCAAACGTAAGTAAAATGTTAGATACTCCAGGAGTTCTTTCAATGTACACGTCATCATGAGGAGCGACATAAATGCATGAGTCGTCAGTAAAATTTGCTCCTTTCCTATTTCCTCGTTTTCCGTCAAAATTCTTAGTAGCTTGGCTAAGACACCCTTCCATTTTAAGTGATCTTTGCTCTCCGTACAGTTGTTAAATGAAAGAGCGACTCCTATTAGTTTCTGGAAAAAAAATCTCATGACAATAAATTATCAAGATCGTCTTTCAATGGATCTAGAAATACTGACTCTGAGAAGTTGAAGATCATCGCTGCTTCCAATGGCTTCTAAATGATGCAAAAACTGATCAGGCTCCATTCCAATTATTTTATTCCACATTCAAAACGTATCCTCTTATTCTCTAGGAGATGAATCTGAAGTGCACAGGGTCCCATTGACTTTTTAATTGGATGAGTCGCGCCTCGTCATGCGAAACGCAAGAACGGGTCTTTTTTGAGTAGCCAATTTAATTGGCACGTCGCTATTATTTGGATATGTATTATTGCCCTCTGCACTACAATTTCTGAAAGGATTCGTACATTTTTGTTCCATTTATTCGTACATTGCAACTTATAATTAAATCTTGATCTCACTTGTTAGGGACGTTAGAATCAAATTCAGACGATCGTATGACAATCGCGTGTAGCATTTTAATGAAACTAAATAATAATAAGAGCACTAGTTATTTTATTTTTAGTCTAAGAAGCAGATAATCGATGAGCCACACATGATTCATATTAACGATCGTTTAAACTTGTTACAAAATAAGATGAAAAAAGAAAAGAAAATGAAACTCACTCGGTTTTTATGAAGCGTATCACTTTTTATTAACATCACTAAATTAAAGAATGTCAATTTACAACAATCGCAAAAACTTTTATTAGTGAATTACTGCTACTGTGCATTGGTCTTCGGATTTTCTGGAACGTACCCGTTGTTCTCGATTTGCTCCTTGAATTTCAGGTACTCTCGTTTCCGGTCAAAATGCTTCACCTGTAAGATAGAACGAGGAGTTCTCTGTTTAAAATAGTTAATATCAATTTTCAGTAATCTGCATTTAATTATGATCCCGAGAAACTTGTACATTGTCCCACTTACCCATTGCGATGGGCAATACGCTTCATATAACTTCCTAAGCATTTCACATTCAGATTCAGATTTTCCCTTATCGAGACACGACCAATATGCGTCTCGATGATTCCAACATATTTGACGGTCGTTTTTATTTAAGAAGGACATTCTGTAATTAAAAATTAAAATAATTAGAGGAAGCACGTGAGATGAAGTTGTAACGAAAACAATTTCTATTCCATACTGAATGCACGTCGCGAGTGGATTTCTAAGTAACATAACAAACTTAAACAAATCTTTTAATAGTTAATATGGAATTCTGATTTCAAGTAGAATATCATCCATGCTCTTACAAACTCCCAGCATCTATAATTTCAGACATATTTTCAGTCACTTACCTAGCCGTACGAACAAATACTACTGCTAATTATATTGGTAATCAAAACTGCATTAAGAAAATCACACACTGTTTTTCATAACAGAACAAAACTCCTACGAAACTTCATCGACTGTATTTTATCTTTGATTAAGTAATAGAGATAATTATATAAAATTAAAAAGGCACGTAAAATCACAAATTACATATTTGCAACAAGTACTATTTGTGTAATTGCACTACATGTATGGGATCTGGTATATTTGGATATGATGTACTCTGTACGAATGCCCTGAATCTGCAGATTGAAGATCATAAGAAAACTAAGCTAGAAATTATGTTTCACTTTTGAATGAAGAATTTTCGAAACTCTGCGGCAGAGTCAAGAATTATATGGCCAATCAGCTTTCATTATATTAGAGTTTTGACCAATCGAAATTTACTTGGACACGCGTACGACCTCGAGAGTTAAGAATAGCTGCCGAATTTGCAATCTGTCAACTAAAAAATGTTGAATGGACGACCGAAGTGTCTCTCCCTTGCCTCCTACTATTTATTTCAAGACAACTTGAAGCGTCATTTCATGTGGTTGAATATGCCAATATTATTCCTGATGACAAAACGTTAATTTCAAACAAATTTAGCGCGTGTCAGGCATCTTCTATAATATAGATCTTCTTATTACACTCTATAAAAACAATATTCTCTTACAAATATAAAAATTAAAGCATCCACTGAAATTCCATTCTTGAAATGTAGCCAAAATGAAAATCGTAAAAGAGATATTCTTGAACACTTCTCCAGGGGCTAAAGTCATATATTGGTATACTTTGCAATCTGAAATATTATAAATATCCCTAATAAAAAAATAAAATAAAATAAATTACATCCAGAATATATGGAGTATAATTGTCATATTAATTTCTGCATAATTATCTCTGGACTTGCTGAATAGCAAAGGACTGTTACCCTATCGGATATATATAGACGATGAACATTTGTAATTTGCAACAGCGTATGAAGGGAAAAATAACATTAGTGGCTGCTTGAAAAATCTTTCATGAGTCTTGCCAATGTTTTAAATTAGCTAGAGGACCATCCAGATCCTATCTTTAGCACAGCCAAAATAGATATTCATTCAAAACCAATGGATGGAAAGAATCTGATTATATAATGAAATATTGATTAAACTACCATGTCCAGATCTCTAGAATGATGGCAGGTATCTATAAACTGTGCCTTTCTTAGGATGTGTCTGTCTACAAATTATTTATTCAATTCACCTCCGTTAACACATAGGGGTGATTGATAACCAAAATATATAACTTCCTTTCCTTGTTATTGACTACCCATGAGGTTAGATCTTGTTGTGCAGCATTCAATGATTAATTATCTACAGCAAGTTTATTGTAAAAAATCATATTGTCAAGATGTAATATTAAATAATCATTATAGTGTGGATGACCCCTTATGATGTTTTTCTTACATTATTAATAAATATTTCATCATTGTTAACCGACCTGTTTAGATGTAAAAGTGAGTACAGGAACCAAGTATTAACGTATTCATAAAATATTGAAATCTTGCTATTTCACTTCTTTGGAGTAGTTTGAAAATTATGCACAGTATTTGAAAAATATCAGCTGTATATTTGTCTCTTGTTCTACTTCTGCTCTCTGGGTTTTCTGCTCCGTTTTACAAAACGATCTTGTCTGCTGTATGAAATTTACTAACTGGCTGCTCCGAATTTAACGTAATGGTACAAAATTATGTTCATACATTCATAAGAAATGCATAAATTTAATTATCTAGTCAATTCACTGTGATGAAGATGATATAATTCTTATATGACGATGCTACAAGATGAATCTTTTGAAATAAAGCATAGAACTCCATTACACAATTGGCATTACACCATGCCATCTTGCAACCAGGATTGCCAATATATTTTGAACTTCGAATCTATATATGCAAATGTATTACAAATACATGAATGAAAACAATTCCACTTAATAATTATTTACAGAGTCAAGGAACATGCAATAATAGCTTGACATTGTATATACGTAGAGGATTCTGTGAAAGCATTCAAAGCGCATTACATTGGTAAATCTGTCAGGCAATTAAATAGAATTGAAATATTTATTTATAAGAGTGTTTCACCAAGTAATGGCAAAAGAGCGGAGTTTGATATAATTTATTGAAATTTTAAAGTCGCTCTTGTTGAAATTCGAAAAAAAAAATGAAAAATGCGAAATGCGTTGGCAAAACTGTGGTAGTGGCCTGTTCGTCGACGTTCTAGCAGTCACTGCGGAAATTCAATATGGTGTCCGTCGTTCAGCGGTTCACGTCGGATGTCCGTATTTTGAGATAAAATTATCACAGGGGAACCGAGTGGCCACTGGTAATTATGAAAATTCGTTTAAAAGCACGGTGTTGCACCTAAAAGAATTCTTATGAAACGCCGGCGTATGGATTAGAGACTCGTGTAGATCCAGTGCTCTTGAGGAAACGAGTATTGGAACCCTGTGGCCCACTGTGTGTTGTCTCACTGTGTTTTAGCTTGATTAATATCAGATAAATTTGAGGCCAAAAATGGAAGCCGCAACAGTGGACAGTAATGACGAGGTATCTAAGTCTGACATAACGAAGGGAAAAGTCAAATCAATGAAGAATAGTAATGTTGAGGACATTGCCACATTGGATATTGAGTCTCGGCTCAGTCTGCAAACCAGTGAAAATTGTCCTGAGCCACATACTAATGGTCTCCACCAGGTAAATGGTATTTGCGATTCTCCAGAGAGAGGTACCGATGCCATTACTGGGCTCATGAACAAGACTCAGAACATGGATACTAGTCATTCAAATAAATCTGGTAAGTAAACTTTCATTCACGTATACAGTGAAAACTTGAAGGTGTTTGTTCTTCAACGGTTTCTGTTCTATATATTGAATTAATGAAGTTGTTAAAAATCTACATCTTTATTCTTATTGTTATAGAAAATGTGGGAGCACCAACCATAGAGAGCAAAGACAGTGACATTCAGTATGTCAGCTATACCAGCGAATTGCAAATGCCAGATATTATGAAATTAATCCAGAAAGACCTGAGCGAGCCATATTCAATTTATACTTATAGATATTTTATTCATAACTGGCCAAAATTGTGCTTTCTGGTACGTGCTTTAAGTTAAGAAATACCTTGTTACATATTTCCACCTGATTCTATAGTCATGCTCTATAATTTCTCAGTAACAATTGACAAAAGTCTTTTCAGTTGTAACTTTCTCATTTGATACATTAAGGATTATACTTTTCGTATTAAGAAAAATTCTTGCTTTCTGTTCATCAAGGCAATGCACGAAGAGGAGTGCGTGGGAGCCATTGTCTGCAAGTTAGATATCCACAGAAAGGTGATAAAGCGTGGATACATAGCAATGCTGGCTGTCGATGTGAAGTACCGTAAGCGCAAAATTGGTTCAAACCTAGTGAGAAGAGCTATCCGGGCAATGGTAGAGGACGATGCTGACGAGGTTGTCCTAGAAACAGAGATCACCAATAGACCAGCCCTTCGACTCTACGAGAATCTTGGATTCGTGCGGGACAAACGACTCTTTCGATATTACTTGAATGGCGTGGACGCCCTACGACTGAAGTTATGGCTCAGATGAAACTCGTCTTCGTGTTTATGCCAATAGGAACTTAAATAAAATTCGGCGAACGAAAGAAAAGGGAGAGAGAAAAAAGCAAGTACGAATAACACAAAGCTCTCCGCTCGACTTCAGGCAATTGCGTATGACGTTAATGCCAAAGTAATTATCTCCGGATGATGGATCATAAAAGACAATACTTGGGATCCGTGCAATTCTTTTCCTTGAACATCGAGGTCGCCTACACACAACGAAATTTCTTATTGTTTTATCCTGACCATGTTCTCAAAATAGTAATAGTTAATTCTTTGTCAAACAATCTCTTGATTTTCATTATTTTCGGTTTCCTTTAAACATAATATATTTACTGTCGCACAATCATGAATTACGTTACTTGTCAATTTTTGCAACCTGTATCATATCCACGTGTATCATTCATAGAGATAATACCTCTGGTGTTAACGTTAGACTCCAGAATAGATTCGAGCTCAGCTTAAAACTATATGAAAAGGGCAAAGTGATAGAGCATTGTGAAATCGGCACTGTGACAAGCGTACTGAAAATAAGTTATGTATCTTGCGTCTGACAACACATCCACAACACGACCGAACAGAATTACATGCGTACACGGAATGACACATGCCCCACGCTGGAGTACAGACTCGAGCTTAATGCAATGAATTAACTCTTAAATGTTGAATTCCAGACGAGAAAAATGTATTAAAAAGAAAGTTAAAAACGTAAGCGGAACTACGCATAATGAATGAGTCGGTAACGAACTTATTTCGTGCCAATGGCTCTAGTGACTGATAAGACTGCGAGTCAGTATAAGTTTATACATCTTGAATATTCTGAACCTCGCTTCTTCAGCTGGGAGTAAATTTCCATTGCATAAAACTGAATCGTAGCCCTGCGTGGGAATAGATATTTAATTTAAGTATAAATCCGAAAAATCGTCGGATTACAGCAAAGCTAACGAAATTTTCCAAGTAAACGTGTAAAGACAAACGAGGATTGTCCAATGTTTATATATAACATTTAATGATAATAAAGTGAAAATTATCGTCAATGGAATTTGGGATATTCCAGAACTGCGTCGATGACGGATAAAAAGAAATTTGACGCAGATAGACCCGTACACATTACTGTCTACCTATTATATCTACCTTTGTATAAAATAAATTGCAAAACAGATTGTAATGTACCTATTAAAAAATGTAAAAAATGTTAATAAAAATGCATAAATGTTTTTACATATCGATGATTTCTTGATTATCTTCGTCGTCTTATCATTTTCTATGAACAATCATATCGATTTCTTAACATTTTATCTTGGTCTTAGAGTAATGGATTATTTTGTTATTGTTAGATCAAATATATATGTGAATGAAAAGCAGACGCCCAAGAGTGCGAAGGAAAATCCGACTTTTGGAGGAACCAGAACTCAAGCAGAATGTACCCCTTTATATTAGATAATTCTCCACCTTCTGCTGGGCACTGCTCGACAAACGCCCTGGCTTTTGCAAAATTATTCAATTTTGTAAATTATCATTTTGAACCTCTTGTTTGGCCTAATATTGTGCTCAATTGAATTTTTGATTCTGTCATCTTGTTAGGAAGGAGTGGGTTGAATAATTGAAAAAGGTTTTTCTTGAAAATATTTTTAATGACAATATCTCTTTGTACGTTTCCTTGTGTAAATCATATTGTTTATTAAATCATATTACAGTAGAGTCATTAGGAATGATAATTATCTTCAGAGAGAAGAACCAAGCTCTAGCAGATGAATGAAATATTTCACATAAAAATAAAGTCTTGATACTCTGTCGTTACACTGAATATTTTGGCTATAGACATATCCGTCAGAAAGAAGATGCCTATTCTATTCTATAAACTTGAACTAAATGTATTTACGGAATCTTAAATATTAATGAGCATAATTATTAGTGATAATTGCAACTCTGTGTTGTATATAATAAATTAAAATGACAACAAAGTCGTTCTCTTCGGGTACAGGGCGAATAATTAATTGCCTTTATCTCATTGAGTAGCTGCACAGAAATGCTCCCTAGATGTATACGTATATAGATTCACATAACTGTAACATATTCTCTAAGGTTTTATTATCTTTATAGAAAAGATAAAAAATTACAAAGTACTTATTTCAGCCTGTATAAGGCTATTCTGATTTATGTCAAGGACAAAATACAGGAGAATATAAAAGTGACACCTTTAACAGTTTCCCATAAAATTTGGGGGTACAATAAATACCTTTGGTTAGTGATCAGCAAATCGCAATAAAGGGTTTCGTAAAATTGTATGATACGGCGACAAAGAGAGCTCCTTAAATTTCACTTGTTAAAAAGAAAATACAGGCAGATATTACTGCAAAAAATAAATTGAGAAACAGAACTCTCAGCCTCGCAGATGTGGAATTAACGTGCCAATTTACATATTCCTAGTATTTACACTATGCGTGGAATCGATGACGCCCAGCAATCACATAACTATAACAGTAATGCAGTAACTAAATTAGTTAAAAAAAAAAAAAAAATTCAAATAACCATTTGTATCAGAGGTAGGTAACGTCTGCTAAATGTCTATGTCATAGACTGTTTTTTTTTCTCATCGCTCTCAAAACCAGAATCCAGATCATCACTTGGCCATTTCTTTATACCTGCACTCCGGGAATTTTGTTTGCTTGATTTTTGATCAGCCATTAACTTTTCTATAGTGTTGACCAAGTGGTCAAAGAAATGCGGATATCCGTCGTATCCAGGAAATGCATTAATATCAATTATAGCATATCGCTCAGTGTGATTTTCTATAACTACGTCGACCCCTACCAAAACAAGGCCAAAGATTTTAGTGATTCTTTTAACGATTTTCTCAAAAGTTTTGAAATTTGGTTTAACACGCAAAGCGGCTTCCTCATCAGAGATGACAGACCATTTTGAATTTGAACCGCTCTTGGAGATATCCTGAGAATTGAAGAAAATCGTGTTCAAAGATTCACAGTCTTTTTGGTAGAAATTCTTTAGGCTCGGACGTTCGACCACGTGGAACTTTTCGCCAACTATGAATACTTTGTATAAAATAGCGTTGTGATTTACAAAATTCTGAGCTACGCAGGGTAATTGACAGTCTTTTAATCCCTTTTCATTGAAAATCACCATCATCTGGAAACATTTCTAAGTGTGAAGTAAGCAGGATGTTGTGTAACTATGAACATATCTTACCTTATGTGCATCGCTGCATCCATGAGCAACCAGTCGTTTACAAAGAAAAGGAAACTTGACATTATTCGTTATTAACAGTGTTAAATTTTCAGAAACGTATTTCGATTTTAATTCTACGAAATTGGGCGTAAACACATCTGAAAAATAATAAGGCTTTGATTAGATACGCAATATCTTCATTCAGCAGAAATAAATCTTTATGGATCAAATATAGTTCATTGACCAATAAAGACAGCAACTGCGATATCTTTGCAAACAGCATTATTTTCTTGATAAGCACTCTGTTGCTAAACACAGACACTTTCTTATATCTCCGTCCTTTCAGATAATATATTTGTTTAGACAGTTTTTATATTTACCTTTCAATTGGATCCCATTATGTATAATTTCATAGGATTTATGTCGGTTTCTCAAATTTCTAACATTCTCCAAAGGATCTATTACTATTAGTTCAGGATGTTTACGAATATATCCTTGTATTCTTGTAATAATAGCTCTAGCCTTGGACATCAAACAAATAATTTTTATTAACAAATAAAACAAAATTAAATTAGAAAAACAATCATACATTTTGATCACCACTCTCAGCAAGAGCTAATGTGTCCGTAAGTTTATGTAGAAAAACATGGAATGGTCCCTGAGATTCAAGATTAGCATTGACGTTGATCTGAAACAACACCCAAAAGCAAAAGAACTCTCTATCGTTCATCCAAAGTATTCATCATATTATTATAATCCTCACCATTTTCAGCTCAAATCCATTCTTCGCACACACATTCTGAAAGTCTTCCCAGTTGAACTTCTGCTTTTTCTTCTCAGAAATCCAATAGCCGATGACTCTTTGATTATTATCCATTTTCAAAAACTATTTCTTCTCAGATACAGCAAGCATTCTAATTCTATTTTGTATCAGCATCTACAATAAATCCTTGAATAGTCTGATCAGGAGTAGTTTCACCAACTGGAACGTCTAAAAAAACAGTTCTATGCTTTGTTGGACACAAGGTTAGGCGCAGAATACACAACTGACCCAATGTTTCACAATTAATGAACTAAGCTCTAAGTAGATCATGTCCGCGTGAGTCCATAACTGTACACAGTATTAGAATTATGAGTTTTAAAAAATTCACAAGTTTTACAAACAAAATCTAGTGACAACCTGAAAATTCTGTCTTGATCCGATGTAAACGATTCTACTTAATTATACTGCGCACTACGAAGTACGCGAGTCAGCCGACCGAATTGACGGTGTTGAATTATTGTCCCCTGTTGTGAATCGTAAAACTACAAGTAGCCAGAATTGCCAAGACGTTTTCTGAATGATTATTGAAGAGACGCGTGTTGCTTTCGTGATGTTTACTCTAGAAAACAATATAGAGAAAGACAGATATCGAATGAGACGTGAGAAGCACGTTAAATCACTATAATTATCTGTACAGCAATAAATAAATTAAGGCTGAGTCGTACAGAGGAATAATATCGAACTGAACTCGTTGAATTCCAAAAGAGTACTTAACAACTTAGCTTAAGCCGCTTAAGCCAAACTTGATATTAACAGAACGTGTCACGACTAGAAAGAGTGTAAGCGATATCTTTGTGAATTCAGAACTCGAATACGCGTTCAGATAAGTTCAGATGACAATAATTGACGGTCAGAGCTTTTTGAAGATGAGATAACATTGATTTCATTGGAAGAGAGTGCGAAGAGAACTGTATTAGGATCTCTTGCTGAAGACTAAATAGTTCTCTAATCTTTAAATGTACTAAATATTATGATGATTGACAGGTTCTAGAGATACAACAATGCTTTCATTTAATATATGGTTAGTACTGTATTATGTTACGCTGTCACGTGTTGATAAATATCTCAAAGTTACGCTATATCAATAAAAGTAGATACATTATGTACAGGATTTATGTAGTGTCTCATAAATTATTTCTTCTCAGGTGATTTTATGCACATTCAGCCTCTTCAATTTTACTTTCTCACTATCAGATGTCATGTCGGTAGAAGCTGAGTGAAAAGAAATACTTATTTCGTTACTCATTCACAGTATGTATATGTTTCATTTTGTATATTTCTTTTGGGGAATACTATTGTTTACTTACATTCCAGTGAGTTTACATCTTTTTTCAAATCTCCCCAAGACTCTGTGAAGAAAAATAATTTTAATTAATGATTTAGTCAATTTTTTGGTCACATATCTCTGGATTCCTTTTGTCTTATGAAACTTACATCACTCTCTAAGCTTGACTCATCCGAAGAAGGCAATGCACTGCTCGTGACGAAAATCGTCATGCCGTCTGCTCTCTTAAATACCTTCCCTCCAGTTTTACTTTTCCTTGAAACTCGTATTTCACCAAATGAATATGAACAGGAACTTGGCATATAGAGTTCACCTTCAGAGCAAGTAGCCGATGATGGTTCATTCTAGAAAAATAAAAATGTCAATCATGTTTAAGGAAAGATTTCAGTATCAGTCACATTATACCGGTTTGAGAGGATATCCAGTTATATTTTGAAAATGAATGTCATTAACATTTTTCAATGTTAAAAATGTCTCAGCATTAGTGGGTACCAAGCATAATTTCAAATGGTCCAACATATTACTTGTTCTATTAGTTGAACCAATATATACACTAGAACACGGATCAAACTTGTCACAACTTTCACTACTAGAATTTCTCTTGATGCGTTCAATTTTTACATCCTCTAATTTCCTTCTGCCAAGAAAGTGTGCGATAATCTCTGGTTTGGCACAGACGGCCTGCTTTGTTGAAGAATAATCTTTCTCATGGATATCATCCGATACAGATTTGTGTACAGAGTCTTGAAATATTTCGTTATATTCTAGAAAATATTTAGAATATAACATACAAGAGCTAAATTTTACCATAGTCTTACTTAAACTATCATGAAATTTGCAATCTTCCATTCTCTTGTTTTGTTGATAGGAAGTTTTAAAGCATCCACTTTGAACTTGTAGATCTTTCTCTGCAGTACAGCATTCAAATAAGTGCTCCAACCCTTTCATCGTGCTGAAAGGCTTTTCATTTGAGACAAATGCAAATCCAACATTACTGTCCATACCACGTTGAGTCTTATCGAAGCGCCTTGCAATATTTTCGGATATAGAGACGGATGTAAATGGCTTCCTTTTATTAAGCCATTCCTTAGCCTTGAGTTCACGATTCTCATCAGAATTACTCGATGGCATCTCGAAGTACTCGGCTTCTATAGTTTGCCGTCTTCTCTGCCTTGAATGACTAAAACTTGGATTGTGTAAACCTTTTTCCGAGATAAGACGTTTCCCAGGAGATCGAGCATCAAATATCCCATTGTTATCCTCATATTGCACGTGTTCTCCATCATTGTGAATATTTGTTGGTACATCAAACGATGGTGATATATGATTAATTGGAACTGTAAATCTTCTCTTCTGCTGACCGATTGGTGGTACGTCGTCAGAGCCTTGAGAGGATGCTTTGAAATAAATAAAATTAATATTTAAACTGAATTAAATTAACAAATGAAAATCGTACAGCTTATCTCCTGTATCACCGAAGGGACACGGGCTGGCTTCTTCTCATGTTCATCCTCTGTTCTAGTAAATATCACCGTCAGTTCCGATGCATTCTTGTTCTGATTAGCGGATTTTTGACTTCTTTCACATCCCTTCACCGATACATCGCCTGAGTATAGTTCTTCAGGGGGAGTCCTGTGCTTCTTTAATTCACTTAATTTTGCCATAGCTTTTCTTGCTTTATCTTGTTCTATCTTTATATTCTCTTGAGCATCTCTCAGTTCGAGCATCAGTTTTCTTTCCTTCTCTTGCTCTGATTCACGGACCACAGATGATCTAAACCGTTCGTGATCTACAAGTGTGTATGAAAGAATCTGTGCAACGCAGCTTTAAGTGGCTTGCCTTATGAGCTCACCTGGATCCGGAGGCGCCAAGTCATTATCTACAAGTGAAGACGTATGGAATGGTGTACAGACAAATACGCAGTTTTCATCATTAGTACACTCCTTGCTGCATTGGAAAACTTGAAAATCTTTTTTCTGAACGCCATAGGAAATCTTAGGAGTCATGCTAAGTTTCTCTTTAGGATTGTTTGTTTTATCATCTTTATTGTCAACTTCCTTCCAGGAGAGTCGTCTCTTACTACGCTCTTGCTTCGCACTCGTAATAGGTTCGCTTGATTCATCCTTTTTGTGGTATGAGTTATTTGAAACTTTTAATGGCTTGCAGCACGGCTGGTAATTTTTTTCACAAGAGTCTGTTGTGGGTTGTTGCGACCGTTTCTTGGAATCATCGTCATCACCATCATTATCACAAATCATTTTACACTTCTCATCTCTTAAACAGTTCTTCTGACAATCGTCCTTGTCTTCCGGACTTCTTTCGGACTTTTTCGCTTCTATATTATCTGTCAAATGATTTATTCATTCGCCATTCTGAATTATTTGATTTACGAAGAGAGTAATCCAATCATTACCTGAACCTTTTGCTTGATTACCACTTGACTTTTGTTTATCAGAATTTACCAAAGCATCGCCTTCGTCAGGCTTCGCCTTGGTCTGTAAGAAAACTTAGTTATATCCTCCTCGACGTATTAAAACTTATTCTGAACTATTTTCCAATATTTAACTAAGAATATTTAAGAATAATGATATACCTTATACGAGTCGCGGGTAATACTCTTCACTGGCGATCTGTAACGATAATGCAAATAATTAATCTAATGCATAATATAATTTCAGTAGAATTAATTAGTACGTACTTATTCTCCAGCGGTGCTTCAGTAAAGCACAAATTCTGATTCGCACCACATGGAACAGAAACTGACTTTACATTATTTTTATTTTGAAGCTCATCCTCTGCCTGAACTTCTACAGCATTATCTTGAGCCAAGGTATCAATTTTCTTCTCATAATTCACTTTCTTTGAGCTGAAAGACGTCGACTTATCCACATAACGTATAGGTTGTGACTCTCCAGATTTTTCTGCAGTATCTTCGACTTTCTTGCCCTCGTGCGATCTGTCTTTACTACTTTCAGTATCGATTCTTGATTCTGTCTTGCGAGAAACATGATCGTTTGTAAAATCAGAAATGGTTTCAGCAGATGTCGAGGGTGAATATGTAATACACTCTTCAGTAGTTTTGGATAAGTTATCTTTTTGCTGGATAGATTTACTGTTGCAAGATGTCGATTTTTCCTCTCTGGGAGTTTCTATCTGTGTACCTATATCCGTTGCTACTTTAATGACCTTCTCTTTAACAGATTCACTGGGTATGCTTGGACATTTCTTACGTATGCATCTAGTAACTAAAGAGTTCTTGAAATCATTTTCTTTCGTTCCCTTCTCATTCTGCTCCGTTGAAGTATCGTTTGTAGTATCAGATCTTTTCGTTTGCGTGAGTATACTATTTTTGGCTTTTACAGGATCTTGTTTTAGTTCCTTAACTGATTCCTGAGGAATCCTCTTATCTTGAGATTCGCTTTTTCCCGTTCGAGAAGAAACAGATTTTTCAGAGGAATTTTTATAATTGGTCTTGATAAGCTTGCTGTCAATATTTTGATCCCTTTGATGTTTATGTACCTTAATGAAATCGACTTTATTATCTGTAATATTTTTTCTATAAATATCTGTTATAGGAGCAATAGATTTTCCTTCCTTCAGCCACTTCATTGCTGAGAGATTTTCCAAGTCTTTCTTATTCTCTACCGACACTTTGACGTATGATTCATCCTCGACACAAGACAAGTCCCTCCTGGCAATAGGTTCTCTGGCATCGAAAACGTGGGCTTCGCTTTTCTCAGCAATTTGAGAAAAATATTTTGCCAGATCATAAATCTTCCTCCAGTCACCCAAAGTCAAACGTAATTCATTATCCGCAATTTTCTCTTCTGATAACACATTGGTCCTTGTAGTTTCTTGGCGAATAGCAAAAAGAAATCTATCCATTATCAGAGGGCTGATAGTGGTTTTCTGTAAAATCCTTGTCACGTCCTGACCAATATTGGATTCCTTCTTATCCAGCAGCCAAGTGACAAACTCGTCTACAGCCTTTGAAGAATGCTTTAGGGCTTCTAAAACCTGCTCCACCATGTGAGCTTCATCATCTTCATCGGTGCCATCCTCTGATGTACATGTTAATTCATTCTTCGTGTCAGCATTCATATCCTGACTGTTCGGCTTCCTGAATGAGGTGAGAAGAGAAAAAGCGCCAGTGTCAAATTCTGCATTCTCATTGCTGTGTATATTATAACTGGATCCTGTATTGGATTTTAATTCTCTGCAAAAGCTGCTATCCACATGCAAAAGTTTGTCTAATTGAGCTGAGAAATCGGATAATAAATTTTCCGACGGTTTTTCTTTATCTTGTTTGACAAGTATTAATTTTTCTAACGTGCTTTTCGATTCTAGTTTACCTTTTTCCTCTGACGTTATGTCGTATTTAGCATATTGCGTGCTTTCATTTGAATCCAAGTGAATATCATTCCTCGTGGAAGTAATGAGAGACTTTTCGTTAGCCGGTATAACAATTGGTACAGACCAGGGTCTTGTATTTCTATTAGATTTCATGCTATCACCTACTGTTAAAACGAAATTCCTATTAGACGTCACGTCTAATGGACCTTGATCGCAATCACTGTTAGCAATGGCTTGGCAGGACTCGTTTATATTTTCAGTCACGTTCTTCGTTGTAATTGCTTTGCAACGTGTACTTGGATTTTGCATTGCGCACGTTTCTACATAATGATCATCCATATTTTCTTTAAAGACAGGATTCTTCATGCATTCCAGGTTCATCGTTATTTTCGGGTATTTGAATTCGCTCAAAGGATTTGGCAAATTTAGTGATGTCATCAGAGTCTCAGTTGAAGGAGACAGGATGTATTTGTCATTTGAATGAAGTTTACCTTGATTACTAGAAATTTCGAATCTTGTACGCCGTTCCAGAAGCTCCGAGAGTTTCTGAGTTCCACGTACGATATGGTCTATTGATCTGCTGTAAACTTGCAGAACTTTATCCAAATCGATAATATTTGGTGCTTGCAAATTTATATTATCCAGGTCAAATTCTTCGTTGCTCAAAGGATCTTGTAAGTAAAACACGTCTTTTTGTGACACTTTATATGTAATCTCTTTAATTAAAGCTTCGTCCTCTCCGTCTGTTTTAAGGGCCGTTTCTTCATTGTCAAATTGTAGGTTTACATTCTCCACAAGATTCGAATTTACTGCTTTGGTTTCGTCGACATCCAAATTATTTTCCACGATTTTCTCTTCTGGTATTTCAATTTCTTCAGACCCAACAGCTACTAAATTATCCATTGGTGGATTGGCAATTATATTTTCTTCTGGTGCTATCACAGCTTCCACGTGTTCTTTAGCATCCACTTGGTCTAATGGTTTATTTCCAACCATTTCTGCATCAAAATCTTTAGCTCTGGACGACAATGGCTGCTGATGTATATCTATGAATGTGGCAGATGGAATTTTAGATTTTTGTAAATTATTGTTCCTTATGGTTTCGTGCTGGAATTCATATGTCGCCACATTTTTGTATACAGGCACTGAAGAAGGATCAGGTGATATGTGAATGTTATCTACGGATTGTATAGTCAATTCACGTTGTATGTCGACCTGGGGTCCTCTTTGAATTTGAAATTTCATACGTGAACGTCGATCGCCCTCATTCACCCGAAAGACGCCAGTATTGGAGTCCTGGGGATTGCGACTGCTGGTTGATATTCCATTTTCTGGCTGCCGACGAGGAGGCAAGGTCGTAGCAGAAAAAGCATCGACCGACGTGGTACAGTCAGATTGAAATCTTTCAAAAAATGTATCCTCCTCCTTCGCCATTGGTTTCTTCTGCTTAGTTCTGCTAGAACTTTCGGAATACTTGTCACTCGGTAACTCGTACTTTTTCTCAAGGAAACTTTGACTCTCCTTCACGGGAATCTGATCTTCCTGTAACTTTGGAAATTCTTTGGATTGAACGTCAACCGAACCTACAGATGGAATCTTTCTGTAATTCCTATTGGAAGCGTTGGCCTCATTAAATTTCGCTGCTACCAATTCGTGAAGATATAATAAATTATCGTCCAAAGGTGGTCTCGTCGTGGACCTAAAGGAACAAAAAGAATTTACTCATGTAGAAATCTTCTCAGTAATTTTTAAAACATGGAATTATTTAAATATAAATATATTGACTCACCCTGTCCCATTCTCTTGTATGGGACTCAAGTGCGTTTTGTAACTAACTTCCATTATTTGTCTCTGAGCATCCTTGACCAATCTTTCAGCATTTTGAAGAACGTCTACAGTTTCAGGACTGAGGGCAGGACTGACAGGACTACCAAGAGCCAGGGAACAAGAACTTTCTTTCTCCTGGGAATTTATCTGGAACGGTAGAAAATTATAATAATTGGTAAGCAAATATAAAGAGCCTTAAAGAAAAATGTTGAACCTAATAATTACCAAGTAGTCATCCAAGGAGTATCCTGTGATCCCCGTCAAATGTCTTCCTGATCTCTGATGATCTGGTTGATCATTAATATTTTGAAAACGATCCGACGCCAGTCCACTAATCCCCGCTGTCAACGAACGGTAATTAGCAGCACTGGTTCTGTGACAATGATTTCCTGTACAGTTTGTGCAGGTCGAACAGCCATGATGATTGGTACAGCAACAAGAGGGTAAACATCGATCGTGAAACGATGTAGCAGGAGGACTCTCGTGATCGGCCATGAATCTAGATGAGTGAACTTGTGCTGTTCTGAAACAAAGAAAAACGTAGAGACTGCCATGAGTGATTCATATTGCTGTTTCTTCAATGAGGGATGAAGTAATAAATATCATGAAGGGAGGTTAAATAGAATCTCGTTTAATTCAATTGCTGTTTCTTTCTCTCTGAACAAAAAAAAAAACAAGCGATTTCAAGGCAACAAGGTAGAACTATGAATACGTTGGTCTATGAAGAATCATTTTGCATAACTAAATGACTCATGATTGTATAGTAAGTGCATTTCAAGGATCAACCCTCTTTCGAAAGACCCTGTACTTTCTATGTAAAGGGATCCAGAGAAAGTGACTATTGGTAAATTTCATTAGAGTACTTCAATTCTTAAAGAGGGCAAATCCTCCAGGGGAGATGGACAAAGTGTCCAGGTATCCAAAGTAAGTAAAAAGAGAAAAACAAAAAAGAAGTCAAGAAAAATGTTTCACCCCCCAACAAGGAACGAGGATAAAAGAATATTATTCTACGTCGACTTGCAAGTATATTGACCTTTAAAGTAGATAGAATCCTTAAACAGCCAAATAATTTCTATATGACTCAAAAGGAATCCGCGTACTTTATCATCGTAATATCAAGTTCAAGTATATTTATAATGGACGTATCTCGATGGTTGAGTGCACCGTCTAGAGAAATCAGTTGAATTTCGGATTGTAGGAATATTCATAAGTCGTATTGCACCATCGGTCGTCCTTAACCACCCAGAACTTGGTTATCGATCCCTTAAAGGAGATGATACACCTTCAGGCAATAAAGGATGACTCAATCCCAAGCTTATCCGTAGAATCAGTTACAACTCCAGCTGCACAACCAAGAGCTCAGCCTATTAGATTATATTAAAAATGCAATATCTATTCGTACAATAAAAAAAAAAGTATTGCATCCACTTTAAGATGAAAATCTTTCGGTGGCTGAGAGCGCAGCTTGCATAGCATCCAAGCAGTCTGGAGCCCACGGATCAATATACCGTTCTGTTTCCCTCCGTCCCGCAGTCTGCCACGTCCTGCCATCCTGCCATCCTGCCAGCCTGCCAGCCTGCCAGGGTGTCACCACTCTGGAAGCGACCCCAGCTGAACATTGGCATTGATTTTCAAAGTCCTGCACGGCTCGCGAGCTACGCCGGATGTCGTAGTCGTAGTAGAGCCACGTCACGTATACCGCATATATATACCTCCTGGTTGTCTATAGATATATGTGACCGCGTAGCGAAGATTAAGAGGGGTTAGGTGCACGCCCGTTCCTCCAGCCATGATTTGTGGGTTGGTGCCCTCCGTCTGCAAGGATCGCAGAACTTCTCGCGGAGGTAAAGTACCCTGGGAACGAATCCACCCCCGCCCCCC